TAACAGCTATCATCAGAACACAATGGTTACTCTTTGATTGATTGATTTCGGAAACAGCTGACTGACGCTTCTTTTTTTCTGTCTACATTATTGTTTTTTTAGGGTTTTCCTCCAAATGGGTTTTTACTTTGCAAACACTTTATCTAATACATTTTCCGATCTCACTCTCGCGATAAAAAATAGCTTTAATTTCATTATTTAAAAAGTTTACAAAGTTCAAGTGCCATAGTTAAGCGGATAATAACATTATTTACGGGTTTTCTAGTTTTTTGACCTTTATAAATTGTATACAGACCAAAAACAAACAAATACACAATTCAGTTCTTTATTAAAACAACAGGTATTCTAGTCGGTTGATACAGACATACGACTATGAATCTGTTTTTTATACATGTTGGTAAACTCAGATAACAAAGTCGTCGTTAGATGTTTAAGTGAATTTAATTTGTTTGTTTATTTTTGTTACTACAAAAGTATTTCTATAATAGTAGTGACGTATAGATGTACATTTTTTTCTTATTTAATAAATCCAATTATATTACACACCTAACACCTGTTTTTGAAACAAATCTAAAAGTACATATCAAAATAAAGCACACTTATGTATTCTTCTATATATTCCAATGCACGTAATTAATATATTTGATTTGTTAATTGCAAAAAGGGACCTTAGAAAATAGAACTTGGCATTCAGTCCGTGTGTGTGTACGAGGTGTTCTTATGTGTATCTGTGTAATTCCTACTGTTGTATCTACATAAAATCACTATTATTGGTTGCATTTTAATTTAGTTGCCGATAATTGCTTGAAAACATTGCTGTACATGCAATTGTATTAATATTTATTTAAATTTTGTTTGTTTTATCACATTACACAACGGCCTTTTCACCGTGACCATAGTGTAACTGACTAAAGTGTTGGCAACGTTTGCCATAGGGTATTTCAAGCTCAGGCATTTGCAGTAAGTAGGGTATAAGTAGCGACGTTAAGCACATCGGCTGTACGTTTGACACTTTTTGGCTCAGAATTTCATAGATTTAAAGCGGTTATTATCGATTTTTATTTTATCCCTCAACTCTTGGTTGTATGGTTAAACTCAAACATACTAGAAGTTTGCTGGCACCATTAAATTTACCCGGGAGCATAAGTTTAGTAATCAAAAGCGATCGAGTCTAATGCATAAATGTACCAAAAGCTACTTGCACTATGTGGACACTATAGCATTTATCAATCCTCTAATAATTTAATATACAAGTACACATAGAGTATAGATAACAAACAAAATTGAATGATCGAAAAATCAAAAAACTTGTATAAACATATTGCTTTTATTTTATTTAAATATAGCTAACCACTTAATTTTGTAATCTCCTATGATTTATGTTTGCAATGTAGCCATTATTGAAGTGCTGTACAATAATTTCAGGATAACGTTTATTTTGTATATGCTTTGATCACGACAAATGTGTCAATATGGAATTATTAACCGGAACTCGGGCTATCTACATACATAATATAGGCTATTTGCAATTAATAAACATAAGAATGTTGAACCGTTTCTTAAAAAATTGTGTCGTCACACAATTTAAATATTTAATGATTTTGCTGCGGAATTGCCGGCCACCAAGTCAACAAATGCCGTTCGACGATTTATTATTCCTATAACTGTCAATAAAATATCACAGTTTAATTGTTATTGTTATTTTTTTTTAAATAAAATTCGTATTCAAAATGGTGCAAATTAAAAAGATACGAATTATTTTGGTTAGTAAAAGTTGAGCATACCTTTAAGCATAAAAAAAAAGGACTAAGAAAATATTTTAATAAGGTTTCCAAGTTAACGACGTGGGGCAAGCCAAGTTATAAGATAAATGTTCAAAAATATGATCGATGACACGGAGGCAATCATCGAGACAGCTGAATGGATAACGTAGTGGCATGACAGTAAAATGCGAATAAACAACTGACGTTTGCTGATGTCACCAACCACATTGTCGTCGACATTAACCACAGGCGGCAAATCACGGTGCAAAGAGGGTGTTACTCTTTCACAGACCGTGGCCGTTAAGCTTAGCTCCTTTATCACAATATAATATTATACAGCACAACTGAGGTCTGAGACCAACGACTCGTAAGCCGGGCAATAGCCTATTAAAACGATCATAGCTTATTCTTCGTCTCAGACTATGGAGAGTATAGCACCGATAACTGTGTGGATCCATCGTGTCAGTCAGCACAATGACGGTCCAAAGACAGTCCTTGGCCGGGGAATTGATTGAAATCGAAAAATACAGCTAACAAGAAAATCGCGTTTGTTTGACGACAATCGAAAAATGGTTTTATTCTTAAAATGGGCTCTCCTTTAAAATAACAAACAACAGCTGTGTGAGTGTACACACTAAAACGGAATACTCGAAAATATAAATTACTCTGCAGCTGAGAACTACTACGCTGCAATAATATTATTATATTAACGATAGCGTTTAATAAGCATAGGCCTGAATACATTAACTCGCCTTCCAATAACTACCAATGGTGCGTGTAATGCTGCCGGCAATGAACGCGAACAATACTTAGTACCGTTCTGTACTGATTAAAAAATACCAACTAAGATTTTGAATTTTCCAAGACGAATTTCCAGAACTAAGAGTTTCGAGAAACAAAAAAAAAATTATCGTTGACACAGAAATGAACGAATTAAAGTGTAAATTAAATGATATTTAGGAGGAAACTAAATTTGAGTATTAAATCAAAAACATTTTTGTCGTTACAATATTTCCATAAACAAATAGGTATTTGTAGCATCGTTATTTTATTCTGGCGTAGTAGCAATAAATGATAGTTAAAATTTATATATATTTTTAATAAAAATGAAACTAAGAGTACTTAAAAATATATTACAATTCATAAAGAATAAATTTGTGTCCAACATTTCCTTAGACGGGTTTTTTTTTCTGAGAATTACGTAATCTACAATGTCAGCAATAAGAAAAAAGATAATTATATACATTTGGTGTAATTTAATGCAGAGTAATTAAAATGTAATAAAACAGAAGCATCTAACGAGATAACTATAATTGTAAGAAAATAATGTAGTTTACAATTCAATAAAACATAAACATTATTGTTTATATATATATATATATATATAAAATAATTAAAAGAATGTTTTCCTCATTAATTTACAGTTACCCCGTCTGAATCTATTGTAATGATAATAATTATATTTGATGTCAAAAGTGCAAACATAAAATTATTTATTATTCAATTTTGGTGCTCAACCCATAGTTTAATCATTTTTGTTTTGCTTAGTGCAATTTTTCCCTAATACTACTATGAAAATTTAATAACTAAATATTTAATTAAGAATTCAGCACGAAACCTTTGTGAACATTTTTGTTCCACTTAACCTTCACCTGCAATAATGGCTTTAGACGCAACTTAGATAAATCAAAAGACGTTTTCAGGGGATTTATCACACAATGACCGTTTCGCATAACGGCGATTATAACAAAAACATAATTGTATTATATATTCTATTAAAATGTAATGCAACTTCCGAGGAACTGTTGTCTGAATAGATTAAAATTAAACAAAACTAGTCGGTGTGATACGAATGAAAGAGTTGCAGGAACGGACATGACATAATGAAACATATTTTAATTTTATTTAGCTGAACATTTTTATAAGAACTTTTAAAAGGCTTTTAGTAGCATTTAAGTAGAAATTCTATAGTATTACAAAACACTACAATAAATACTAAACTTCATTACCTATTTTAAAAATTAACTAAAAACCAATATATTAAAAGAAATTAAAGCGCAGAGATATTATAACGCAAAAAAATACGGATAAAACGAGTTGACAAAAATATTTTAAAAAAATATAAAGGAAGGGTTGAATTTTCATGTTTGAGTTTATTTTATGATTTCCAAAAGTTTAAGATTACTATTACCCTTAGATATCGCCTGTCACTTTTCCCTTTGGGTTTTTATAAAGATAACTATATAAAGATAGCTACTAGTTTAGCGACGTCGAATGAAAAGCACTTGTATTTGTTTGATTTTGGTACCCCAAAAACCAAAAATAAATAACCATTAACGAAGATAAATTGTACAACGATATTACGAAGAACTTAAAGTAAAGAAGCTGGATCTGCACAAAACTCACTGTTAAGAAAAGAAGAGATAAACACGACGCTCATTATTATACCTATATATTGTATTACTTGAGATTACTTAAATCAAAAATAATATTATATTGAAGAACGGCTGATTGAACTTATGGAATTATATCTTTATAAATTTTAATAACATTATATAATTAATCAAAATAATAGTTATTGATTTGAATAGAATACATTTTTCGTAAAAATTCAAACATAGTTTGTAAAACAATTATTTTAAAAGGTAAATAGATAGTTTTTGTTGTTTGTTATGTAAATAACATAAAATGTAAATATAATAAAAATAAAAAAAACAATTCAATCAAAATATAATTTTTTGATGATAATATGATTTTCTGAATAAACCAACTACTGGATAATGATCGCCGTGTCTGTAAGATTCTATAATTTTCATCAATCATACATTATTAATTAAGTATCAAATAGTGTATGCGGTTTACAATAAATCACACTATGCTATAATGACATAATTTATATTAATTTACTAGGCACAATCTATTGGTCATATAAACGTATAATGAAAAGCGTTGAACCATGCACATTTTACATTGACTCTGCTGCAATGCACTGATTACAACAGTCAACTGAAACCGTTAAACTGGTACAACTTGATTTATTTTCTAGCATCCCTTCTTTTATCATTATTGTTCAATTCCACATGTGTAGACACGTTAAATAGCCGATTTAAAGTACAAATATTAATCACAATAATTTTACTATGAAGTATGGATTGTATAGGACAGTGGGGTTTAATCACAATTTAGTTATTTAAATTCAGATGATAGCTTGTAAAGAATACACAAACACACAACCAAGTTTGTATATTATGTTTATTGTTCGTTGAAATATACAAAAAATTGTTTTTTTGTAGTCATGATTGATAGTTATCTCAAATCAAATATTTGATAGCATATATTTTTAATAATAATATACTGTCAAACAAATTATAAATGCATAACTATATACACATGTATGCGTTATTTGATTAAAATATGTCGGAGAGACTTACAAAGTTTTTAATACATTGGTAGGTAATCAATATATGACGGTGACACATTTAGGCCGCTGGTAATAATAAACACATCGAAAAGCTATTAATAACTATTGTATGATAACTTTTCAATAAGGTTGTCATTTTATTAAATTACTTGTTGAAAATTGGTTTATTTCATGTTACCACCGAGTACAGTCCTCTGGTCCTAAAAACAGAAATATGTACAGAAATTATTATTTTTTATCATGATTATACCATTTTAACAGTCTCGATTCCACAGTACCTTTTAAATCTTGAATATTTTACTATTCAACAGCGTACGGTGAGTGTAGATTTAAAAAATTGGGTTGGGAAAAAAACTGTATATTTATATTTTTGAAACGCTGTATATGATATGTTTATAGCACATAGTTACTTACGTGATTGGTATAGTAATATTCATATAGATTGTAGGTTCGTTAAGGTCATTAATCATATTTTCACAATTTTCAAGCGTGTGACATTTGTAGGCTAGATATTTAGTTGGATTTTTGAGAGATTTGATTAAATATTCAGTGGCTTTACTATGACTGCAAACTAAATAAAATTAAAATAAGTACACGTGATTGATAAACATTGATTTATAATATAATTATATATATATGGACCGAGACTATATATTGTTATCCATAGTATTTATTGGCTTTAAAAATATACGTGCAAATGTATAAGTAAACAGACACCTAAGTTGCTACTTATATCGTACACGTATTCAAAAGTTTTGCAACAAAAAAAAGGTTATTGTGATTACTTGAATAAATAACATTTTGACAAGTCCATAAACCGTAAATTTTCAGCTTCTCCGATAAACACACAATCCTTTTTTAGCTGTTTATTACTTTTGTAGCACATGTGAGATATATTGCTCTCAAATCGAAAAAAATTGTTTTTGAATAGTTAGTTTGTTGTATTATTTGAAGGTTAATATCGTTTCAAACGGTAAACAATTAACAATATACGAGATACTTGTACTTAAAAAAAAAAACGAAAATTCTTTAGCACTATTTGTGAAAACAACAAGTATTTCTAACCCACTTCTCGATTTTCACACTTTAATATTGTTTCCCTTAATAATAAGAAGGTAACCCGTTTTTTTTATTATGCCCGTTTTTTCGTTTAAATGTACCTTTATGTATCTTATTGAGTAACCGGAAAAGCATTGTTACTTTACAAATAGTTACCAAAAAATAAAAAACCAAAATAATACCTAATATTTTACTATCGGGCGCTATCTGGTTTGTATTGTAGACTCGGATGTATCAAAATTGCCTATACGGCACGCCGGCTGGTATAATTATAGTTTATTGTTGTACAAAAATACATCAACAATATTCAAATTTTAAGTCGAATCATTAAACCATTCATCTTTTGAAAAACAACAGCATATTATTTGGAAAACAATTCGATTTTGTAATACAACATAGTTGAGTACAATTCGAAAGGCTGAACAAATGCGATTGGCATCTTTCAATACCAAAAATAGCAAGCACGTTCTCTTGAGCAAAAACAAACACCTTTTACGTACCGTTAAACACAAGACAATTGTGAAATAGATGAATAACACCCACGCACGTATGCTGACTTGTATGACCACAACCAGAGTTGTGCATCATTCGAATAAAACGTTATCTAAATAATCATCTAGATAAAATATTACTCAAGTAAAAGTTATTCGAACAATTTTTTTTATTAGAATAATTTTCAAACACATTTTGTATGTGTTTTTTTTTTTAGTAATTATATTTGAAAACAAAATTTTGTATTAACATAATACATATATGCTATATTTATAACATTTTTAAAATAATAATATATAAATATAGGAAGACAATTTTTTATTCGAATAAAAATGTCCACTACAAACAAAACCAAACATAATCGTTTGCTACATATTTTTTTCTCGAGTACAGTACTAATTAATAAAGTTAATTACAATTCAACACCGTAACTGTCATAATAATTTTTTTATCGACCTAAGCAGAATGCATTTCAATACTACGCAAAAATCGAATACTTTGGACTTATTTTCTAATTTTCTAATTTACACTATAATTCAATATAATATGTATGGGTCGTTTGTTATATAGCTAACTTAATAGCGAACAAGTGAGTTTGAAAGACATTTATGATAGTAGTAGGTACCTTAAAATACACTTGACTATTTCACAATTAAAATTAAGCGTAAATACTATCAACGCAGTTGACGACAAATGCCAAAAACTGTTAGACTAAAAACGGATCTTTGCAGGGTTGTTTCGCCCGTTCGTTATAGCGTTATCAGGTTTTTTAGTTTTTACGCGTCCTCTCGAGTTTAGTCGGTCTAGAAACAAACGTGTTAAACTTTTTATAGGTCGTAGCGCTCAGCTTTTATGTGTCACGATCACAATCTAAGCACATGTCGATAAACTACTACGGTTCGCGTTAACTTGAAAAAACACTTTATAGGCCTACCAAACCCCCGACGACCGCAGACCGAATGTCCTATGATATTTTTGACAAACCGTTCTCAAAACCCTGGTTCGAATGATGAGAAAATCATATTATTTTATAAACACATTTATTCGCCAATGTGTTCAAAAAACGTTCATGGATTTAAACTATTTTTGATCATTTTTGGATCTAGCCATGTTATCAACACAGTTTTGTCATTTAGGATTGTCAAACGTGCAAAAAAAAATATATGAGCTTTGATTATGTCAAAAATGTCAATAAAACATACTAAACCGCGTACCAATCCGTAACCCCGACTTCTCTGCAACTGACAAACACTCTTGACAATTTATCAAAGCGAGAGGCGCCGCCATCACACAACTATTAAATATTAAATGACTTTTCTGAAGAATTGCCGGCCATCAAATCAACAAACGCCTAAAAGTTCACTTTGATTCAAAGGAAAAAGTGATCACAGTGTAAAAGGGTAATATGCCTCTTTAACGGGTAAGTGCATATTTGGGATTGGAAAGGTCACAGCATTTCAGATATTATTATAACCGCAAGTAATAAAATCACTTGACAAAAAAAAAAAAATTATACAGATAGAAAAAGGTAATGTTCATAAATAACGCATGAGCAAGAACACGTTTTTAATTTAAAATGGTCACTTGTACGCCTTTGGTATTCATCACTTAATTGTGCAATTTAGAGTGCTAGACAAAAATACTAACGTCCCGCTGTGAGATTCAAAAAGCGCTTTGAGTAATAGTCAATGTCGGTTAAGGCCTTGCGTGTTCCTTTTATCAACCCAACATGTTATATGCTAATAGATATCTTGAAAAAAAAGCTGGAACTAAACGATTCAAGTCTAGTCCTAACTCTAAATTATATCGTCCAGTACGCAATCACATTTTCATTGAGTCTATTATATACTTGACCGTCTCGATTTAATTACTTACATTGTATTGTACTTACATGTGTATGTACAAACTGACAATACCCCAGATGAATACGATTGTTTGTTAAACGTTTCAACTATGACTTAAGCATGCGTAGATTTTCGAATAAAATTTAATCTTATATACTAAAATAAAAATCACAACTTAATTGATTCAGACCTCTATTTCTGATAACAAAAATATAATCCCGGAGTATACACTACGATGATAAAATACTAAACACTTTAATACGAGTTATATTATTGCGTATAGAAAAACAAACTGCTTTAATATCATCAAAACCGGTATATAATAAGACAAACGTGACCTTCACTCGAAACAGCGGTCCAAAAACTATATATATTAATTATATATATTATATATATTAATGCTATATAGGATAAATTGACTTCGGTCATGTATTGCTCGGCCGTAACAACGTTTGTTTCGGTCGGCCCAAGTTTTTACCACAGCAGCTTTAACAATAGGCATTACATTTTTTATGGTTATTTTTTATAACACATCACTCGACCCTTGGTGTATATATTTGTAAAGATAATGTTTGAAAGTTATCAAGTCGCTGATGGAGTATTCGGTTTAAAATTGCGTCTCCGAAATTGTACTCCACGGACCTTAAATATTAAAAAAGATGGTAAAAAAAAAGATAAAAAATGAAAGTAAAACGGAACCGTCGTGCGCAAAATATGTTATAAGTTGGAAACGCTGAGATAATAAAAGGTCATTTATAAATTGGAACACAGCGTTAAAGAGTTTACTGTTGTTTTGAAAAATAACATTACATAAAGTTTTTCTATTGGGAAAATGTCGGTTCGTATTAAAGACAATAAAAAATAATAATACTCGTTAGACACTACGGGTTCCCCGTATCCGTTGCTATTAACCGCTGTCAGGTTAATAACTTTAAATTATTCAAAACCATCGGCCGGACCCTTCACCGTTCGGTCAGTCACAATTCGATTGATATTAAGTATCGCGGTCACGTTTTTATTGATTAAAATATGCCATTTTAACAACTTACATACATTACATAATATCAGTATTCCAGTATAACTTCTTAATTTAATATCGTTGTAAAAATGGTAAAATTTATTAAAAAATATTTCAAATAAAATACATTCCTAAAAAAACACTTAGAAGTTATATCAATTCACAGTTGTATTCTAAGTAAGTATTCTAGCGAGCCTAGATCTGACTGAATACATTTTATTAATTCAACTCAATAGTAGGTTATATTATATTTTTAATAATGCGAAATACGGCTAAGATGAAATATATTGGTGGTACAAGACATATATTTTAGAATAAATTGACCGGCATTACCACTAATAAATAATACACAGATACATACATCCGGATGTCCGGATATACAATTCGATTACAAAAGACTTTCAAAATCAAAAGAAAACAACTTTGAGATGGAACCTAATTTTAAATCCTTTCGAAGCCATTTTATGCGTGCTGACTAAATGTGTTTATGTTATGTAATATATAAAACAAATCCGTAGCATATGTTTATAAATTATTGTATAAATTGGATTAAAAAAAAAAAATCAATTTACTTATTTAAATTTCTATAATACGTATAATATGAAGACATTTCTTCAGAATTTAATGTCTATGGACCAAATGCTGTAGTTTATATTCAATGTATGTAATATTAAATGCCTAAAAATGAAATTGTATTGTTGAACATTTTTGTTTAAAAGATAGTTTTAGAGAGTAACTTTTTAACAGTGAAACCTACGCATAAAACATAATTTTAGACTATCTCTGTGCGAACCGCGAACACTCCACAGCGCATAGAGTAGAATATTATATGATTAGTCGTTCAAGTGAAGAAAAATGATTTGAAAAAAAAAAAAGGTGTAAAGCCGCGAACGCTGTAACATAAGGCAACATCGTTCAGGACAAGATGGGTTCATATTGACGTACTTATCCGAATAGAGCTCTCATCGATCACATTTGACTTTTGTGTGATCCAATCATCAACTGCTCTACAATATGATCGACCAGGATGTCGAGTAAATAACCATTGACCCGACCCAAGAGATATATTTTGATAGCAACCAGCAAGAAATATCGCACGTTTTCTGAAAACAGTCAAAATTGCTGCGCGACAACGATGTCCGTTCAGGTCGAATCAATAAAGTACCAAATAAAAAAAAAATCACACTTCTCTTTCACTTTCATTGCTTCCTTTGGCGTACCAAATCGTTAACATCGGCAATGGCCTTCTCTCGTTTTCGGGACCCAATCTTTACTGTAGCGCGACATCTTAATCCAATTATTTTTTCAGTTATTCCTCCCTACATAGGTAATAAAACCGCACCAAAAAAAAAAAAACCATTTAGACAACAGCAATTGGCGGTTAAAAAAACTGCAAATTAAATAACTTCAAACTCAACATTAGCGATTTAATTAAAACAGTAAATTGTATTTGAATGTAAAAAAAAACATGCATAATTCGGCAAAGATGCCAAAAAAAAAGTAGAAAATGAATGCTCGCTAAACGAATTGATATTACCATCGCACACTTATCCTCGTTTTTTTTTAAATCCGCGGGTACATAATATTCTGCATAATAATGGTATATTATACACTTAAAACGATTCTCGTGCACCGCGTTATAATAATCATCATAATAAATTATAAATCCAGACGGTAAATAATATCCGAAGCGGAAAATGTACTATTGAACTCACAAAGTCGTTTGTTGTCTGTTTTCAGGAAATTCATCCACACGTTAACTATTGCACAAACACCGATACCAGGTATATTTTATAGTAATTATTTAGAGTTTGCCAGACTGTTCCTTGAATTGGAAAATTGGGAAAATTTAATTTAAACGTCACTTCACTTTATTCACTGTACGATTTCTATACTGTGCGCACAACATACAATTTGAAATGTAAAGAACTATTACCTTTATGATTTCGTTTATTTGATGCGAGCGTTTCATGCGAACAAATTCCTACAACTGCTTAATTCGAACGATTTTGGAAAAGCGAAATTTGATTCTCATTCTGAAAAAAGAGAGAGAAATAATCGTTTAATATTATGCAGCTTGTTCAAAATTTCGCAAACCACTCATTTTTGCTATACTTCTTCGTCTTCTTTCGGTTTCTATTACCTTCCTAGAGTTTTCGCCGCCATCAATAAATCCCTCCACTTCTACCGATATTCTACTATATCCCCCCCCCTGTCCCAATTCTGTATTCCTAAGTCTCTCTTTTGAGGGCAAACCCGTGGTCATTTCACTTCCGGCCTTCAGTCGATCATTACTCGGCATTCGTACTCCAATGCATACAAGCCCCAGCCATTGTATGGCCTATGACTTTTAAGAAATCATTATCTGCTGCCATTATTATTTCTCTTGTAATTTTCTCCGTTGACTTTTTTTGTTACTGGCCCGTTCTCCTACTCTTCCATACCCTTTGAGAGTGTTTCATTGTACAACAGCTCCATTAACTTTATTTTATCTGAGTTAATTTGTTGACCTATTTGTCTGGCTGTTCGTTTTAGTGTCATGGTTACTCTCGTTGTATATTCTTCGAGCTGCATATTGCATAGTTCTAATCACCCTCTCTAGAGATGTATTAAATAGCAATGCATTTGCCTTGTTTCAGGCCCGTTTCAACACTGAAAGCTTCAAATTTTATACTGTCTACACTAACTTGGTGTTTTCTTCCTTCCATACACGTTCAGATTAGGTTCACAAGCCTCTTTGGAAATCCGAACTCGTCCGTTGTGTTGTGAAGACTATCTCTATAAACGCTATTTTATGTCTTTCTAAAGTCCACTAACAACTGCCAGATGTTCTAGTGATATTCATATGTTCCTTTATTCAGCGTCCTATTGACAGTAACTATTCGATATCTTTCCTTGCGAAAACCACAACGGTATTCTCCTAAACGTTTTTCCGCGTAAAGTGTCAAGCGGTTTAATAACACTTAAGATATACCTTATGTGCTGAATTCCAAAGCAAAATCCCTCTGTATTTACTACATTCAGTTTTATCACCCTCATTCTGCAGTAGTAAAATTATTTCTTTGCCATCTGGCATAGTTGCATAATTTGTTATATTAAATAACTATTTTAGTTAAAAACGTTTTTAAACTTAAAAGATATGTAATGATAACCTGTAACTACCATAATAGTTTTATTGTTTATTCATTAACACAACAACATACATGCAGTAAGGTTTCTCCACATTTTAATTGTTTTAATTATGTCGCTTACTCATTATAAATTATAAGCTTTATACATAATAAATTTTAAAATTTTAAAATTATTTATTTCTTTATTTTTTAATAATCTGAATTTCATAAATATCTCAGATATACCAGCGTCTATCGTATAATAATAATATATATATAGCTAATAACCCAAACCGAAATCCGAATATCTTAAAGGTATTTATAACTTATATTATTTTGATAGCATTATTTTGTTTTCCGCATCCGGGATAACCAGTTTTATTCTACCTTCACTACCTACCCGTATTACCAATAATTAATCAGTGTTATTAGCTCTTTCCCGTTAAACTTTGAGAAATAAACTTTTACTATACGAGTTGTGTAATGTTTGACCGAACTCAAACAAGAATGTACTTAAGCCTCTTATACTACTTACTTAGCTTATCAAAAGTAGACTTGTAGTCGCATGACGGTTGCAGCATTCCACCATTGAAATAAAAGTCTACATGACCTATAGGTTCCTTTAAACCCAAAAGCATGGTTGCTGTGTGGAGTACCATCACGAACTGTCCACTATCAACGTTAACTCCATTGTTTCCAGAATCATTTCCAAAACCCGGCATAGCTGGATCAAGAGCTAAACGTAAAAATTTAATGTTTAAATCATTATGCAATAATCAAACTTAATAATTTAAATACAAAATCTGAAATTTATATTTTCCCTACAAATGACGAACGACACAATTTTGAATCAATATTAAATTTTTTTTACTGCGTTAAAATAAAAGATGATTCATCTATCAATACATCCTCGCAATTTACTTTCGTCTGGCATTTTCAAAAAATATTTTTCTTATCTGTGTTATATTAGAATTTTGAAACTTTTTAAATAACCTTATCTATTATTTATGTATAAAGCTTGCTAGTAAAATTAATTATTATCAGGCAAACTTTTGACATGCAAGATGACGTTATAGACGAAGTTAGGTATATTAAATTATAATCACATTATATAAAAATATGATGTCACTCACAAGCATTTGTATATTGTTATTTATTTACAAAATACTTGAATACAAATTTGTACATTTCACTTAAATAACAAAAATGTGTAAACACTAATACATGTAGCAAGGGGCAAACAAATCTAGGGTGTGATGTTCAATTTTCACAACACTTATATCTATATATATATATATATATATATATATATATATATATATATACACATTTATTTTTGTGAACAACTATGCTTATAAAATGCATAACAAGTCTACCATTTTTGTATGTTTTTGACATATCTGAGCGAACGTTAAAACGCTCTTGATGCACTCATGCGAATAAGAATACACAAGTATAATATGAGTCACCTGCATTTGACGAAAGTCCGGTTGGTAAACGGAAAAATATAAATAATGAAAAACATAGTGGCGATAAAATCCTTATGCAGGAGAGTAAACATGGATACGCGTTATGACGGGAAAGAAATTGGTCCACGATAAAAAATATTAAAAAGCTGTGATAAAAGCTATGAGAAAACATCTCGCGTGATGCTCACTTGAGTTGTGTACATATTTACAAATAAAAAAATTAGATGGAAAATATTTTTTTTCAAATTATATTTATACATATACTATATACATCTCGGTCATAAACATACATGATGCCGAGTATAAGGCTACGTTCGGGTTGTAGTGCTTCTGTTAAACGTAGTGTAACGACTGAACGCATGGCATGCTATTAGCGTACAATACTCATTGGACAATGATGGAAATGACTGCACGAAATATTATAAACTATCTCATTTTCTCTGCGTTTTATAACGACTATTAGTCAAAAGCAATAATGACCGTTTGCGATGGTTCGTGACAAAGATTACCGATCGCAGCTCGAATTAAAGCACTAACACATTTTGCACAAACCGGTAGACCAACGCGGGTTTAATACAGTACACTATAATCAACGGTTTGCATAAAGTCTACCCAAAAGTACATAATTTTCTCGAGTTGCTAAATTTGTTATAAATTACATTTGCGACGGGTGTATGTATTGATTATTTTGATAACCGATGAACCTAACCGATTGAGACACATTGGGAATCTGATACTTTTCGCCCATCTCTGGTTACAATACACAATAATTAATCTTGCGAGAAATTGTCGAAAACAGCGGAACACGGCGGTGCCAACAGGAAACCGGAAATAATATCCGACTAACGCAGCAGCGAAATACCTACTTTATGACCAGCACTGTAAAACGGCGGTAACAAACCCGGTCGACGGGTCCGTGAAGTATCCCGGCCTTTAGTTTGTGACTTGTGTCACGCTATATAGTACGTGTCGCACATTAACTGACGGCACGTATCTATCTTAACGGCCAACTGGTGACACCAAGTGCCGGCAAATAGCATATATAATATAATAAATTGTCGTCAAGAATCCACGACGGAATTCCAAAGAATGCTGCTGAACATTGTTGGACATATCCCACACTGCCAAAGTCTATCCGGCCAATTATGAATACAATTCTTACAGCCAATCACACTAGAGCACCACATTATGCTGCAGAATTCACTTAAGACGCCGTGCCGGTTCAATAGACAAAATAATAACTATATTATTTCATATCCACAGTACACTTATTTACATTTCCGTTTGTGGTTCGATAAACCGTTTGTTTCCCACTAAACTAAATTCGATCACGAAAGTCCTGTCTCGACGCTTTGCAAAGGTTGTAAAATGGGAATTACTCACGTTGCAAGTGATTCTGTTCATATTGTCGACTTGTTGTCCAAAACCACATGATACGAACTCGTAGCTCTTCTTCTTATTATGCCACATAAATAATTTCAAGTATATTAGCCATGAGCAAATATGCCCGACTATATCCGTTCAGGCTAAGATTATTTCTTTGTCGTTTAATTTCCATTTATGTAACAACTTCCTAAGGAGTCATACACTGAGATTACATGAAACAATGTATAATCAAATGTTCACGAATGCAAACTTATTTTGTTTTAACGCGAAACGTCCCTCCGGATTTACGCAAACCTTTATAAATCCATTCATTCACGATTTCGGAATCAAAATAGCAATTAACGACCGGACTTATACAATGTTACAAAAGCAAACACGTTGCTCGAAATTCCCGTGTATTTACTATTTACACAAAAATGGGGTGTGTCAGCATACCTGGCGTATAGCGTTTCATCATCGTTAAAATAATAATTATGCCTTTGACTTTTCAAATGACTTTATTATATTATATGAAGTGTATAAAGGATATCAAAAACAATGTACACTTTTTAAAGGGTAAAAAATATAATGTACGTTCGATTATTTCAGAACCTTATTGTTGAATTTATTTTATTTCAGTTTAATTTTTCAATCCGGGCAGAAACCCTAACTCAAATATTATCATTTTATACTTAAAACAACAGTAATCTAATTGTATTAAATATTTTCTTAATAATTATTTCCTATCCCGATATAGCTAAATTGGCATTGACGTTTTATAATAATGTTATCCAAATTATAAAAAGCGACTTATACAATTTAAGATTTTTTAAAATGGTTAAAAGATACACAGAAATAGGCATTAATATTAGCTAGCATAAGTTTTAAACGATATCAGAAACTATATAGTAAAAAAATTGTTTTAACTCGTTTTCTTATTTTTCAATCGAACATTTCGTTCGAAGACATTATACTATCAGATTGAGTTTTTCCCTTTCATCCTCTAAAGTGTAAACTATGAGGTTGTTCAATAAGCAGTTAATACGTTTTAAAAATAGCATACTTACAATGCGTCGATAAATCACGAAGCAGGTCGTTTAGTTCGATGAACTTTCGAATATCTTCAAACGTTGTATGATAAATGTTGAAAACTTAAGTTTTTACAGTCATTTCAAATTTATGGCAACACTAATCATATTGGGCACTATTTTAATTCGATTTCATACCTATATTATGGGATAAATTGTTCAAAAATCTAAAACTGTAAAATAACGATACAGTTCGGAAACGCGCCGACCGTTGAATTAAATACTATTTTATTCTAAGTTAGATTTATTCAAACATGTTTTCAAATGTATAATATGACGTGTGATATATCAAAAAGTTAACGAAATTGGATAAACCTTTCCACGACGTTTAACCCTCCAAAGCATCTATTCGGGTTGATCGACAGGCTGCAATGGTATTTTCTATAGTATTCGGTCCAGCGGTTCTTGGGATATCAATTCGTAATACTCGGTCGGACACCGATTTTTTTTATAAAAAATATTTTCTTGTAAAATTAATCCGCCTTCTCAGTTTCTTGTCGAAGATACAAGTAACTTATAACACTATGTGATGGTGCCTTCGCCGAAAAGAAAGAAGAGTTGGTAAACCAAAGTTAAGTTAGAACATTAATATTATAGACCAAATATGGTATATATAATTAGTAATAACAATCATTTACAAAAATACTATATATTATACACCAAAGACTACAAAAAATATTACCAAAATGTAACCTCGATTTTTTCGCTGGTGTCAAAATCATCTGCGGCAAAAGTAAAACCCAAACACTATACTTTTACAGCGAGTTTTCCAAAGAATAAAATATTGTGATCTGAACGTGTGTGTGTGGTACGGTATACACCCATTTCATGTAGTTTTTAGAAATGTCCAACACTCCACGCCCACATAAGATATTTCCGCCGTTTTAGTTAAATTAGGTCACTCAATTAAACGTTTAACATACTTTATTTTTACTCACTTCGACTATTTTTATAAGGGCACACAATAGAGCAAACATATTCTTAATTTAAAAATGTTTTGGGTCAACCCTATAACGAAACTACTGCAATACCAAAATGATTTATTGACATCAAAAAACCCTTTAGTACATACATAACAACTCTATGAACATTGTTAACTACCTTATCAAACACTTATTACTTTCTGAATATAACGAAATTATTAATGATGCAAACATATATTATAGTCCAACCAGAAATCGTTTTCTTTTTCATATTCGACCTTTAAGATCATAACTGACAAAAAAATGACCTTCCATCTTTTAATTTGATTTTACAGAAAACGTTTCTGATGCGAAATTGAATAACATGGGTAATTCGTCTCCTTGCCTATTATAGTATTTCTTATGCAGTGGCGCCAAACCTATCTATTAGATATGTCAGTTGCCACACTTATTTGTGGGGATAGGTGGACCGATAGTAAAAGCATAATAAAGTAATAATAGTTTAATTTAATATGCAGCTAATTTTTTTATGATACCAGTACACCTATTTTACATGTTTCTATCTTTAGTTTGAGTACGCTGCCAAATTTGTTGAATTATGAATTATGACTTTGCATTTGTAAGTATAATTGTATATAAGGAGTGTGATATTGAGCGTTTGTTGATAATGGGTATCTTTGTTTTTGCATTTAAATATTTTTTAGAGAGTGTATGGAGCTCTTCTTACCACGAATATTTCTTATGCTACTTGTATTCTTTTAGATGTTGTTCAATAAGCCACATTTATTGTAATTTCTGTACTAGTATTAGTAGTACTCGATTTATTAAATGTATTAGTTTCTACAGTACATTGCATTTTTTCAATCGAAGATAAGATAAATGTACATAATCGTATTATCTATAATCGATAATACAGGGCTAAACAGGGCTTATGGTAGTCTCTTAAAAAACTGCTATCTGCTCATAGTATTATTCTGCCCCAATAAACAATAATTGGTCGATGGCCAGTATCTTGTATGTTTCGTTGACTACAAAAATACTCATTTTCCTAAACATAATTTAGAATTTATTCAGTAGAATTTTTGTCAGTTGTAATTAGTTAAAAATATATACTTTCTTAAATATGAACTTTCTTGTGATTTATAATTTAGTATAAAAAAAAACTGGTAGGAAATGCGATCAAATGTGTTGTCTTTTTTACGCATTATTTTTTTTAAAAGAATTAATGTTTACTTTTAACATTAGCTACATCAAATTAATAATAATATTAAAAGTAACACTATTTTTCTGAAATCTTTGCATTCAATATTAGTTTTTCATAACGAAGACGGTATACACCTACCTATAATCCGTTTGATTCGACTGTCTAACATACGTCCTGCGATTCCGACTATGTGAGCACCCAAACTATGACCAATCAACGTCACGTTATCGTAGTCTTTAATCACACGTTGGTCGTGCAAAGTACTTAACCAATTGGCCAGATAAGCGGCCACAATGTGTGAACGAATTACTGCGATTTCGTAATTATTTACCTGGGACCACTTGGACCAGTCGACCAAAATAACATTAACGTCCATTCTTTCCACCAACGCTGTAAACAAATTCGAAAAATTAAAAACAAAATATTGTTGTAAACAGAAATATTTTTATCGTAATAACACCTGACAAGTTCATTGAAGCTGATGTTTCACATAATATTACATAATTTTTGGAAAAATTACCTGTCAGAATGCATTTAAAAGATTTTGAAACATTCAACGTTAATGTATTTTTTTAATAAAATTTGTATTTGCAAAATAAAATCCACGTCTTGAAATATTATTCATCTCTGTATAAAACTACAGAAAAAAAAACAGTTATACCTTCATTCGAGCTTTAGAGCAACAAGGACTTTTTCATCGTTCTCGTTTATCTAATTGTAAACTAAAAAAATCAGAACGCCATAGTAACACAAAAAACGTGGACACATGCTTTTAATTATTGTATAAGCTCGTGAATACTAATCAGTAAATACGTTTTTCAAGCTCTTTATCTTTATCCTCATGTTATATTTCTCTAGTAAACTACACTAACCTGTATGTCATTTTTTAGTCATGCCGTTAGATCAGCCCACGGGTAAAAGCTGAGCCTTTCGTTTTAAGCGCTCAGATAAAATTACCAAAGTCTTGCGAAAAAAATCTTAAAAATATAAAGTTAAGTCATTCATAATTAAATGATTACTTTGTCGTACTTCCGCTGTGCGCCAAATCTCGGGACTCGATTGGAATCCATGAACAAATACTACAAATGGTTTATCAGCTAAAACACTTATGTTATACCGTTCTAACAAACGAGAGCTGAAAAAATACAAAATAACAGTGAAAAAATATGTTTTTTATTTAATTTATGATATATTTTTTTATATTGTAGATTTTATTGTGCCTAGAAAAATTGTTTTAAATTATGTAATATACATAAGAACTAGTAATTTAATGTTTTACTTCGAATATCGAATTAACAGGTTATTTTCGTATTAATGATTTTTAACTATTCTATTAAATCAATTTAATTAGGTTAATTTTTTGTTTAAATGTCTCCATAAATAATAACCAATAGTACATAATGTATTGTTACAAAGCTAAACAAATCAATAGAATTTAGATGATTGTTTGTAAAAAATTTTTTAGTTCAAAGTTCAAACATTTCAATTTGAGTAAACTAATATACACGAATATAAATAGTTCACATAATTTTTATAAATATTTTTTGTTTTAATCTGTAGTATCATATTATAAAAACCATTTAAAAAAATATTATTTTTATTAAATAACATTTAAAAATATTGTCAATTAATTAAAAAGAAATTAAAATTCCATTATAAGCTGTCATATTCTACAATTAAATAGCTAATAAAAAAAAATTATATATTACTCGTTTTTAAAAAACATGAAACGCATTCCGATTTCCTCCGAGATCATTGGTCGAGCTTCTAATTTATCTGTAATTTGTTTAGTTATTGTTTTGTAGAATAAATTTTAAAAAGTTAAATAAATTACCGAAAATTGAAAAATGAAATACCATCAGTATACTCAAACTACAAATCATCGTAACGTTTTAGATTATTTTTCAATAAGTTTAAGTAAATACGCAATTAAAAAAAAAAAAACACTCAATACACTACGGCAATACTTAAAACTCAAAACATTTACCATAAACTATATTATTGAAATTTAAAAAAAAAATCGTTAATTATCTATATGGCAAATAGCTATTAAGTATGTATGAATGAACCATATAGCCGAATTGTATCACTAAGAATGAGTTGAACTGTAATCGCGTTTACCTAGTCTATAGAAAATAACAATAATACGGTGCCCAACAAAACTTGCTGACCTTAAGGCAAACAACCGAATAGATTTAATTAGTTTGTTTCTTTGTATAATATTATCTGTACAGAAAATTCACATATCACATTTCACACTTATCTTTGACCACAATAATTGTTAAAATAATATCAAATGTAAGCAAATAGCAAATTGTTGTACACAATATATAACTATAATTTTTGTGATTAATTTAATTACAATAATTAGCTCAATATATTATTAAGAGTCTGGCATTTTGTGACAGCGGTTGCTTGTGGCAAGCCAATATCAAACGAGTTGAGACATATTCAAGGCTTATTTTCGTCTAACCATCCAAAATAAAATAATCTTACTATAAAAGTCCGAATAAAAGTCTAACTACATGTGTGTCGCGGTTCATATACTCCGTATATATTACAAAAATTACACACGATACACCAATGTTACGGGAAGTGATTTTTAAACTACTTAAGTTCATGCACAATTACCCAGTGACATATATAGCAATAGCAACACGCTTGGGCAGTATCAGTCAAGGTTTTTCATTACAGCCAAAGGTTACACGATTCATTATACACGTCGGATATTTTTAACAATTGTATTTTATCAGCTGTTAAATCAGTTTTTAATTTCAAATCAAATTGTCTACAATGTGCATTAATTAGCTAAAAAAAACCATTCGGCTTGTAGTCAGCAAGGGACGTGCAAGTGATTAAATTAGGCGAACCAAATTAAAGTTGACTTAATTAAATGCTCAATTTTAAAATCATATCATTAAAAATATTTGTTTAAAACTATGAAACAGTTTTAATAACTCAAAGAATTATTATTCAAACACTTGGCTTATTGCTATTTGATTTCCTACTGAAAAAAGTTAAGACTTTTAAGTCCAAATTATATTGGTTAAAATAAGGAAAAGTAAAAAGTCGCGTGACATTGTATGTTTACATAAGAAAACTCCATTATTGTAATTTGAAGAAAAAATGATCTTTCTCTTTTTCGGATACAGAATTGCGGCATGAAATATTTTTTTTTATATCTGTATACCTACAGGTTCACTTTATTTTTTATATTTTAGCTCATATAAATGCGTTTTGTCATTTGTCGAAAATTGTTTATGGTGAACAATTTACATTGAAATATAATGAAATTTCAAATAAATTATATTATTAGGTGTGTAATATTTAATAAAATGAAAGTAATAATGTATATTAATCGAAAACCGTTATTAAAATGATTTCAGTTTCGCATTCTCAAGTAGGTATTTTATTTTCTTCATGAAGACCCAAATTTCTCATCTTTTATACTCTGAATACCACATTAAAGTTAATTCTTTTATTATTAATATTGTCCGGAAAAATTCAACGAAGCGACAAGATTTAAAAAAGTCATTTACTACTTGGTAGTTTATTTTGTGAAGAATATATATGTATATATATTTATTAATATAGTTGGAAAAACTCAACGATATTCATTTGGTATTTACTATATTAAATTGACAGATTTCCTTTAACGTTTTCTTCAGCCAAAAATGATTATATATTTCTTTATTATAATTTTGATTTTGAATGATTAAACGATGTTATATTTTTTTTACTTAGTTAAGAAGTTTAAAAACTAATTTAAGTACAGACATAAACAATAACCATGCCCTCAAACCTTTTGTACCATTGGTTCTTAAACTTTAATTTTATATTAAAGTTTATCAGAGTTTTAATGAATCCCATGCTTAAGCGCGAGTTAAACAAAACAGTGATTGTGGTTTATGCTCAACCAGGATTAAATCGCATTAAAACCATAAACTGTTGATAATTTAGTTATCTGGCGTAAACAAAAATGTCTAAAAATATGTTTTTAATTAAAACCTAATCAAACTTATGTTAATTTAGTAGTTCCGTAAATATCCCATAACAAACATTTGGAACATAATTTTAATTACATAGATCGAGTTGGTGATATGATAAAATATTTAAACAAAATGTTCGACGTTTTACAAAAAAAAAACCTCAGTTTTAAGATTAATCTAAGTAATAGAATGTTTGGGCGAATCAGAAGATCTTTCTTTTTTTACTACATTTTACTGAAGAAATGTATGAGATGACTGTTGAAAAAAAGAGGGGTATAATAAAAAACAGCGCTGCTCGTACTTCAATCTAACCGCACCCGTTCCACTTTCTTTCCTTCAGAATCAATTTATCCACGCAAATGGACCAAAACGGAAGTAGTTCGCCAGTGTTTAATGACAACCGTCACAATGGTATAAAGTAATCGGCAACCGAACCATATTCTATACACGTTGACATTTGAACCTTTTTTTTCTCCTTCGCTAAAAAAGGAGTTCTGTCACATATGTTTCTTTTGGATCCATTTTATCCAGTTCAGTAATCAATCTTTAGATAAGAACAGCATTCCTTCGCTCGGTTCGTCGAAAAAATAAAAGTCCATTTAATTGTAGAAAACAATATTGTATTAGTAAACTTAATGCTATGATGTAAATATAAGGAAGCCCTATAAAATGTTTAAATTAAGTTTTAATAAAACGTTGCATAATAGCATGCATTATTAATTATGTTATCTCAATGCTTAAGATATAACAATAAAAATATGAATTATATTCCTTTTTTAAATCAAGAAATTAAACTAAAATAAAGGTAAATAAAAAATTCTAATTTGTTTAATTCTATTTATAATAATACACATGTGTATGATGAATACTTAAACCATCTTCACGTGTCAAAGTCAAAGAACACTTTAAAGTTGCATTACATTTACACGTCAGATCCTTAAAAATGTCAAAAGCTCCTAGCTGGCCTACGTATTCATTAGGTATAAATATCCCAATTGACTAGAAAAACAAGTATATTAAAATCTAAATTAACGATAAGGGTGTTGGTTATGATTCCACCAAACAATAACTAAGTACAATAATAACGGTCTATCCATCCTTTCTTCGGTCTTCCTCTTACTCTCTTTCCCTCTACATAACTTGCACTATCTCTTCTCTTACATATATATCTGTTGTTTGTTGTTTTTATATAGATGTTTATGGATGCTTCACTATGAAGTAATCCTCGTGCATTTGACGGGTTAGTGGACATGGTCGACCAAGAAAGAATAAGGTTGGTTGTGCTTGGCGGCGCTGGCGTGGGCAAAAGTGCCATTTGTAAGCGGTTTATACTCAACACATTTTCCCCCAAATACAGAACAACCGTGGAAGACCTTTACAGTAAAGAATTCCATGTGGGATCAACTACATTCAAAGTAAGTTCGCAAATTACTTATATTGACATTTGAAATAATAATAATAATAATTTTCATTATTATGAAAAATATTAACCTATTTATACCTCCTATTAAAAATAAATTATTAACCGTTTAAAATAATATTATTATTTATTATTGTGACAGTGATTAAGTTAATTAAAACATATCAAGTTTCTTACACGTTTATATAGACGACAGTAGCTGCGTATCAAGAATCTTATTTAACAAGAAATTTGTTTTAATAACCCGAATATTTTTTTTCTATTTCTTAAAATTTAACATTTAATTATGAACAAATATTAGACAATAATTATTTACGCATTAATTATAATGTTACTCGTAGTTTTATAAATGTGTAATAATTGTACCTATTGAAAAAACTCATTGCTAAAAAAGTTCATTAGTTATTTTATACTTCTTCAGGTAGAAAAATTATTATCTTAATGATTGCTTTTTCGGGTTGTCTCTTTCTCTATGTTGTAGACGATTGTCTTGAGTATGAGGCTATCATCTTTCTCCGGGGCATGACAGAAACCTTAATAAATGCCCACCCCCAAAAAAAAAAAATCATTGAAAGCTCGAAAAAAATTAATTTAATAACGTATAACCCGTAAGTAAAACAATTGAACATATCAACGTCTCATTTAAATACTAAAATACTCAAAATTGTACAACAAAAAAAATAGATTAACATACTTCTAAATATTTCCTATACAAGTTTAATGATTTCTAAACCATTAGGTTCAAATATAAGTTATTTTGACGAATTCCTTGCAATCTACATTTATTCGGAAATACATCCAAGTATAAAATAAATAATTTAAGTACATTACCAAGCGAGCTCTGTCTCTTTGAATATTTATTTTCCATTATTACTTCGCCTATAACTTTAATTAGTGATCTTTTATTCGACCTGGCAATATAAACCAATGTTTAAATCTAAAGCTATCATTTCAAAACTGTTATAACGACGGTCGTAATCGAGGAATTACAAAAGGGCTCCTTAAGGGGACGTCATAACCAAAATAATAGCACCAAAATAGAACTTTTGTATTTCCAATAGTCTGAAGTCTACAATACAAGCAGGGATATAAAGTATAAATTGTTTGAAAGATGAGAAATTTAGGTGTGTCTTGTTGGAGTTAGATTTAAAAAAATACATTTTAGTTTTAAGATATATATATTTAAATAATAAAAAATATGCCCTTTCTTTATGCCATATTGTTCCATCTCCAAACCAACTATCGAAAATTGAGTTTCAAAAAAACCATAGAAAAAGTTCTCACCTAAAACTTTTATAATAGGATTTTTTTCTCTAAAACCACCCAGTGGGCCGTGTTTTTGAAATTAGAAAACTATGTTGAGATGAAAAAAATATTTAAAATCACTGACAAAGATGCTGCAATAGTCCGAAAAATAAATTAACTGACTAAAAATAATTCTTATTACTAATCTAATAAGTACACATTACAAATTAAGCTATAAATTAAGATTTTGCAAAAAATTGCCTATACCCAGCTCCTTAATAAATAATACGTCCCCTTAAACGGTTGCACGCAAATTACTTAACATAACATGGGGGGGGGGGGTATAATAGCATTATAATACTGCTGTCCTATGATTAATAAAGAGAACCTAACCGTACTACCAGAATATTCTCACCGCGCCTTTTCTCAATTTTCGAGACATATTTAATATTATTATTAATTTGTGTACAAATTTATGATCTAATTAAATGAAATATAAGTTTCAATGGGAAGCTGCAATACGTTTTTCAAGATATTTCTCTCTCTATATATATATGTGCAATACTTCTAGAACTACTGGGTCGATTTCCTAGAGAGGAGTCTTCATTTTACTACTTGAAATGAAAAACGAATAATTTTGCTGCAAGTATACAAATGATAAAAATTATATTACCGGATACCCAGTATCTCGATATTATCCGTTCAATAATGTTTTGGACCAAAATGTAAACACAATTGTTTTAATAAGACAAATTTTGACAACAACTGTCCACTATAATGTAGGTACACAATAATCTACAACTACTGTGAATTGCGACGCAAGCCCAATCATCTTTTGAAGCTGGGTATATTATATCTGCCTGGGGCGTCTTTACTGGGTTATTAATTAGGATCATAGTCGTATTACAAACAGACATTATCGTCAAAACGTACACGCCTAAGACAAAACACCCTTTTCCGTCTTGGTCAAACAAATATACCTGTAGAACAGCATATATACACTGTACAATATTAACAAAACTGTCGGACCCTATAGATAGTGGACCCTTTTAATCCATCAGTGCAATTCGGAGGGGCTTAAATCCATTTCGTGTTGTCATATTGGAACACAAAGCGTCATTGTGTAATAGTGAGTGTGATATACAGCCGAAAGACAGGAGACGATTAAATGATTAAATGACATTATGTAGAAAAATATTTTTCTGCTATTCCACATTTCCATTATAGTTTATACATTTAGACCGTTGAACAGTACACATAGTGTAATCAACATTTTCTGTAAATAATTTGTGCACAAGACAAATTAAAACTTAAAGACAGTTGAATATGTGGTGTTTTAAACTCTTGACCTAGGTTCGAACTGCATAATATTTAAACGCAATTAATTAACTTGTTGGTGTTTTTGTTGTACAATTATTTTAAATTTCGTTTAAGGTGCAATATGTTATATAAGATAACGGTGAAAACTTTTCCGTGGCCCCGGTAATTGTTAAAAACTGCAAAAAACAGCAAATAAAAAACGGCAAAATAAAAATATTACTCGCACATATTTTTCGGTATTTTAAAAGAAAACAGCTTTTAACCGAAAAGCGTAAACACTGCGGTTAAAGTTTTCATTGCTAAAATTAACTTTACATAATTGCAGTTCGAAGAGAATTGAAACAGTTTTCTTACTAAAACAATTGTTTTAAAAGTTTTCGAAATAATAAGATTAAGATTTTAATTTGAAAAAAAAAATGTTTTATTAAGAAGCTTAAGAAGTTAGACTTTTCAATTTATCTTTCTCATTTAAATTAACTTATAACAATATAATAGTAACAGTTTGTAATTAAATTAATCGTTGACTACTTTTGAGTAAATAGAACTAGACATTAATCATAATAATGTACTCGTAGTTCATCTTCTGGCCAACTACTGGCTTATTTTACAAAAATATAAAATAGATAAAGTTATATACTAACACTACTTGAAGTTATGCCGATATTATTCTACAGCTGTATACTACATTTTCCTTTGAAGTTTAGTGTATACTAAATTTTCCTTTGAAGTTTAGTCTTTATTTTTCTGTTAAAAAAAAAAAAATTAGAAACTCGTTACAACTGTTTTTCATGAAGGTTTTAAAGACAATTTGTACTTATTTCACAACCTTTACGACCTATGATTGACAAAGATTGGTGAATATAGTTTTTACCGTGTCTACCAAAAGTATAAAAATTGATAGTTTTATCATTTACACTGTTTACACAACTTGCGGTTACTCCCACGTGAGTGGTTTGACTGGTAAAATATCATAGAAGGAGTAAGGAGTCAGGTAAGGATCAAGGAAGAAGATCTGGTGTAAAAATGCAATACCCCATTCGAGTTTAAACGAGTTTGATAATTGTTTTTTTAAAGCGTTATATTATATCGTTTTGTCGACAAAACAGGTGGACATCCTGGACACGTGTGGAGACCAACAATTCCCGGCCATGCGGCGGCTGAGCATTGCCACGGCGCACGCCTTCCTGTTTGTCTACTCGGTCGGGTGCGAACGGTCTTTCGACGTGGTAAAACAAAACTTCGAAGAGGTGCGCGAACAACGAGAAGACTACCAGGTGTTGCCAATCGTAGTGGCCGGCAACAAGCTGGACTTGGCCCCGGACTATAGGCGGGTCACCGTGGAGGACGCGTCCGAATGGTTGTACTGCGAGCTTCCCAAGATGAGGTGAGTAACGCCGAATTATCATGGTTAACGACACTTTTGTTGACAAGTCGACTTAACACAGTCGAGTGGACCAACAGTATACAAACGAGACACGTGTAAATGCAATTTTTTATGTATGAAAAATCCAACAATTTTTGTATTTCGATTTCAATCGCCCAGTACATCTACATAAATGATTACAAGTTTACATAAGAAATTACATTTCATTTCCATTTGCTTACTCCGCGTCGCCCTAACTATATTATATTATGGTTCGAATGAGTGTGTTTTATTTTATATCGCCATGTCAAAAATTCCAATGACTTTGGGCGACTACTTACTATAAGTATAACTTTACGACAAAGTGACGTGAACCGTGTTATATACGTACTATACGCTGTGTCATCATCAGAGCTGGCGGTCGGCGAGTTCTCGAAATTCGATTATATTATATGCTTCCCGTTGTAAGTTTCTGCGATGTCCGTATGTGATTTAAATTATTGGACTTCTGCGGAAAATATGCGCATAGGATCGTCCCGGAATCCACTAATCATAACTGGCATGCCGGAGGAGCAAAGCAAGGCGCACTGTCGAATGAAAAAATAACCATTAATCCGTTGGTTTGGAAACAAACTGCGATTGGGGCGTATATGAAAATGTCTCTATGTATGTATACTTTATATAGATTTGAGATTTCCGATGTGCAATATAGACTATACATATTATGCTGTCGATTCGCGACATGCCGATGGACAGAAGTCAACGTTCGCCTTGAAAGACGGCACATCGCACACACACACACACACAAGTCAGTGTAGTTATAATGTCTGGCCGGAAGAAAAAAAAATGTATCGACCTTTAGATTTTTTTTTCTCGAAAATTTTTATATCAACGCCGCTGCGTTCGTTTGCAACCCGACTTCCGGCAAGTGCTCGTCCCGGTCCGGACGTCCGGGCTCTACCCGGAGCGACTGCCAAAAAAGAAAAATTATTTTCATCAACCCGTTCCAGGCGACGCCTGTCTTTTGGTTGTTTGCGCTTAAGACCTGGCCCGTAACAAATTATAAAACATTTTACAGGCGTGGTAGGTACCTATAACCTAACCGTTTTATCATGCCGGCCGGGGTTTCCTGTCTGGATATTTTTTTATTATTAAAAAAGAACCGTTTCGACCATAAGGGCCGGCGGTTATGGTGAGCTATTAAACCGAATAACTTGGGAGCCGATAAAACTAAAGTGATTTCGTTTTACGCTCCCGAGTAAAAAAATGTATCGACAGCCAGCCGACGGTTTTTATGGGCTGATCAAACCATTCGGTAGCTACCCACAAATCGTCACTCTCTCCCACACCACTACGATAAATAGCCAGGTGCTTGGGGGTTAGGCCCCGTCAGATTTATAGGGGGAAAAAAATCAACCTATTTTTAATTCATACTAAAAAAATACCCGTTTTTTTTTTCTTTTCTTTAAATCCATCGACTCGTTTTATAAAATGTAAGGTCTAGACTCGACTCGGTTAAATAAATACTACACACACTCACCGCGTTATTATGTAACTAAAATATCCTCTATCATAGTTCCTTGACTTAGCCAACCCACTGAGCAGCGTTATTGCGTCGGCCACTGGTCCGCCACTTGTTATTGTTTAACTAAACTTTCCATAGGTGGATGTGCTACGGCTAAGTGCTTTGCCGTAGGTTCAATACCGACAGCTTAATTTCATTAATCCTGCTTTGCCTTCAAAATACTAAACTTCAACCCCCTCCCTTTCGAATATAATTCAAACAAGATTCCAAAACTCTTAGGTACTCTCTCAACATGTCTACAAGCCAACTAGTCCTAAATATATATATATATATATATATAGTGTTCTACATAAGATAAAGCTCTTCTGTTTCTGGTGCAATTTACAATATCGCACAACATACTAATTGAAATGCTGCGTTCACAAATATTACATTTCAGTTTGACGATTAATTTGAGCAAATTTCTGTACTGGCCAATATTTTAATTATCGTGAGCTTTTTTCTCTTATCCTATTGTCAATTAGCTAAAACCTAATAAATTAGGGTTCATTTGACGAATATATCTACTAACTTAAGGATCTACTTATGAGTTCTGACAATACAGTTAATAAGCATTACCCTACTTTACATTGGTCATAAAAAACCTCCTCCGTTTTTAAAATCCGTTAAAAAAGACAACAGTTTGCAGTCAACACTTACCGATTACATTATTAAATCGTTAAGGAGCTAAAACCGTATTTAAAAATAACAATATTAATTAAAATTAAGTCAATTAACAAAATAATAAACGATATATCAAATTACAAAAAAAAACATAAAAGTGAAATTTACAGGAGACAGTAAATTTTTTTAGAAAAATGTTTTTTAAAAGATTCAAAAATGTAATAAAAATCAATGCAAGTATAAATATACAGTTTGCCAGTTCAAAATGTGTTGATATGTGAAAAAAATTGCACTGAATCTAATTTTTAAAATGTTTTGTTAGTATGTTTTGTGTACTAAACTAACTACTTAACTGACAAGTAGCTATTATTTGATGATTTTATAGGATTGCATTCTCGGAGAGACCACAATTAACTTAATTGTAATTCCAAATCTGTTATAGAAAGTGAAAAGATTTTAAATTTATGTACAAAGTCCCTAAAACGTTTTTATGGGTCCACCCGTCATAAAACGGAAGCAAGGACCATAATTGAATTGAAAATATTATAAATAATTCAAATTATAACCTGTCACACTTGGAATATACAATTGGCATGCAAATTGTAAAAAACTAAACTTAATATTTACAAGGCCATTTTTACTAGTGTGACGTTTTATTATTAATATTATAAAAAGTTAATATTACATTTGTTTTTTTCGAAAAAAAACAATGGCAGGAGGGCGGTAAATAATTGTTTATGCCTCTTATTATTATTTTTTTAATAACTCAATACTCATCGCAAAATATAAAACAGAATATTTGTATCTTTAAAACAAATTATAATAATAACAACTTGGACTTTATTTTATTAGGACGATCACTCAAAGTTATAATGCGCGTTCGCATTTTTCTCGCAGCTTCAGAGGTGTCCAAGGTGAGAGACAAATGACTCCGAAAGTTCCTTTTTAACTCCTAACTGGTATCTCCGAATGTCGTCTCCTAGAAGAATCCTATCGGGAATTCCTCAGCATTAAAAAAAAGGAGACCATTAGGAACATTCTACAGAGTAAAGAATACATAAATTACACAACATTTTTTTTTTTGCGTTATTGCCCGTAAGTAATTAGTTACTACATTTTAATAGGAAAAGATTTAATTAATAATTACTATAATTATTTTTTTAATATTGTAAAAGTATTTTAAAATGGGAGGAAATCAAATGTTAATGATACAGACGTTTTAAAAACATTGCCTTACTATAAATAAAACAATGTTGATATTGTTTCAAAATATTTGTACAGTTATAAAAATTATACTTTAAAATAAAGCTGAGACCTCGAATCGAATTTTTCTATTATTCAAATTTTCGCACGAAAAAACTAAAAAGAACTTCTTAATCTAAGAGGTTTTTTAGTTATGTTTTTTTACACGGAAAAAAATAATTTGGTTATAGTAAATGTTTGGAAATATTCTTGTTTGATCTACTATAATATGGCTGCGCCTACTACATCATTTTAGTTAGAAATACCAAACTGTAATTATATATCTATATAAATTGTTAAAATCTTATTTGTTGTAATAAGTAATAATATTTATTTTTTCAAAAGAATAATTCGTTATAATTATATTTATTTTGTTAAAAATTATTAAAAATAGATCAAGGACACCTTAGTTGTCTCTTAATTATTTTTTTTTTTAATCTAATTAATCCTGCAAAGAAAATGATCAAATATTCGAATATTCGAAAAATCAGATCGAATATTCGAATAAAAAATTCGAATATTTGTTTTTCGAATAGTCCCACCACTATTTTAAAATACATTTTTGCTGTGTAGGGTGATTTTAACCCATATTAGGTTTCACAATTTCGTCGACCTTAACCTTGTTATCTACATGTAAATAACGTTACAAAGTAGAAGCTCCGTCTGGCGTCTATTAATTTATCTGTTTTGTTTTGCTTTCGACAGGGTGAAGCTGTTGGAGTGTTCGGCTAAAGACAACGTTAACATCCGGGACGTGTTCAAGTGTTTCCTCGGGCTCTCCAGGATCCTGTCTGCGACGGAGGACATGTCTGCCGGCCCGTTGAAGCGCAGGTCCAGCGCTTACGTCAGCCACACCAAGGCGTCTAGACGGACCGAGAGCCCGGTCACGCTGTCGGTGACCGCGGCCACTTCGGTAGCGCAGTCGCCAGCTTCGCCCAAGAGCCACGGCGACCAAGTTTACAAGGCGCAGGAGAGGCCCAAGCCCCGCAGTCGCAGCCTGATCAGAAGATGCAGCCGCAAGACCAAGCAGCAGATCAGAGACAGCGGCGGCGTAGACGACTGCAACGTCAGCTAAACGGTACAAAAGACACTGAAAGATTGCCCGTATTTTATTTACCCTCCCTCGACTCGATTACTTATCGATAACAATTATTTCAACCTTAAATCGCTTAAGGCTGTCTGATGTCCGGCTTTCCGGTACACACTCGGTATTAGTACTTGCCACTGAAAAACTAACTAGACTACATTTTGCCCTACCCCGAATTTGTTTTATTCGTCAATAAACCCAACAAATAACCGAAACCGATATTTTATGCCTATATTATTTAATGGTATTGTACAAACCAAAATCTGTATCACGAACAAATTAAAATCTATAACCCAACAAGTGAACAATTAACTTACTTTGCTGCTCCAACAAATAGTTACTTTTAAGTTTGAGTTACGGTTTTGTAAACCCTAAACCGGTTCTACGTGTGCCGAAGAAGTGACGTTTATCACAGATTTCAAAAGTGTTTTCTACACACAAAAATGTATTTTCGAATTCGACCCGTTTAACGTTATTGTTTGCACCCCCGCATTATTACTTGAGCCCAAGTTAGGATGGGGCGGGTGTGTTAGGTTTGCTAACTGGAAATACTAAACGTATGAATTGAAAAAGGCCAAAAACGAATGGAATCGAAATATGAATCGAGCCGGCCACCGCCGTTCACCCTCTGTCCATCCAAGTATACAAACCAAATTCTTAACATAGTAAGTGTAAGCAATATCGCCTGTAGGCGTTGTATTATTATATTTTATCGGATCAGGAGGACCAATAACGGTTTTTTATTCTTGTTTCCATAATAATAATACTTCATATTACATTTCACAGCGTATTTTTGAAAAAATCCTATTCGGTTTGGGCGATACCGACTTCAGCACTAACCGTTAAAGTGTACCTACTTATAACTACGTACATTTTAACAATATAACGCATGCTATTAATGTAAAAGCATATATTATTATCTCACTATGTTAAATGTGATTTATTAAACGGTTGTAAAGAAATAAAATAACTATTACATTTTTATATTGTCGTCTTTGTCACCACTTTCGAGGGTGTTTATAAAATTACATTTTACAACTCCTAATATATTATTCTTAAGTAATACATATGTAAATGATCTAATATTTATACATAATCCTAATTGGTGTACAAATAACAATTTCTTTATTCGCTTTTTTTAATATTTTTTTTTACATTTACCATGTTTTTTACATTATCTTGTGAGTTTTCCTAATTGTTAATATACTTATACATACATATTAAGTATTATAGTATTAATATACTTAATTAATATGTTTACTCATAATAATTTATGTTTAATGAGTTGTCAACTTTTGGGAAATTAAACATAATCTACCATTTAAAATTTTGTAATTCGATTTTGCCAAAGTACTGTGCAACTCTAAGAAATGAACAGGTCGACCAATATGAAAATATTTATGTGCACGAAAAACAGCAAATCAAGTATGAGTATTAGAATTCCATAACCTTGTATATATACCTATAAAGGCAATTATAAAGCCGAGGTAGCTATAAATGTTCCTTATTTTGCCTACCATTTTTTAATAAAAAAAATAATTATTATTATCAACTGTTAAATACCATAATAAAAATATAATTTTTTTAGAGTTTACTTAATGTATCATCTTAGAAGATTAATACGCTCATTATGATTGTACATTATGAATAAAAAAATGTGATTCATAATATCAATGTCAAGAAAATTGTCTATCTCATGTCGGTTTATCTATATTTTTAAGTTGTCGTTATGATATCTGTTTGAATTAATTTGTATGTATGTTAGTGGCGATCAAATAGTAAATTAATATTGAAAATAATAACAAAATACTTACATCATACAAAATCTATAATATAACACGTTTTAACATAATGTTTGTTTCCATAGTATGTTAATTTGTATAAAAAAGATATTAGTTTTATTTACGATACTTAATTTTGCTCACATTTTTTTGATAATTTGACACGGTCAAATTGTTTCATCAAAATGTAAAATAATAATTACAACTATTAAAATAAAGTAATTTAAACATTTTTTTAAAGCACAAAAAATATTGCTAACTAAAAACTATTAACCCCGTGACAGTGTGTATAATATTAAAACAATTTGTATTTACTTCCTAATACAATATATATACATAGACATTTAATTATAATTTGTGTTTTTACACAAAGACTTTTTTTTTCAATTTTATATACAATAACCTAAAGCGTTTGTCGGAATTTTCTAACAATTTATATTAATTAAATGTTTGTCTTTAAAACTTTTGCATCAATCTACATACATATTATTATCATGAAAATACATATTTATGCAAATAAAATTCTTACTTATCTTGCACTCTTGTAAAATTACTCTACTTATAGTGTTTACTGTTTTATGCTAGGGGCAATAAATTAAATTAATTTTTTTTTCTAAATAATTATTTGCCCTGTGCAGCAAAAATTAAATACTAACGTTGGAACTGTTTAAAAGTACAACTAATAAAATATGACACCACGAAATGTGATAGGATTTCAATATAAATGTGAATATTCTTGTCACAAACGGTATGTTTACGATTAATTATACTAATAATATAAATTCTTTGTACAAATTATAACGCATTATTAAGCGATTTACCAATTTATTTCATTTTGTTTTGATATTAGGAAACATAATATTTTCAAGTGTGCGACTAAATTATTAACATATCCAGAATCGCTTAAATACCCAACATATAACCTTTACAGCCGCCCAAAATTTTTTTTTTACTAAAACAAGATTTTGTACAGGGTGCCGTAAAAGTTTAGGTACTCGATTAAGAATCACCCGATTGTATAAAGTTTTTAAATAATTTATATAATATTATTATTATACAATGTATGTGATGATAGTAATACACAATTAAATTGTAAGACTTTTATATTATAACAATATTATTATGATCTACTGTAAACAAAATATATTATAATATAATAAAAACAATATTATTGTTTAGATTAGTTTAGATCCCAAAACAAGTATGTCATATCATGCACCGAAAACTTTGGTTGAATATATTATTAAATTTATAAACTATACGTATATTCTATATACATTAAGTTTTATTGTAAAACGGTTTTTATTAAAAATTCATTAATGTATAAATATTAACTGCATATAAATAATTTTGTTTCAAATACATAATAATATATACCCATTACTTTACGCGTAGAGTATACCTTTTATGCCTAATTCCTTACTACATACACGAGATGGATTTGATGAGTGGCTGAAAATGTATTGATTTTACATTAATAAGTTTTTCCAAGTTCTGGATTGCTGATAACTTTTTAACCGCTGAACTGCATATGTGTATACTTCATAAACTTATATGTATATATATAGAGACAAAAAGTGTTTATTAAAAGTAGGTTCTATATAAAAAGATAAAAAGTTCACTCTTTCCTTAATCCTTATCGAAATAAAGGTGTATTTCTCTATAAATGTAAATTGTAATAATCTTTTCCAGTAACGTATTTATTTCCATACCTTCAAAAAAATGGTAAGCAACCATTGTAGTAAGCATTCAAACTTGGTACAATATATTATAAAGGTAGCGCAATGTAGGATCAAAGCAGTCACTAATTTGTTCTCTGTTTAACCTGTCGGACCAGCTAACTTATACGTATGGCACTTAAACTATAAATCTCAAAGGTTTATCGAATTTATTGAAATGTATTATTATAATTTATATTCCATTTATTACTTGTTGAGACATGTTAAACAATAATATTAAATTAATTTCATTTCTTAGATAAGTTCAATATACCTAATGCCGGTTTGCATTCTATAAGGATTATCTTGTGGATTCGATGAGTATTGATTTTCCGTTTAAGTAAAGACAACCCCACTGTTTATTAGCAATTAAGCTATGAATAATTTATTATGAAATAATTATTGTGAATTTATAACAATAAATCTCAAATCGTTCATTCGCGTATAACTCTGACATTGTGCCATCGACATTAATTGAGTTAAAAAATGGTTTGTTTTTAAAGTATTTTCGTTTTAAACTTAGATAAGAAGCTGATCAAGATTTTTAAAAAGTTAAATACCATTGTTGTTTTCTGAAAAAAGAATAAAGTCAAAGTATCATTTTTTGCCCTCGTTTGAACTTTAATTAACTTTCAATTAATACATTCATTAATTATTTTACAAAGACAACGTTACTTGTGTGTATATACAGAATAACAGCAAGCCTTAATAGTATTTCAAAGCTGATAGTTCCTAGTGAAATGCTGATTGATGACTACATCGGTAGACAGAGGCAAATCAAATACCATCTATCTAAAATACAAATTCAGACAGAGAAGGTTAGAAAGCCTAAACTACAAACAACTCGATGAAATAACGTCTGGCCGTTGGTAATTTAAGAAGTATACAAGTCTTAAGTACTGAAATATTTTTAATCGGTTTTAAATGTGTCAACATTTTATATAAATTTTTTACCTTTTACCTAATGAATTTTCAAAAGTTAGCGTATGGAAGTAATAATATTTTCATTGCATAATAAATAAAATTATTTTAAATTTTTTACTATAATAACGATTTGATCACAAAAGTTTTTAGTAATAAAAAAATTAAAACAGTGTCAGTATTTTTGGTGACTTTTTATTTATTACAAATATTTCCCAGTAATTATTTTATAATACAAAGGTTTTTAAATAATGCATAGTAAAAATATATATAATAACAGACTGCATTTGTTTATGGGTCTATAACTCTGAACACGTGTAGAAGCTATAAATATGTTCATTTGCTGGTTGTATTGATTTTTTCGAATACATACAGTTATTACTTTTGTTGCATTTGAACATGCAATAAACAAATAAATTACTAAAACAATTAAAACCAAAATACACAATTTGAGCAACGTAAATTAAATCTTAATCTTAATAATTTAATTATTCTAACAAAACACAAAAACACTTTTAGATTGCATTTTATTTGTGTAGACACGTTTGCTTTTTTAAATGTCAATCCAAATTTTAAAATGTACACTTATATTGTAATAACTTTAATTACGCTTCGTGCGTGGACTTCTTGAAAATTAGAATACACTGCATAGCTCTCACATGGTGGATTTTAGAACAACCTTATACAATATGTTTTCGAATCAACCTTGTTTACTGGTCTCGTGCGATTTTATATTATTCTTCGCCATTATCACTAATTACATCACGAAAAAGAAATGATATTGCATTAAGATGTTGTTAACAAGTCCATAACGTCGGAGCAAAGCAATCTAGTGCCTAGGGACATAACAGATTTTAAAGACTAGGTAGACTAATTTGTATGTGTCGGCTGAAATAAACTCTTAAATTGTGGTAGAAAGATGATTAGTGGGAATTCTTATTAATTTTTTCGTTAATAAATACAGTTAAAATTTTTAAAAATAAGCGTTTAAAAATCGCTGACGTCCAAGCAGAAGATCTATTATATTATTTTACATAATTTTTCCAATCTTGTGTTTATCTCATTTGGATCAAATGACTGTAAAAGAAACGACGAAAAATCGAAGTTAGCCAACAAATTAGGTATACGTAGGGGAATGTAGTTTTTTTTGGCCAGTCAAAATATCAAAGTTATTTTTATTTCAAAGGAAGACCGAGCAAAAAAACAACGCTATATTGCCTCACTAAAAATACATTTTGAAAGTAAGTACACCTTAAATTACTGTTATGTTTTTTTTCTATTACTAAAGTTTTTATTTTTAATGTACCGATGGTAAGTATCGCGGTGACGTGCTGAAAGTAATTTTATAGCCATTATTACAAATAAAGTTTATTATAAATTACTTAGAGTGAATTTAATTCAACTTATATCTAACAGTAAAGTATTATATAATTATTAAAATACCTCAAATTAATTTTCCTACAACAATTATTATAGTGTTGCACATAAATAGAATTCTGTACCCTGGGGTGAAAAAGGTCAGCTTAGACCCAAGGTACAAAATTGTATGCTAATGTTTAAATTTAAGATCATTTAGAGCTCACAATATTCAACAGTAAGTTTTGTATTATAAATTACTGCCTTTTGGACCTATAATTACTTACAATTATATTTTATTTTAATTAAGGAATCTGATACTATTACTGTTACGGTATTTTTTTCAGTTAAATTAGAATTCATTGTCCTGTCAACTGCAATAGGTACGTGTTGGCGGGGTTATTTCTTGTTTATACAAATCGCATTAATTAGTTTCAAATTAAAAATGTACTATATGTTAAAAATGTAATATATGTTATAATATTATGTGCGTGATTGCGTGCACTTGGCATTTAAGTAAGAAGGCGTTCATTAGAGTTATAAAATACATAACCGTACTTTCAAAATATAGTTGTATATTTCCCTTGAAAGTAGTAATGAGAACTGTTTTGTATAGATTTAAGCCGTTACCTTGTATTGTTTCACACTCCTTATAGGTGAACCACCATGTGTCAACTTAATTAATGAGAATTCTCTAAATTACCATTATTACCAACTATGTCTCGTTATTAATATGTAGATTTTAGATAAATATATTTTGTAATAGTTTTATTTCGCGTCAAAACTAACTAAAGTTATTGCACTTTTGACCTCGACTGACGCTTGTTTTATGACCCAAACGCGCATAATATAAAATTAGGTACTTGAAAATGTTTTTTTAATAAAAAAAAAAAATGCAATTATAACATATCAATAAGGTTTAAATCCGTTTAATGAGTAAAAATGTCGTGGAGCATTGATTTTATATGAAGGGTAGTGATCAATATTGTTCGACTATTGATAACAAAAATTGTAAGTCCTAGTAAATACATAGCTTCCGCGCTTTTTTAATCAAAAGTAAAACCCCTTGGTTATTTAATAATAAATAAATGTATAAAGGTATATGTAGTATATGAAATATATTATTAAACAAACAAATATAAATATATTATTTGCAAACAAATATTTGCACACATTTCTGAACTCGGGGAGTACGCATAATATATTTTTTTTCTAAAATATATTGTAGTGAATTTTGTAATTGTATTATTTGGGAGGCAAAAGTCTTAGATCAAATTGTCAACACTCGCTGCAGTAACCGTTGTGGTCAAGCAAAAAAAAAAAGATTTTTAAAATATATCATGCTATGTTATATAATATCATTCGAAATGGATTATTGGTTAACAGTGTATGTATTATTATAACAAGTAGTTGATAGTAAATAGTACATATTATAATGTTCGTTGAATTATCAGTGCAAGACGTTCGACGGAAGTATGTCCCGGAAGTGGTAAGTTAAAAGTATTATCACTATTACAGTTAATAGCTGATGTCTATCTGGAGGCAGTCCACTCGACTATAGTAATATTATAGTATAGTATTACTGGATGGTCTTGCCCCCGGCAAAGGTGGCGTTGCGCGAACGCTTGTCGTCGAAAAACCGCACCGTTCCCATTTTCCGTTGTCTCCTCTTCACCCACCGGTTGCCGCCAGTTTCCACAGACGACCAGGCTGTCCTCTCGAGCACCACAAACGCCTTGTCTGCCGGGGAAACCGCTACCGGCGCTGGGCTGTCCGCCACTGTCGCCGACTTGGGTGACCCTTTGCCGCCTACGCTGCAATCCACTACTTCCAGACGATACGACGGAATTTTCACGGTTCCGGAACGGCACCGTCTACAAACAAAGAGCGTTACGTTTTATTTGATTTTTCTAAAAACAACGCCCAAATAAACAAAGGCCAAGCAGCTCGTTCGCAGGGCCACGAGGTTTTTTCACCAAGTTCGCCCAAATAAACAAAGGCCATTCGCACGCCTACGACAACATTGCACACACCACAAACGTTCGCCAAAAACCGTGCAAAACCCACGGAAAACTCCGTAAGGCCCTTTTTACACATACTTGCCTAACCGTTTTCGACCAACAGCAAATGTTGAGCAAATTATAATCATAATGCTAAGCAAATGAGATCGTCAATTAGCAAAGTAATTATATGGCAGTGTTGGGCGGGCATTGATTACTTTATGATTAAACTACATATTAATCAGATTGCAGTTTGGCCAACACTGTCATATGGTATGATTACTATAACAATTTAATTGTAATCATGATTACAAAATACCAATTTATTAAAAGGTATACGTATATATTAGGGGTGGTCGTTATTTTTGACTATACGTTGAATCCCTGTAAATAGGTTCTAAATGAGTAAAAAATGTATCTGAGGTGTTTGAGATTTTTAATCGAATCTCTTCGATTCCCTGTTTGAGCAGAAAGTTTTTCTCAGTATATTACTGAGAATTATACCTCTTTATTATATTTCAAAATATATAAAAGCGAGAATACTTGTAGGTATGTTGGTTTATTTAATGTAATTGTACAGCCAAGAAAAATGTCACATAAGCCTTTCCCCATTTATTTTTGAGTATTGATCAATTGATGAAAAATGATAAACAATATTTGTCTAATTCAAAAGTCGAAAAGTAAAATTAATGAATTACTGTACTTGCCTAAAATTAACAAGTTGATTGCCAGAACAATTTAGTTCTATCGATTTATCTATTTAATATCTAACGCTTTAAGTACCATATTTAATATTTCAAGCACTCAACTTGTTAACTATAGCGTAGCACATATTTTGTATGCAGAGAGAAGACAAAAAATAACAAAAAGTAAGGATTAAGTCAGATTGTTAGTGTTGAAACTTGGACTACAATTACCTTAAGTAATTTTTTTTCCTATATGGTGTGTTGTCTACGATTTAATAACACAACGGGATGGTAAGCGTTTCGATTGTTCCTTTTATAGCTTTCTATATTAACACTGTAGTAGGATGTGACTGTGTTAGGTTAACATTATTTTCCACCAAATTAATACCTTGAGAATTTGAACCCTATCCATGAAATGTACTTATACATAAGGTCGTGTTAACCGTTAGAAGTAGGTAGTAACCGATTTATATCACCACTCAGATTCTAAATTGTTTTGAGCATACAAATTAAGTAAACATATGTTACGTCAACGAAAATACATTTTTTTAAATTTAATTTATAATTCTAAGCAAAATATATACCGGCATATAAGTTCATATTTCATTCGGAACTCTGTGAATTATGCTGTTCTAGACCACCTTGCACCCTCTGTTTTCCCCTTAGCATTGCCTTTTTATGAAATTAAAAAAGAAGGCAAACGGGATTAAAAAAAATTACTTCCGTCCAATTAAAAATTATTCGGTTAAAGTTAGTAGTTTGAATTTTTAATCATAACTTGTAATCGTAGCTCTAAAAAAAAAAAATGCTCAAACGACCCGCAGACGTTTATTATTTATCCCGGGGTTCTCTTGCGAATTAATTATGAAAGTTTACAAAAGTTTTAAGGATGCTACGCGTGTTTCAGTAATAATATACCTCGTGTATTTGTGATTTTATATTCTCGGCAACTTATTGCGAAAACTTTGGGAATTCATACACTCAAGCGATTATCAGAAAGGGTTGAGCACGAGTTCCTTTTATCGCTATCGCCGTATTGGGTCGCATGCAGGAGATTCGCTTTAAGACTCCTCTCAAACTATGTCAGCAACCACTGAGACAAAGCCTCGGGTAACGTTTAAAATTTTTTGAAATCTGAGGGTGCTTTATGAAATTTTCAAACTCCTCTAGTTGCATCAATGCATCAGTTTACATAAAAATAAAACCGTGACGTATCACACACCAAACTGTGACGTTGCCGGAAATTTAGAGGGGCTAGGTATAGTTAAAAACACTTCATGTTTAAATTTATATTTACACGTCTTGCGGTTACTCCCACTCGAGTAGATTGACTGGTCTGCCAACGATTCGGAATACTTGCACATTCAATCTTCAGTGGCTACGGTTCGATGTTGCGCAAGTATTCCAAACTGTTGGCATACCAGTCGAGCTACTCGAGTGGGAATAACCGCGAGACGTGTAAATGCAATAGCCCACTCGAGCTTCAATAATAAATTAATATCGTTAAATTGGTATTTTCATCGAGTCTCTCGGTAAAAAAAATACAAACCTCAAAACGTAAGCATTAAAAAACAGGTAACAGCAGTATCCCAGCTCCCCCACCCCCTTTGAATTTCCGCCAATAAACTGTGGTTCTACGAAACAACAAACAAAACACCGTGCAGAACACAAGCGACAGAAACGCACAAAAAAAAATAAGCAGAATATCGCAAAAGCTTGGTAAACTATAGTTAGTCAGCTAACATTGACTGGGGTACACTGGATTCAATGGATATCGATTTATAGCTGTCACGTCTTCGACAGATGTCCTATGGCCAGGGCCGTCTTAGACCAGCCTATAGCAGGCTATGTAGGGGCTATGTAAGTAAATTGTATCATTCGGGGCTCCCTTCAGGCCGGGGGCCCTGGGCTCGTGCATCACGTGCCCTCGGGGTAAATATGACACTGCCTACGGCTAATCCTTTCCGCAGTACTGTGCGCAAAACACAGTAGTGCGTTAGAGCAGCGATCGCAGCTATCGAAAAGCGTTTATTTCTAACATGCAAGCACGTCGCAGCCACAAACGCGTATGCGGCCAAAACCGATAGCAGACGACGTGACGTCTTGTGCTTGTTATCAATCATTACTCGTGTCCGGATGCGCCGAAGACGGTGAACGACGACCGGGCAGGTCGCAGTAACATGCCGCTGTCTCTGGCCAAGATCATTTCCTCGGCGCCCCGGTCCGACGGATTGCCGGCAACGCTGACGCCCAGGCGGCGATGATGACCTTCGCCACCGTTCCAAGTACACACACACAACAACACAAATAAGCGTCGACCAAACACTGGTACATCGTATTTATTATATATATATATATATAATGTACACACGAGCCGCAGACAGGACTACTTCGTGTTGAGCTAAAACCGCTCCTTTGTTCGGGGCGGCACAAGCAAAGTAAAAGCGACCGATAACACAATTATGATTATGCAGTAAACCCAATTGGCGCTTCTTTGTCGGTGCGCTTTACTATTGTCAGTTTGTATGAGTACCTGTCCGGAACGGAACCATTGTACACGCCAAGGACACGCTACCACGTGGTAGTGTATTGCCATTAGTGTTAACCACGTTTTGCTCGGCTTGTCGACACGCCATTAGATAAAAGCTTTATCTAATTAGCTTTATCTGTTGGCCGACACGTTTTTGCCAATTGAAAGTTCGACAAAGCCTTCGACGCAAAAACCACTCTCGCCATAAAAAGGGTCCAGCGCGACCGCATTAACATGGTTAAACTTCAAAAACCGCTTTTGGCGTAGATGGAAATATATATTAATTCAAGAGACACCCTCGTTCGTTATCGGACCATTATTGTGTGCGATATAAACAATGTATAACGCAAAAATAATATTTTAATTATTATCGTAACTCGTCGAAATAAAATTCAACTACACGCCGCTAAAGACCTAACCGCTTTGCTTATGAACGGAGGAAAACGTTTTAATAATAATAGTTAAAAATCGATAAGATCCTAAATCTTGCGCACGGTCTGTTTTTTGACGTTGTAAACCAAAAAGTCAGACAACATATCTACTACTCAGGATGGTACAATTTCAATTTTGTAAAGGCATGCGAGTTCTTTGGCAACTTTGCACTAGGCTATGTAGAAAACAGATTTTTGATATTTTTATGTAAAAAAAATTGGGTTTTAATATTGAAAAAATTTATTTAATTACAAGCAACTGAAATTTTAAAATGAAAACCAGCTTCCTGCGTGCCAAACTTAGTGAAGTAGCCAAAGAACTCGAATCTCTTTACAGAATTTAATTTGGACCTACCTATGTAGGTAACATTTTGTCTGGCTTTTTGGTCTAAAATAAACCAAAATGGCTTTCGCTCGTAGAAAAAATGATGTTCGCCAAACTGTGTAATTTTATAATTTCAAAAGAATATTTGGAATAATATGTCAATTCAACATTACTTATGGTTTTCACAGTCTTACGGATTTTATCTGAACGGCCCCTAACATTTTTTTTTTTTTTTTACAATTAAGTTTAAAGTTTTATGTTATTAATTTATTTAAATATGTACCGTATAATTTTTTATGAAAACATAATATTGTGTAAAAATTATTGTTTTATGGAATTATAATAAATATAAAAAAAAAATTGTTATAATTTCGGAATAGCAACGTTTTGCAAAAATATATAATTTTGAGCTTAATTAGTCTGAATATTTCTTAATTTTAATTTATATTTCCGATTGAATTTGACTTAAAAAATTATTTCTTTATGTCATTTTACACAATATTAATAACATTTTCGTTGTACATTAATGGATGCACATTAATAGCAACGTGAAACAACGGTTTTCTGAAAAATGTGTTTTTCGGTAATCATACGTTTTTCTGCACGTCATAATTATTGTAGCTTTACTACTAAGTAACAAAAAAAAAAAAATAATAATTACCTTGATCTTCGGCCAACGGATGAGGCGTGGTCGGATACTTGCGGTAGCTGGCCGTTTGTTCCGACTCGCCGTCCATGATCCCCTCGTCCAACCTCAGTCCGGTGCTGGGCCGCAAGTTGGCCGCCCGATGACCGTCCGGGTGCGGCACGTAGCTGTGCCCCTGTTCCGTGTCCATTTCCATGTCGCCCTCCATTTTCAGTCCGGTGGAAGGCCGCGCGTTGCTGGCCCGACGGCCCCCCACAGGAGTGACATACTGGTCGTGCTGTTCGGACGTCATGACCGAGTACTGGTCGGGGCATTCAAACGGCCCTATGTGACTGCCTTGTCGCGCCGCTATGTTCCTCTCCCTCGGCTGGTCCTTGAAGTTCTCCGCGTACTCCGCACTGTACTCGACGTCGCCCTCCACCTGCAGTTCGTCCTTGGGTACTGTCGCGTGCCGCCTGTTCACGCTCATCTCCTCCGCCGTCTTGTACGGCACCTCGAAACGGAATTTGTACTCGGTGTCGAACGAGCACGGGCTGTCTGACGTACCGAACGGCAATAGCGGCGATGTCGTCGACGGAAATGCAACTTCGCCGAACTCCTTACGGCGGTACCTATGCAATTGGTCGACGGTAACGAACGGCGGAAACGGCTTGTGGTTGTACCAGTGCCAGAGCCGGGCCGATGGTTGTTGATGATGCACCGCCGAAGCCGGTCGGTCTTGACGCTGACGTTTGCTCCTGCGATACCTGGATTCAACAATTTATTACAACGCTGAAACAATGACACACGCGATGGGCTGACATAATCATAATCAGTTGATTTGCGCAAACATGTTTGTTTTGTTTTGCGCATTTTTTAGCTGCGATTCGGAGCGAGAATGTATTGGGTTTACAATGATGTGTTTTTTTTTAGTCACGATGTTTATCTTAAACTGCTGGATCCATTTCTTCATTTACCAAGTCTATACATACATCAGAAATCATACCCTACAAAATAATAGTTATAACTGCTCTGTTAGCTATAATTAAATTACCTTTTTAAAAGAATCTAAATAAAATAGGGAAAAATGTGTTTTGCTATTAATGTATTTTTAAGAAAAAAATAAGGTATTATATAATAATAAATCCAAAAAAATTAAATTAATTATTTTTAAATATAATTAATTTTTTATTTGAACTATTTTTTTAGTTCAAAATCAAAATGAAGTAATTCCAACTTATAGTTTTAATTAACTTAAAGACCAGATTGTTAACATAAATTAGTAATTACCATAAAATACAACTATTACACATAAATTAAGGGGGAACCCCCGTTCCAGAAATAAACATTTGGGGTAAATTCTGCTAAGAGATTTCTTAATTATTTATTTTTCTTATAAAAATATCAACCCTTTTATGTAGGTGTATGTATAAAAATGAGTTGGCAGTTTTGATAACATTTTGTACGTGATTACAATTATTTAAATTGGACTGGGGATTCTATTATACCCGAATGCGAAACGTTTAATTGATTCCGAGTAGTTGGTTTTTTCCCCCGAAAAAATATCTTTCAATAATAATATTATTATAATATACAATTATACATACTATAAAGTCTCGGCGGCAGTCCCGTTTTGGGGCGGGCGTTTATAACGTTAAAAGTTTTCACGGAATCGCCAGAAAAAGTAAAAACAAGTTTTCCGCATTTAATTTAATCCAACAATACAACGGGGGGGGGAATTCGGTCTGTTAGCAAAAATTCTAATTTTATAGAAAACCCGAGCGATCGGGACCTAACGCCCTTATAGTAAATAATATTTATTGTGTAGGTACACTTGCGACAGTATTGCTTATATCTGTGGCTTGGGTCTAAAAAGGGACAATGTCAATAATTATTATGGACATAAACGAGTTAGTCTGCTGAACGGAAAAATTGATACATCCCTTACTGTGATGAAAATGACACTCTGAAGCCAATAAATTTTCCGAAAGTTACAAAAAGTGACATTGGCCCTATTAGACCCAAGCCACAGAAATAGACGTGGAACGTATTGTGTTGTACTCACCTTCGCGCCCGCCGAATTTTGTGCGGCCAAAGCGAATGCCGTCCGTTGGCAGGAACGCGGTGCTTTTTATATCAAACATTAACATATTATGGACTCCCGAAATAAACTGGTAAAGAAAAAAAAACCCCATCATTGGTATCATCGTACGCCCATGACATTTGCTGATAATAGCGGAAAACCCGCGTAACAAATGACTTTTGCGTTTTTACATTTTTTTCCCCCGAAGCTCTTTGGGTGTACACCTACCGACGATTCCTTGAACCCCAACGGAACGCATAGACATGACAATAATAATTAATCGTCGGTGCCGTTGGTGTATCTTAAAGGTAAAACGTACTGCAGGACGACGGATATGCCTAACATATTATTGTACACTATTTTGTTATTATTAGCAAACAATATGGCATCGTTATTAATAGCCTAATGTCACTTCGGACGAAATGAACAAACTCCTTTGAAAACGATCGATTTTAGCCACTTTTTAGCACGCTGAAATTACCTACAGCGATTTTCCTCGTTTAAAAAGCCTCACATAATTGGTCGCTCAATTATTGCAAAACTTCAATAACTGGAAATTGTATACAAAAATATACGTGGGTATACATCGAATTACTCCTCGTACAATTTTTGGCGATTATAAATCATTATTCTCAGATAAACGTCAACTGCCGCAACGACTGGATTTAAAATTGAATTGAAAATAATGATTTATAAACTCATAAACTTGTCTAGGGAATAATTTTTTTTTTCAACATTTTTGTCTCACAATTATTAAACTGGCTCGTCAAAGTACGTAAACCATTAATTTTTATTTAAATTACTTAATTATGTTTTTCATTAATAGGCTTGATTTAAAATAGCAATATCCAACCGCTATCGTGGTGCTTGTATTACTTACTTATAACCAGAGATGGGCATATTTATATTCATGGATACGAATACGAATATATTCACACAGAATATTCTCTATGAAAACGAATACGTTTGTATTTACAGAAATGAGTATAATTACAAATATATTCGTATTCACCTGTGTAAATACAATGTTATTTTGGACGCCAAAAAATACAAATAATCTTGTAGGTGATGCAATGTAAAACAAAAATTCTCCTATAAACATTACGTCTAAAATACATTCCTGACGAACTACGGGTAAAAAAACACATTTCCGACCAGAAATGCACACTAAATCCAAACTACCGTATTTTATTCGTACATAATAATAATAATTAAAATTTAAATTAGTTGTTAATTAGAATAGTTGAAAAAAAACTGTTTGTAAATTAATTATTATTACTATTTGATTATTCGAAGGATTCGAATACTATTCAAAGGATTCGAATCCCGAATATTCGAATCCAAACTATTCGAATATTTCCCATCACCAGTATGTACCTTCATCTCATTTTTTGTTCATAATAATTAAAATAATAATGAAATGAAAAAAAAACTGTAAATATTAAAGCTATATACAGATATTACCTAGTATTTGTTATACTAATTAAAACTGATTAACTAACATAATGGTTACCTAATAAAATGTACGTAAATCGGTCTTACTTTGTATATTTTGTTTTATGTGTAAGAATAAGCCTTCGTCATAACGATTTTAAGTGTGTGGAATTAATTTTTCTCGATTATATTAACGATATGATTGTGGAATAAGTAATTAATTTAAGTTTAAATAACAGTTAAATGTTATTAAATCCTAAATTATAACATTTAAAATGTACATATTATACAATAACAGCTATAAGCTAGTGATGGGAAGTATTGGAATATTCTAATACTCGGGATTCAAATCCTTCGAATATTCAAATAGTAATAATAATTAATTTACAAATAGTTTTTTGACATTTTCATGTCTTAGCTCTGGCACATAACCCTGGCAAATATCCGAAAAAAGCGTTACCATAATAGCGTTACCAAAAAAGCGTTACCACACGGAGACGGAGTTGGGGACGGGAAATAGGGGGTAGGAGATAAGGGTGAGATTTAGCCGGTAAATAACCGAAAAAAAGTGTTACCAAAAAAAGCGTTACGCTGTTACGCGCCGCAAGGTACCAAAAATCATTCGACAATTCAAAGACAATTATCGGAAAGACCATTTCGGATCCATTTCGAATGTTAATCTGTTGCGCTGTTATCTGATATGAGATAAGAGATATGTCGTACGTTCAACGTTCAAATTAGAACTAAATAATAAATTCAAAATAACTTAATTCTCTATGTTAAGTTACTTTTGGCCAGATAATAAACACTACAATTTTAGCCAGAAACTTGATTGTACATAATTTATTTATCTCCTTGGCCTTATGCTGTAACTGGAAGCTCCATGTAATTTTTTTTTTTTAATTATAATTCCACAACTAATTTTAATTTATTCGGTATTTCAACGAGACATGAAAATGCTCTTTCGTGGTTGCAGACTCGGCTGAAAAACTTTTTTTCAACTATTCGAATATTTGAATAATTGGAATAATTATTGGAATATTTGAATATTCGAATCTTTAGAAATTAGGTATTCGAATCCAAATTACAACATTACAGTATAAGCTGCTCAAGCGTTGTACAATTTGCGATGGACGTGTATGACCTATATGGAGATTATATCAAACGATAAGTGATTAAATATTATAAAGTGCATTAAAATAATATATTGTTTGTATTTTTTAGTGTATAATAATTAACAAATTTCTCACAGCATCAACTGTCTTACCTGGACATAACGTAAATGCGGTGCGGATGTCTAACAACGATGACGACCGAACACTAAATAAGGGTTCTTATTTTTCCGCAAACTAGTATAATATATTTAACTGTACTGGCGGTTACGAACGTCATTTTAATCCCAAGGTCGACTTTTGTTTCTAAAATGCACCCGAATTAGGTCAAGGGGTCGATTTGTATCTATAATACTAGCTAAGACGCTATGTAGACACGCAGCACGCCTATGATATAACGCTTAAAGTCAGGGAATACCTACTTAGGCACGTACGAAAATAGTAAATTACACATTAACACCAAATGGAATAGCAACACGAATTTTTAATTGGACCGTTTAAACATCTACACAATGATAGCAGACTTCTTATCCTTTGACACTATAATTGGTTCAAACTTTGAATTAGCCACGTTCGAAGGTAGGTAGTAGGTACCCCTTCAAAATAGGATATCATATACTATTATTGTAGACTTGAGACAAGACTTGTATTTTCCTATGAATCAATGTTTTTTTCTGGGTTATCAACGCCAGTTTATTAACATCTTGATGTTAATTTTATTAATAAATAACATACTTTTTATAAACAATGTATTAACAATGGTATTAATAGTTGGGTAATAGTTTTGTTTAGATAAATATATTTAAAAGTTTCATCGATTTACTGGAGTTTAAAACTTTAGCCGAAATCGGAAACACGAACATAAGGTGACATGTTGATACAACAGTATAGAAATATAAAGATTACCTAATACCGAAATTAAATTGTATGGTAGTAATAGTTTATAAACTAGTAGTTATATTATAATAGATTGCAATTTTCGAAATATTTAACTTTTTGTATAAGTATTCTTGTTTTAATTAAAATATTATTTTTTAATATCATACTTAACACTATTTAAACTTTGTAGATTCTCATTTCTCAATAAAAAATATTAAAAACACTTATAAAGCATTAATACTAATATTTCTTCTCTCTGAATCGTGCCATAAAAAATATATCACCGTGTATTAATCAAAGTACATAGGTACAAGCCGACACTCCATGATTGTGTCAACAAAAGGGCAATAATACCTTTAAACTCGACTAAAATTTAAAAAGTATAAGATGGTTTTAACAAAAATCTATTCAGTCTACTGTATAAGACCAAAATAATTCAACGAGGGAAAGATTGTTGATTTTTTACTATCTTTTTAAAATGTCATCAGTTTCCTCATGGCGTTTGTCATTTCTTTTATCGATTCAAGTTGCCAGGGGTCGTTTACCCGCATAAAGTGCTCAATATCTTGAACTTATAGCTGTAGAATAAAAAAAAATGTAGCTCGAATCGACAACTAATAACATGAAATTTATGAAAAATTTGTTCCGTTAGTTAAAAACGCGTGTAATTAAATGAACCAGTACATAACAGTGTTTCCGAAACGTTAGAAACAACAGTAGGCAGTAATACATTTATGAAATAAATGTAATGAACAAATTTTCCTGTGTGTCACTAGCCTAATTGTTCTTTTTGTTCTCTTCGTAGGTAATATCACACTAAAGTACATGTCACACTAGTAAAACTGTGTATGGCTTAGTACAATATTAAGTAATTGTATAAAACGAAGACCAAAACAGTTACCTAGGTTTTTTTGTTCTCAAGACTTTGAAGTAGTTACCCCTACCTAATTCATGCACTAAATGTAGTAAAAAAATGTAATCGTAAATCGACTAAATTCTTTATGTACCAAAACTGTAGAGGGTTTGTAGAAACACTTATGTTCATTGGGACTGATACAAAAAATGTAACTATGATTTGCTCGACCGATTTATCATGACTGTGCTGTAAGCAACTGGCAGTATTCACTGGCAGTAAGCAAGTTACCTAATAAATTGTTTTATTCGGTAATACAATTTTTATCTTCTCCTATATAAAATAAGTAGGCAATTTAACATTTTAACCTATATCCTACACTAGATATCCTTAGAAAAAGCCAGACTAAAAAAACAATCTGTATTTGTCAACATATTGAAAGTTCAGGAACGTAAAAGCTATACAAATTATTGATTAGAGGACTTTCTAGAAATTGGAACAAAATAGGTAATAATTAAACATTAGTAAATTTTAAATATTTTCCAAGTTAGAGTTAAGAGATGAATTAAATACTACAAATATGTAATTTTACTACATATTAAAACTATTATGTAGTAATGTGTACCTTGACCCTTGTGCATAATTTCTTTTCTATAAACTGTATACAAATCGGTACAGCATTAAAAAAATTACATTATCATATATGTAACTAAATCAAAAAATTAATAGGATCAAATTATAAATTAATTCGGTAATTTTTCTAAAATAAAAATTTAATATTCTGTACAACTGTAACGTTATTTTAAATTTTCATTGAAACATAAAATACATTATACAAGCATGTTAGAAAAATTACAAAATTGCATCTGATAGATCAGAAAATTCTGTTAGTTTGTGTATCGACGTAAATACATTATCATAATGAACACAAATATTTTGAGAAAATGACTCTTCGTGTTTAAACCAAAAAACCAATAAATCATTGATTTCTTTATTGGATTTTGGGAGGCCAGATGTTTTACAAAATCTTACGGTTTCACTCTAAAAAAAATTAAAAGTAAAATTATCATTAATATTTAAAGAAATATTTTTTTCATTAACTTAAGATAGTTATAAAATACCCTAAGATAGTTGACAACTTTCAACGGACGACAAATGTGTAGACAATTTGATTGTTGTGTTTGCATTAGTTCTATAATCTGTTTGAATTCTTCAAGACCATATATCGATATGTGTAATGCAACGTCGGTTATTTTTAAAATAGGATATTTTTTATCTCCTAAAACAACATGCATTTGTTTTATTTATTGTATGAAGAAGGAAACTTGGTTTACAAAGTTAAAATTATCAACATTTTTCATATCATCAAAATATGATTAATACACTCATTAAGATTTAAATTGAAATTTGGAATACCTATGTAAATATTATTGCCTACACAAAAAGTATGTATAAGCATAACAAATATATTGATCAATCAATTTGCACTTGATATTATTTGAAAGTGTACAAAAATCTGCATAGATAAACTAAAAAATAATGATTTTAATTTATTTTTTTTAAAAATATCAGTTTTTGCTTGTCCAAATCTATTTATATAAGCTAATTTTTGATATTATAAAAAAAAATTTATTTTTATAGTTAACATAATAAAATAATGTAAGTCATAAAAAAAATATTTTTTCAACTAATTTAAGTTTTTCAATCAAAATTTAATTATTACACAATGATACTATTGTACACACTACTTAGGGAAAGAAGGTTATTTTTTATATACAATGCCTATGTATCATGTGTACTTAAGTCTTGGATTCAATTTTCCAAAATCTCTTTAAAAAAAATGATTGCCTTTTAAGCTTTGTAAACCAGATTTTCCCCTTAAGCTCCAATAATAATATTATATATTTTATACAAACCATAAAATTTTGAAACAACAACAAATCCATTTTTAGTTATTCGATCATCAATCACAGTATATGTGTCGGTAGACGGTTCATAAGATGTATCCAAGTCCATCAAAAACTGATAATTTTTTTCTCCTAAAAAACTAAGGTATAGAAAAGCCATTTAAAATATTCAATAAAGCCATTAGAAGATAATTTCTCATTCAATTACTTTTTATCAATTATAATAGGTTGGTCGAGCATTTTTAACGGTATCGAATCCATAGCCAATTTTTTCCTAAATACAACGGCTTCTTGAAGGCGACAAATATTTAATGCTTCAATTTTGTTGCGGATACGGCATATCCAACAATTTTCATCAATCTGACCGATTAGGGTATAATCGGAAAATCTATTTTAAACAAATAAACATATTTATACCATCTGAACCTGTATACAAAAATGTTGATGTCAGTTAGAAATGCACACACGGTGTTTTTGGTTTTTTCAATAGGCGTTCTTTAATTTCTGATAGTTCTACATTTACTAAAGTAGAATGTCTTTTGAGATTTTTAAATAAGAATTTGAAGTCTTTATTTTGTGGTTTTATTTCATCAACTTTTACAAGAGCTTTCTTTTTTTGTTTATTTGCATTAGTTTTATAATGTTCTTTCTCTTCAACACTCAATGATGCCCATGATTTCGCAAGCTCTTTACTTACTTTAATAAAATCCAATCCAGGGTTTTCATTGAGAACTAACAGAATACAAAAATAAATTAACAATAATAATTATTTGCATATAAAATATATTTTTAAAAAATACTTTTTAATCTCATTTTCTTGGCAAATAGTGTAAATCCTGACATTTCTCTATTTCCCATTTGACTACTAACACTTTGAATCGTTTCACTGAGATTTACACGTGCAGTTTCTACAATACATAAAACTTTAAAATAAATTGGCAACTGTCAACTAAATTCACATTCTATTTTTGTTTAACATTTTAAGTAATGAATATGTTACTACAATCCTATACAGGTCAGGGTGGAGCCGACTGACAAGTTTTGAAGGGCTTTAAAATAACAAACAGTAAAACTTAAAGAAAAGTGGTTAGTATTATTAAAAATCAATAAGAAATCTCGTTTTTTAACAGAAACTCCACTACAATCCCTTAAAGTGACAGTGTGATATGCTGTGTCCCAATTTGGGGTGATTGACTCATACTTTTTTGAGGAAAAGAATACGTCACTGTCACTTCTACTCGATATGTTTTGATGTTGGAAACTTATCTGTAGTACAGGTTGGAGAAAATGGCTGAAGAATATGACTTGGGGGATGTATGGTTTCCACAAGATGGGGCTACAGCGCACTCAGCTCGAAAGTTTTTTTGACAAATATTCTTATGCAGTTGGTCTCTCAGAGGGATGACGTGGGCTAGCCGGCGCGCTCCCCTGATTTTTTCTCTGGGGCTTCATTAAGGATAAGGTTTTCAGACATTGTCCCCATACCTGAAGAAGATCGAAGAAATCGCGGTCATACTCATCGAAACATGCCGAAAATCATATGAAAACTTCAGAGATTGCCTACAGCAAGGTATTGCTGCTGACAACCGCCATCTTGGAGATATAATTTTCAAAACATATCGTAAAAAACGGGATATCTTACTCATTTTAACAAAATGAACCGCTTTTCTCTAAGTTTTACTGTCCGTTATTTAGAGCCCCTCAAAACTTGTCAGTCGCCTTCGCCTCACCCTGTATAATGTCAATGAACATATCCAGCAATTGTTTAGTTTATGCACAGTTGACTACATTTTTTTTCATTTCAGTATTCATTAACTGGCAGATGATTTATTGTCAACACGTTTGTCATGTATTTCATACCTGTCCTTTTCATATACAACATGTAATACCTTGTATTGGTCGTTTCGATCTAGGTTGGGGTACCCATGATTGTGGTCGACTCACTAAGTGGTCAAGACCTGGGACTTGTTCATCTGGTACAGCAACCATACGAAATAGTGGTGCAATTTTAATACTGCTGTTGTCTTCGTCGTAGTTTGAATTATGCTTTGTACAATCCAAATTTGAATTATTTATACAATTTACAAGAGCTTTCTCTTTTTGTTTATTTCTAAAAGTTTTATAATTTTCTTTCTCTTCAACACTCAACGATGCCCATGATTTAGCAAGTTCTTTACTTACTTTAACAAAATCCAGACCAGGGTTTTCTTCGAGAACTAACATAATCAAAAAATATACTAACAATAACAAAAATTTATTAAAAAACAAAAAAAATTACTTTTTATTCTCATTTTCTTGGCAAATATTGTAAATCCAGACATTTCCTTATGACCCATTTGACTACCACTTTGAACTGTTTCACTAAGATTTTCACGTCCAGTTTCTACAATGCATACAATTTTTAAATAAATTTGCAATAGTCGTCTAAATTCATGTTCATATAGTATAATAAAAATGTATTTGTTACAGAAAATAAAAATAGTTTTGCAAATAACTTATTTATTAACACGTTCACCTCCGCATGTAAAACTCCTGACAAGCGCCAGTAGCCGTGATTTCTGATAAAATTTTGCTTGCGCTGTCCTGCGATCTCGTAATAAAAAATTAAACCAATCGCATAAAATTAAGTATAAACACATACTGCATAGCCAGTGTAAAAAAAATTCCCCGATGGCCAAATTATTTATAAACGTATTTCTAGATATGTACCTAGTAATGATCATGGATCAGCCGGCGGCCACCAGTGCCCAACTACGGCTGCCAATTAGAGATCGGCAGTGGAGGTGAACGTGTTAATTCAATAAAAATAGCCCAGAGTTCACACTAAACTTAATTATAAAACATAATAATATAACAATAGTGATAAAATTTAATGTAAATACCACTTATTTCTTTTGAAATCTGAGTACATTCAACTACATTCGATGATGAAATGTCATTTTTATTCTCTAATGATTTGTCAGATGGCAATGTATCAGTTATTACAGAAACTCCACACTGAAAAAATAATAAAATTTTTAATTTTTTTTTATAGACCCCTCAACAGTAATACAATATATGAATTTGTATTAGAAGTACAAATTTAAGAACAAAAGCCATACGAAAGTCTTAGGATACTAAAAAAATACCAATTTTTTAATACAGTTTGTAGAAATATATTTAAATTATTAAAATTAAAATATTCTCAGAAAAAGTTTTTAAAGTTAAAAATAAATGCTAAAATCTAACAAAAACATTTTTTTTTTTTGTACAATATTTCGATATAGAAATTTGATTATTAATATTGAATTATTTCAAGACAACAATAATACTATCTACCTATTTTTGTAAATCTAGATTTTAAAAATTCCACCCCTAAATTTTATTTTTAATAATAGAACTTAAACAATTTTCATATACCTTAACCGGTTTTCCATTAAATAATACATTCCCTTTACTCCATTGTGATAATGTTACATTTTTCACATGGAAATCAACACTTGAATCACTAGTATCATGTTGTTGTATGGCTGGATGAGATTTAGTTATTCCTATATTCATTATCCTTTGTTTATACTGATCAATGTTACTGTTGATTAAAGATTCATTACTTTCAGAATGTGTTATTTTACTATCATTTTCTTCAACCAAAGTAAATGGTTCTTCAAAATCAATTTCTTCTAAACTTAAGTCTTTTACTAATTGTGAGTTTTCAATTTCTGACTTTAAAGTTGATTTGGAGAATTCTCTAGTTGAAGATTCCCGACTTATTTTATAATTTGATTTATCTATGTCTGGGTCAAATATACACAAATTATCATTCATAATTTTAGTAGATTCCGCATTTGGTTTAAGCGATTTGTCGATCTGAGATATTTGATTTAAGGAATCGAGTTCAAGTTGTGCAGCCTTAAAAGTACAAGGGTTGATACTACTATTATTATGACTGGAATCGAGACTCAATTGATTAGGCTCATTGTAATACGCTGTAGATTTTTTAACTTCAACATCCTCTGAATCAGAAGAAATTTTTCGTTTATTTGATTTTAATATATTTTTATTTTGATCTGATGGGTCGTTTACTGGCGTGTTATCATAGTAATGCTGGACAATACAATTTTTTATACTAATCAGTATATCCTCCTAACAACACAATAGTATATTATGTTATTTATGTGAACAATATTAATGCTGTATTCAATGGTGTAGTTATAGGATAGACCCTTACAACTATGCCACTAGTTGTGTTTAGTATACAGATACCTGATTATGAAAGAATAGTCTTGACTTATCGGGTTCCAGATTGACATCAATGTCTTCAGCCGGCACGTTTATAGATACAAGACAAGGTAAATACTTTCCAGTTGGTAAATAATGACCAAAATAATTGGTCAGCTCACCTACGATTAGCTGAACAATTAATTGTTATTTTTAAGCATCAATAACAATTATAATATGAGTGAGAAAGTTATCTTACTTTTTCAATTTTATTATCTCTGACAGGTCTCTTATTGACATACAAATAGATTGCATCAGCAAGAGTTGTAGTAAGAAAAGTATTTTGAACATCGATATTTTGAATAGGTAGAATCATTTCGATTTTTATCTATAATGTTTAAAAAAATATATTAAAGAAATTTAAATGTAAATTAATTAATACATACTCTATTATTCAAAAATGTTAAATGCTTAAAACATTTAGTCATTATGGATGACCATATTTGCCCAAATGCTAGAATCAAATCATTGACAGCTGTCATTTGCCACAAAACCGATTTGTTGTGAACCAAGGATACACGAAGATTTGGTTGTATTGCAGCCAATGCCTTAACGACATTTTCTATTTTACGTAAATCATTAACGCAATGTTTCTTTGAGCTATACATCTGTTTTCGAACAGGTAATTTTTTGAAAAGGTCAACTATTTTAATAACTGTTCCTGTTGAGATGAAAAAAATAAAAAAAACTAGTAAATGTTACAACATTTAAGTAATTGACAAATAAATATTTCAATTAATATATTAATATATATATATTGTAATAAAGACATTTTTTTTTTTAATACTTTTTATCTGACTCCGAAATGTTAAGCGACGTTCAATGGACGAGTTTAGGTTGTTTAGCACGACCGGTTCACAGTGTGATCCCCAGGCGTAAACATTACGTTTTGCATTTTTTTTAATGTTTTTTTTTATTTTTTTGACATATTCACAAATCAATTAATTAATTAATTGTCAGTCCCCCCCTTCCCTCACATCTATCTACACAAAATCAAAGTTTTCTGTAATTCAGCTAATTAAAGAGTGAACTTCAGCCGTGCATAACGATACAGACCAATATTTTTTTTTTATAATAATTGTCCTACCATTTTTTTAGCTGTAAAAGTGTATTATTACACATTCGGAACTAGTAAAATTAATGAATAGAATATTAAAACAATATATTTAATTTTCAATTTTTCAGTTTATTTTTTAATTTGAGTTAAAAAATATTGATCACACAATAATTATTATTGACAATAAAATATTAAAATGTTTAGTTTTTCTTATATACAATGTTATATGATAGACATATTTAAATTATTTAGTTCAAACTTTACCTTTAAAGCATCTCAATTTATAAACAAAATACCTACCAAATTATAAGTAGGTATGACTTTTACCAACCTTTTTGATGATGACTTATTGAACTTTTTATAACATGACCATTTTTATCCATAGTATACAGATTAGCATATTTGTCTTGATCTGTCTTTGTTATCACACTTACATCTGCTACTGCGCAAATAGAACTCAAAGCTTCACCCCGAAATCCATATGAAGATAATTTTTCTAAATAATATAATAACAATAGTAAATTAGATAGTATATACACGGCAATCTTCAATGAAGTACTTAATATTTATATATAGGACATCATACCTAAATCAGATACATCTGATATTTTTGACGTATACCCTCTTAAGCACATAACATGAACATCTTCACATGAAATTCCAACACCATTATCTCTAATTTCAATTTTGTCCAATCCATAATTTTCCTGAAAACGTTATTAATGAATAACAATACATACTAAAGTACTTATAAAGTACTACATGTGAGTGATTATGTATAGTAATTTATTTTTAATAACATAATAAACAATAACAATAAAAACAATATACTTACTATACGTATATCGATGACTGTAGATTGGGCATCAATTGCGTTTTCCAATAACTCTTTGACCACTGACGATGCTGATGTAATTACCTGAGTACTACTAATTAATTTTATAGTTGCAGATGAGAGTTGTTTAACAGGCATGGCGCATAAATATAATAAACAAATAAAAGTAAAAGCAAATTTTTTTAAAACGTACACTTATTTGTGTTTTCAAAATAAAATACTAATGTACTTTAATAATGTTATACTATATTTTAATACTTATAATATTATATTACTGTTTGTCTGTCCGCTGTCGGCTACATTTTGTGCAAATATTTTGAAATTTGAATGTCTGTTAACTGATAAGTGTATAGAGATAACAGAAAAATGCACAAAGGGGTTGAAATATACCAGTTATTGCACATCGTTTCAAATTGTTATCTTCAGAAATAAAATGGTAGAGTAACGGTTAAGGCATTAAACCTTAAATTTGCATAAAATAACACCTACCAACATCCAAGTCAAAATTTGGAAAAAAATAAAACAATAACGGCTCTAAAAATTGCCGTTTTCGAAATTTTTGAACACCCTGTATATATACACATCTATATATATTATACTAAATAAAAATAATTTTACTTGTTATTCAAACGAATTTGATACAAGATATGCAAAACATTAATGTATTCGTTAATCGATATTATTCGATAGCGCTGTAAATTCCCAACATTTTGTTTTCTCTAATTTCAAACGTTTTTTTTTTTTATCAAAATTCTTTTAATTGTCGAGCTAGATCTTTTTTTTCTCCGGATAGTGACATTGTACTCACTTGATGAGAATTTAGTTTAGGCAAACTTGTCTCTTCCAGAACTGCCTTATTATTGCCATTGTGCATACTGTGCATAAATGTATTTGTACAAAATACAACAAAACATTCAACAGTAGTATAAGAAAAACCATAAATATATTATATTACCTTATATTAAACGAAAAAAATAATTTTACTTTATATTGACACTAAATAATTTACATTTATAAAATATTATACATAAAAGTACAAATAAAATTTTTCTTTTAATAAATGAATAAAATAATAATAGATTGCCATAATTAAAATACTTGATTTTAAATTTAGAAATTATCTAAAATATACATTTACAATAAAATGGAACATTAAATAATAATTATTAAAAAAACAATAAGATAGTGCATAACAATAATCATAGTTGGTAAGGATAATTGGTATAAATCACACAGTTTTGCTACTATATTTAAATTTGTTTTAAAAAATGATAATAAAAAACATCATTCAAATATGACTATAAAAAATGTCATTTAAACAATTGCTAGTACACACCTTATCATTAAAAAGCCAATTAAAATCATAAGCCATATGGGGTTATAATTTTGAGATCAACAAGGTACCTTATACTAATTTTAATTATACAGCAATTAAAAAAAACATTCTACATTTAGTATTTTAAAATAAGTCCAACAAGTTACTAGGTCGCCCAGTTACTTCCCAAACAGTAGCTGATAATCTACGAGAATGTTCTAAAACACAAGAAGCAGTCGCCAATCCTAAATGAACACAAAATAGCTCAAAGCACCTCACTTTTCCTTGGGGCATCCGCGGAAAACACATTTCCAACAATTTTCTAAAAAAAAATAATAGAAACAATAATATATATTTTCAGATCTCAGTACCTCGTCTAGTATTTATTATAAATAATCCGAAGATGATAAAATAAACATTATGTAATTCTTTAAAACGCATAATACTTACTCATAATAATCACCCGTTAATATCCCTGGATATGCATCAGAAGAAGCTACTTGCAATTTCGGTTTTAGTGAAGTACCCTAATAACATTATTAAATAAAAAATAAAATCATACAGGTCAATCTTAAATAATTTGTCATACCGACTGATCTTCAAACCACATGAAATATGAATATGTAAAAGTTGTATCCTTCCAAAGTACAATAAAGTGCCCATTTTGTAAATGATGTCTACTGAAGTTTACCATTGACCACACCTTAACAAAATATTAAAATATAATTTATTTCAGAAAAAAACTGTTTAAAAATAATGCATAATTTAAGGTTAAAACCTTTTTTTTAGTCAGTTCGAGTGTTTCTTGTGATGCAAACTCTAAACCAGGAGCAATCATTCGATGTGTCATTCGGTCTACATAAATAAAATGTACAAGACCTGGAAATTCTTCTAAGTATTTATTTATGTTCAATGATGATCTCGTAATTAACCTTTAGTTAAAGAAAATCCGTAATATAGAATATTTTAAGTTATTCATTAGGCAAATATTTAATCAAATATGTTTTTTTTTAAATATGACAGGCTTTATTTTAAGATGTAGCAAGAAATTAAAAATATGCAGTTGATTTTATGAATATGTGCACTTGATAAATAAGTATATCAACAATATTATAAAATATAGGCCTGATTTTAAATTTTGTCTAGAATGATCTAGAAAAATTGTAAGGTTTAAGTTATTAATTAACTTTTTTTTCTGGAAGGTGGATTACTTACATTAGTCAAATAAAAATAATAAACATTTATTTTCTACGACCGTATTTAAAATGTTGAATTTTTTTGGAGAAGTTCTTTTTATAAGCCAATATAAATGATTAAACTATAAAGTGTATTTTAATGTACATTATAGAAGACTCTTTTTTTGCCAAAACTTCGACCTTGACCCTTTTTATAATCCAAGCATATATATGGAGTTTTAACACCAAATCATAGACTATTTGGCTAATAAATCAAATTATTCCCATTTTAATACTTAGCAAAAAAATTGTATATTTATTATTTTTTAATTTGTTGTTAAATATTTTTCACTCTCTTTTTAATTCTATAAATTGTTAACTAGAAAAAAGTATACAAATAGAAACTTAGGAGGTTATGGTTTTGTTTAAATTTTGTTCGTGTATGTATTAATTGGCTTTCTTTAAATAAAGTTTATATTAAATTGTTAATTATTTAATGAGACTAGTCTGGATTTGGACAAACAATCAAATTTAAATAAAATAATAATAAATACAAAAAAATCTAACACATTTTTTTTTTTAAATATTTAGTAATAAAAAAAAATGAATAAATAAAAATGCATAAACTAAATGAAAATTCTTTACTTAGAATGCTAAACTACCATTAAGAGGTGTGTTTGAAGCGTTACCTTCTTTAAGTTGTTATAAGATAAAATATCTTTATGCAGTAAAGCCTATTGTATAATATATTCCCTCTACACAAAGAAAATGGAGAGTAAAGAATATTAAAAAGGATATGATCGCATTGTAAAATTATTTAACGCTTTGACTTCAAAAAATGAAGTGTAATCTCTTAACATTGTCGCAACTAAAGCCGATGCCTCACATACTGCTTCTTTTGTATAACTATCAATTAATGATTCGTTTAGCATGCAATGGTGTTGAAGATCTTTTAAGCTGCATACTATGTTGATATTACTTGACTCTATGGCAGTCAATGCTAAGTTTTCATTACACTTAAGAAATTCAAGATATTTTCTACAAAAAAATTAATAATACATAATTAATAAATATTAGCTCTGAAGAGATAACATATTGTTTTTTCAAACTTTTTTAATGGTTCCCATCTACTCGCTAAAGTAGTAATAATAGTCATAACGCTTCGACTAGGTGCAAAAGGAGCATTTTTTTTCTTGAACAAATCAATAATTTTTTTCATAGAGCAATCGATAGTGTCATAAGCAACTTTAAGAGCATTACGATCTATAACCCCTCGGTTTTGAATTTCTTGTATTGTAGAAAATGATGAAAGTGAATCGATTACACTATTATTAAATACTTCATTTCCAATCTAAAATAACAATTTATAATACATCATTTATATTTATACTTGATACCAATGTAATAACATAGTATATGATAAAATTAAATAATTTACCTCATGAATGATAAACAATGGAACACCATCAGTAACATATGATACGTGTACTGCATTTAATTGTAATTTATGATATCCCAAAAGAACTAATAAACTACTAACCTTTTGACGAGTCACTGAAACACGTAAAATTAATTTGATAACCATGAATAAAAAAATCAATATAATAATAAAATTAAGTGGTTACCATTTTCCTTTAAAATAGTATTTTCTTTTTCAATCATTATTACATCAAGATCAGTTTCGGCGTTAGATTCTGGATCATTTAGTTGCAATGCATCAGCTAAAAGAGCTAAAAACAATGTATCACCAGCAGCTAAATCACTTGCGTTTCGACTAAAATCAATTAAATAGTAATTAGATAAAATATAAAACTGCATAAGGTATAATGAGTTACCTAGAATACAATGTTAAAAATTTTTGCCGAACCATTATAAGTATATGCACTCGAGAAAATGCCGATTTATGTTTCATTTTTTCTGCTGCAGATTTAGCAGCAGCCAATGCAGCTGAAGAAAGTTCATTGCTGACTGTTAACTGTTCAATTGCTTCAACTAAGACACACTGCTCTTCATTTGATTGTTTTAACCAAACATCTAACAGTTTCGATACTAAATATCTACGGCGACGACTATACTTCAATCTACGTAATATTCAGTATTAATAAATCGATTAACTATTAATTACTTATCATAGTAATATTAATTACGAGTGCAAATTTTATTGAATAGAATTCTACTAGACCATGCTGGCACTATAACAGACTATTAGATTACTAATAGATAACTAATCAGTTGTTATTTGATATACTCTAATAATAAATTGTAAAAATAATTTCCATTTATATTATAGTTTACAGTTATTGACTATATATTTATGATTATAGATTTTATCACTACTGTATATAAGTCTTATGATTTTAATTTGCACCCATAATATTTGAATTAACAAAATGAGTAATACTAACAATGATACATCAGCGCCACAAATTCTTTTAATAAATAGTATCGCAACACTTAGAACTTTTTGCTGCCAAATCACCTCCTTGTCTCCAATATAAACAAACAAATGACCTAAATACTAAAACAAATCATTTTATAGTTTAAATAAAATATTTGATCAATTATTTAAAAAAAAAACTTAATTACCTCATCAAAAACAATATTTGTCCCATTCAAACATTGCATAGAGCTATAGCGATTTGAAAAATGACAATTCATAACTCTTTGAGATGTGACCATAGGTGAAAAAATTTGAAGAATTATATCAGGATCAATGCCTGGATTTTCTTCTTCTTCATTCTAAACGAAATTAAGGCATTATACAATGAACATTACCATTAAAACATGTATAATAAAGAATAATAACTAGGTACCTCTGTTGGTTTAATAAGATTTTGTAAAATTGCTAATTTTCTTATATGTAAGCAAAACTTTGTATCACATTTCATAAATACAATATCATTTAAACTGTCGAAAACTATTAAACACCGCATGATTTTAAATTAAATACAACAATTATTACAGTGCTTAGCAAGGTGGTACAGGTAAAAATTTTAATCTAAAATGTAACATTCGAGTTTGTATAGTATACATAAAATAATATTTATTAATCTTATTAAATTATATACTTAATTAATCACTACTTGATAAACGTAAGCCTTACGTTACGTAATTTAAAAGTTTTATCTATTTTATTTACTAATTACTATGGTTTATAATAGAATCATCATAGTTATAAAATTATGTTATGGTATGTAATGATTTATATAACCATAGAGTATAGTAGATAATAAAGATAATTATTATCACAGAATAAAATAATAAGAACACTAGCAACCATTTTTTCGTTATCACAAATTGCAGACATACCTTATAACCACGATTTAAGATAATTGATGATCTTCATTGAAGATAATCTTATTTGTGCAATGTGCTCATAAGTTTATAACAGTAATAATTCATGAGCCATAATTTTCCATTTAAATATATTATGAAACATGACAAGTAAATAATAAAATAAACGTCTTCTATCTTACAGGATATGATATATAATTTATTATGTAATTCCTACGGTCTAACATAACAGTCTATTAGGCCTATTAGGAAATAGGAATAGTAAATAATTTACATCATTATAAATAAAAGATTCCGAGGGGCGAAGGGCTGTGCGTACTCATGTCAACGGGTGCTTACTGCTTTCGGATTCCGATACAGGGCTCAAAAACAAAAATAATATCGGATGATCCAATAAGTAAACTGAAAATCCATGTGTTATAATAAAATATGTAAAATATTATAATATATGTTTTGTATTATGGTACACCTTAATAAGTGATGTTAAATTTAAGGTATCTAAAGAAAAAAGTGGTGCTGATTAAACTTGATAATGTTATGAAATGTTATTCCTACGATGTATAAGATATATGACATGTAATCAAATTTAGAGATGCATACTAGCATACCCAAGCTTCCCCAAATATTGGGCGTATGCTAGTGCCTAGAGGCGCATTATGCAAATTATAATATATATTAACTAGTGATGGAAATGATTCAACAATTATTCTATATTGTTTGAATTAAGTTGAGTACCATACGGGCATACGGCATACTTCCACAATAATATGATCATAGTATTGATTTAGATTTATTTATTTGTTGTTCAACGGTCAACAAAAAATAATTTACAACTACAAATTTCCGTGTGTTACAGAAAAATAAAACAAAAAACCATTAATAAAAGTGCCTCCTCAGCTTCGCATAGAAGCTAAGATTAATTAAACACAGAATAGAATAAATTGATTTTTTAAAATTAAAATTTAATCTAATCTGTGAATTAAATAACAAGTGAAAGTCTTTTCTTCCATGAATTATTTGAATTGTAACCGTTCTATATTCATGCCATGAGGAAATTAAAATGGTCACGCCCCATGGATGTAGTAGTCCAATGACAGATAAAGATGATAACAGTTTCGATCTAAGAATTTGAGTTTTAACGGTTATACCACTACCAGTCAGCAGTCATTACAATTTAAATTACGACAGGTAACAGGTTTAGGCTATGTTACTATTTGTATTTTCTATTGTGTTTTATACTTTTATGCGTTCACCTGCCACCAAATCATAAGTTTCACCAAATAATATTTAATATCTAAAAAATTATTTAAGCTTAACACATTCCGCAGTGCGTTGCTGAGTGCTATAAACTTACTTTTAAATTGCCGTGTTTACTTGGTGTTTTTATTTATATTTTACAAATTATGGCTGACCATCTTTTCCAAAAAAAGGGTTCCTCGCCTGAGAAACCTATAGAAGTTTTTGTCAGAGTCAGGTAATTTTGTTGTTATTAGATTTATATTTTAGTTATTTACGTTTTATATTTCATTCATCGTGGATATAATACTTTTGTAGTTATAAACCAATTTTTTTTTTTAGTTTAATAATTTTACTATAGTAATTTATTTTTTCTCAAAAGTACTCTTTAAAAATGTTTTTTCTCCATTTAGCTTTAGAAGGCTTAATGTACTTGTCTTAGGTGAGATAAGCAATGAGGTATTGACCGACTTTGGTTAGTGCAGAAAGTCTTCTCTCACCGAACACAGTATAGTGTCTGTTTTAGTTATTAATAAAAGATATAGGCGAATACATGTGCTGTGAATTTTCTCGCTCCACAGTATGAAAATATCTAGGGTTTGAAAGATTCAGTCTAGAAAGAAGTCCATGATTTATTAATAATATTACAATGTAAAGATAGGTTTCATATTTACTTTTGGTTGAATATTATAGTACAGGGGTGGCCAAGGTTTGGGAGCTGCAAATTTACTAGTTTGGGCTAAACATACTGAAAAGCGCCACTAATGCCGTGTCAATCTATAATAACGACTTCTTAATTTTACTCTAAGCTTGGTTTCAAGAGCCGCATTGCGGCACGTGGAACTCGTAGTGGCCACCCCTGCTGAAGTACCTAAACATATTTTTAAAACTGAATTATGAAATATATTGAAAATTATGTCAGATTAGGAAAATTATAAATTTGCTTTGAATGTAACTGCAATCTTCTAAATAAGAAAACAAATATTATAATTTTTTCTTAAAACTTAAAATGTTAGTTCAACATATATTTCAAGTTTCTATCTTCATCTTTATCTTTGCCTTACACTCAACTACATGGGTTCAGCCACCCTAGTCCTACACCTCCATAGAGCTCGGTATTCTACATCTTATTCAATTTCAAGTCTCTTAACTATTGATTATTACCATTTGATATGCTGTTAATACCCTTTTAAATGCTAGAGAAAAAATATATCTAATATATAACCCGATAATCATAAACTCTAAAATATTTGTTTTTACAATGAAATTGAACTATTTAATTATTGTTTTTCCAATATAAAGACCCATGACTGATGCTGATAAAAGTAAAGGCTTGCCAGTTGTAGAAGTGTCACAAAACCAAAAGGAAGTAGTTGTGACAGAAAAGACAATTATGTCAGATCGCCGAACAAAAACATTTCATTTTGATAAAGTTTTTGGACAAAATTCAAAACAAGTATGATAATTTTAATAATTACCTAAATAAAGGTTATTACTTAAATTATTTTGTAATTTAGGTTGATGTGTATAATTGTGTTGTGTATCCGTTAATCAAAGAAGTATTAGATGGATACAATTGTACTGTATTTGCTTATGGACAAACAGGAACCGGAAAAACATTTACAATGGAAGGAGAAAGATTAAATGGTCATTCAAAAGTATCTTGGAATAAGGTTTGTTGTCAAATTTAATTATAAATGGCCATTAACATATTTTAAAAATAGAGCTCCACAATTTTGTAACAAAATTTTCTAACTAAAGTATGTTATTTATTTTATTAATAAATTTCTTGAATTGAATAAAAAAAAAGATTTTTCAAAAAAATCTATTAATGGTCTATTGAATATTGTCTTCTGATTGTAAACATAATATTAAAAATGATTTCAGGATCCAGTGTCTGGTATTATTCCACGTGCTTTAAGCCATATGTTTGATGAGCTAAGACTTTTACAAGTTGAACATACAGTGAGAGCCTCATTTTTAGAACTGTACAATGAAGAAATCTTTGACCTTCTTTCTACTTCTGAAGAGGTTATTCATAAATCTTTAAGGTACATTTGTTCTAATACAATATTAGACAGTATTCAAATTTATATCTATTTTAGTATTTGCTAGAGCTTTATCAACTTATAAAAACTTAAATAAGTTTTTTAAATTAAAAATAATTTATTGAAAAAATTGACTTTTGATAACCAGTTTTAAATAATTATTTTTAAAGTTACTTAAGCTTAAAATTTAGGACGGTAGGTGGAGTGCAGTTAAGAAATGTGCGTGGATAAAATAACTCTACTTTCCACTCTTCCTCCCATTCTACATTTTAATCTTTAAAACTATTTATTCAAAACTGGTTGTCGACCAGTCAATATTTTTAGCAAATTATTATTAATTTAAAAAGTTAAGAAAATATATATGTTAACATTTAAGTTTTAAAAGTTGATAAATCCCTAGAAAGGGAAGTCATGTGGTCAACAGTTGTTTCCCTTCATTGGTTCTGTATAAAAAAAACATAAACAAAGATATTTTAAAAAAGAAACTTTTTAAAATTGCAATTATTATAAGAGTAAACTAGTGTAGGGCTTTAAAAGAATCACATGGTAATATCATTTAATAATCATCTATTTAACCTTTTTTTTTTAGTTAAAAATTTAATACAGAGTTGATAATACAAAGTAAAAATTGATTAGTTCTATAATTACACATAACAAAATAGAAATTGGTTTCATAATAGAGGGAAACCCTTATGATAACTTGCATAATATACTATTTTTAGGCTATGGCAAAATTAAAATCACAATTAATTATATTACCTTTATAAGAGTTTCATTAACAATCACGTAATTTATGGTTTTTCAATTTAGAATTTTTGAAGAAAAGAAAGGATCAGTTATTGTACGCGGTTTAGAAGAAGTCATTGTAGGTAATAAAGACGAAGTGTACAAGTTACTTGAAAAAGGGTCTAAGAGACGACAAACAGCTGCAACGTTAATGAATGCTCAATCCAGGTAAATACCCTTGAGACTTCTAAGAAGTACTAATTTACTAATTATCAAAAATGTGTATTAGAATAAGGTATAAAAAATATATTTTTTTTTAGTCGATCGCATACAATATTTACTATAACTGTACATATAAAAGAATCAACAATTGAAAGTGAAGACATTGTTAGAGTTGGCAAGTTAAATCTCGTAGATTTGGCGGGTAGCGAAAATATTGGACGTTCGGGTGCTATTGACAGGCGTGCTTGTGAAGCTGGAAATATTAACAAATCATTATTAACACTTGGACGTTGCATTACATCTCTAGTAGAGCAAACCCCTCATATTCCATACAGGTTAATTTGATTCATAAGAATATATATATTATGTGTCTCGAATATTTAATCGTCATGTATCATCATGGCTGATAAAAAAATGGCAATTACAATATTGTATAAAAATTTGTTTGATAATCAAAAGTAAATCAAGTTATAAAATCAATACCTAACAAATAAAATATTATTGCAGAGAGTCTAAACTTACTCGTTTACTACAAGATTCCTTGGGGGGTAAAACAAAAACATCAATTATTGCAACTGTGTCACCATCACATTGTAATGTTGAAGAGACCTTAAGCACTTTGGATTATGCTTCCAGAGCTAAAAACATTAAAAATAAACCAGAAGTCAATCAAAAATTTACAAAAAAAGCTTTGATAAAAGTACAGTAGTATATTGTTTTTTACTTGCTCTATATTGATGAACTGTGATTTATTTTGTTATTGTTTTTTTTCTTATAGGAGTATACGGATGAGATTGAAAAACTTAAACGGGATTTATGTGCAACTAGAGATAAGAATGGTGTGTATGTTGCTGAGGAAAACTATAACGACATGGTATTAAGATTAGAAAAAAATGAAGCCGATATATGTGAAAAAATTGCTACAATAAGAGCTGTAAATGAAGAATTAAACAGAAAAGAAGTACATTATTATTTTTTTATTATTAAATTATACCTTTATAATTTACTTTTTTTTTTTAATTTTAGGAAATTATGAGAGATTTAAAAGTGGACTTGATTAGAACGATGGACGAGAAAGATAGAAGAGACAGCCTTATTGTTAAACTTGATAGAGAAGCGACAAATTTAAGAACGTTAGCAGAAGTTTATGAAAATGATAACAAAAAGTTACACGATAAAATTGAACGTACAATGTGAGTTTCAATAATATATTATAGTTTTCATAAAATATTACCTGTTTTTAAGTAGAAATTAATGTTGTACAAAGAAACCGGGACACTTTTTCTTAAAATAATAAATGATTTTTAAATACATTTTTATTTACTATATATCCTTTACAATTTGAGTGCAGGCGTGTGGCGGAATGAGATAAGGTGGCAGTGTAACAATGCACGGTCGATTCGAATCTCAGCTACTGGCGGTTGTTAATCCTTTTTATTTAAATAAATAATATAATAAAATTGTTCTAAGAAATCATTATTTGGAAGTATGTTTTTTTGTATCCAAATAATGCCTAGGTTTGAGCCAAGATTATTTTACTAACAATAATTAATTATAATTATACTTATTTAGTAATGTTGAAAGAATCAACGAGTCGGCCATTGATAAATTGAAAAACCGTGTTTCGGAAACTAATGCATCATTCTCAAATACTCTAGCATTGTTTGAAAGCAAAAATAGAGAATATTTAGACACACAAAATAAGCTTAATGGTAAAATATTTGTTTTGTATTAAATTATGACATTTTACATATTATATGTTCAATTATGATTATTGTAGATGATATGTACAATCAGCATTATTGTATATTAAATGAATTAAAAACGGTTGTGGGCAAAGTAAATGACAACACTGATACAACTAATAAAGTTTTTTCATGTATGAAAAATGAGGTAAGATATAATTAATATACAATTATTGCCTAATCACAAATATTAACAATTATATTTCTAAAAAATAATTATTTACGTAGATAATTAAAGCACTTGATCTCGGACAAAATGGAAGTGGTGAGATAGAACAAGGAGTTAAAAATTTGTTAATGGAAATGCAACAACTAAAATCTGCGATCACACAAAAATCACAAACTATAAGTCATGTTGTTGCTTCTATGGATTCATATCATAATACTATTATCAAACACATAAGCGAGGTTAATAATTTACAAACAGTTGTACTATTTAACATTTTTTTCTTAGTATTTGTTCCTAATAATATTTACCTATGACATAATTCTTGTGGTGGCACATTTTTTTACATCGCTTTAATATTGATGCACCGATCATCTTTGTTCATCATTGATCAATAAAAAAAAAAAAAATGTTTTCAGACGAAATTGCATAACAAAAACATAAATGAAATTTTAAATGAGATTAAATATCGTTTCAATCTTCAGAATAAATCTAATAAATCTATCGAACATGTTATGAACCATTTGAAGAAGTGTTATGAACAAATGGATATTGAAAAACAGGAATCGTTGGAGGTAAAATAATCTGAAATCTTATTAAAAGCTAGTGTTCATTATTATTATTATTATTATTTTTAGAAAATTAATAAAATTAAGGATAACTTTGTCAGTTATATGTCACTATTTTTAAAAGACATTGATATTGTCAGTGACACAAAGCCCTTCAATGCTATAAAAGCAGACTATGTAAGTCATAATGATAAATTGACAGAAATGTTTGCAAAACAAAACGAGGAAAAAGAACACATGAGTCAGGGTATAACGTCATTGGAAAGAATTCATAAGCAAACCTCTGATTTATTAGAACCAATAGAATATCTTACTAATGAGGTAAATAATAATAATTTAAAAAAATTATAATTTTATTATTGTCATATTGTCTATACTTATTCTAACTTATTAAAACAAAATATAAAGAACATATTTAGTTTTAAACAATATATAACAATTTATTTGTATCAAGCAACAGATTATTTTTCACACGACAACCATGATTACATTATCAAAAAACTTAAATCAAATTTTTTTTTCTGTCAAGTTTATATTTTGAGAACTCTTAATTTAACTGTTTTATTTATATTTTATGTATAGAGTCAATCAACTTTAAATATAATTTCTAATGGAGCTCAATTCCATGAACTCTCACATACATGTGCGTCAAACCAAGAGACATTATTACAGCTACAAAATAACATATCATCCGAATTTGGACGTTTGACACAGAATATCAATAAAGAAATTGAAAGAGTTGAAGAAAACATTGTGGTGAGATTTACATTGTACATTAATTGCCATAATTTTTAAAGAAAAAAAATTGTGTTACATTGTATTGTTCTATTTACAGAATATTACTGATAATATGTCCGAAACCATTAAAGAAGCAAACATTTTGTTCAAAGAGTCTGAGAACAATACTAACGAGTTTCATTCAAAACTGTCAGCATTAAATGAAAAACAGGTCGATAGCGTTGGTACTGGTAGCTTATGTGTCAAAGAAGAATTTTTCAGACAAGAAACTAATATAAACATGTTTTTAAACGAAGCTAAGCAATGTGAACCATCAGGTAATAGTACAATTAAAGTCAGTACAAGCATATTGTGAATTTCAATGTAACACTATTTATTTTACAGGTGAAACACCAAAGAGGAAACAATTTGATTATCCAGATTGTGTTAACACCACATTGAGACGAGAGATCTTACAGAATTTTCTTGTCGATACCAGTGAATTAGTAGTGAGTTCTACATCAACGTCTGTGAGCTCTAGCCTTATATCATTAAATGGATCTGATTCAAATATACCTTCAAAAGAAAATAGCCCTAAAGTTATAAAGGTAGGTTTTTAGTTATATAACAGGTTATAAACAACCTGAATTATTAAGTGTTCAAACATATCAACTGATGCAGTAAAAACATCATAATTAATTTCTTAATTTTTTTTTTAACGGATACCATGTGTATTTTTATTAGAGATAAAAAAGGCAGCACTGTAGTCTAGTAAACAGATTCTAAATAACATAATTGTGATACTGCCCTTTTTGATGAAAGTATAAAAATATATGGCTTTAGTTTAAAAAAAAAAAAATTAAGGAATTGGGTTACGACTTTTTGTTTAGTCTATATATAAATATTAGAAAAGAATAAAATAAAATGTATAGCTTGTATTAATAATATTTATTTTTTCAGAAAAAAGTAAACAAAAAACAAAACAAAATGTTAAGAGAGGGAAAAGTATTAGTAGAACGAAATTAAACAATTAAGACATTTGAGTGGAAATAAAATCGACATTCTATTTATTACAATATCACTAAAAGTGCACTTAATGTATGTAAATAATTAATACCTATAATTTGTAATGTATTCTATGTATTTGCTCTTAAATTTAATTTTTTTTAACCTTACTATTAGGTGTGATTATAATGAATTAATTGTTTTTTATTGTATACACAATTTACAGCATACACATTTTTATTAATAACTGTAATTTTAAGTTGTACAAATGATTTACATTACTAACATTTGCTTTTATATGAATGGAACAAATTTTTTATATTTTTAATAATTTTATAGTTTAATAAAATAATGAAAACTTTTGGTTGTATACTTAATAGTATTGCCACTTTAATATACAATTTTATTTGTATTATTTATATTGATTACCATGATTAATCAAAAATTATAAATTATATAATTTGTCAACATTTAATTTTTAATGACTGAACAGTAACTGGTGATCATTTTGAGTCTTTTTACCTTTTAACACTAACATTTAGTAAATCAAAATAAAATGGCCATTAGCCATGATGGACAAAGCCTGTAGGCATATATTATAATCAATTAAGGGTAACTTCTAATTAAAAGTGTATTTAAATTGGCATTAGTCCACACTAGTTAGAAACATAATCGAGAATCCAGTCCTAATCATAATTATTGTTCTTTACATCAGTTGACTGTCTATAAAAGTGAAAAATATCATGTTGATTATGTACAATAGAACATACCCTAGACGAGTTTAGTAGCCACTACATTATATTGTAATACTACGAGAGCCTCATAATAATAATAAAACTATAGTTAATAGTTATTGTGAAAATACATTTTACAAATTTATCTTAAATTCTTTAGTTGTTCTAGACAAGAATATCTAAATCTTATGAGTTTAAGTAATAAAGTAATTGTTCTCTAATGAAATTATTCAATTCACTAAAGAATAATAATAGGCTCAATAAACCCCACAAGTACCAATGAGCCTTTTTACAAAAGGAAATTTAGTGTAGTTATTCAGGTATGGGCACTGGTAAATATGTTGTACTAATATTGTTATCATAAAACTAGTGTTGCTTCATGCTTGTCTATGAAAATTCCCTATCCATTTTTATCAAGAAATAAGGTTAAACTAATATACTGTATACTTAACGTTTCTAAGCATTAAATATGTCTTATCAATATTTAAAATTTTTTTCTTCACTAATAATATTGAAATAGAATAGTATGCTGCGTCCTTTGACAAGCAATACATTCGGCAACTTAAATTTAATAAAACTGTTTATACGTATAATACTATAATTATGTTCGAGATACATAGCAAAATTCTAACCGATTTATTTCTAAATTTGTATCTTTTTCACACGCAAAATTCCTCTTCGTCTGAAAAAATGTAGTCAATATAGATTTGTGTTGTAAAAACTACTAGCTAAATTGTCAACTTAATAAAATTATTCTACACAGAAAATAAGAAATAAGTTTGGAGAAGTTTTTTGTAACTAATGACTTGACACACACAAGAATACTGAGGTCTGAATATAAGTCATAAGACTGAATTCAGAATATTTGCCATTTGGCTTTTCGCAGTATAAGCAAAAACGAAAAATCACTGATTACAAGCTACAGCTGCTCATAAAATTATACATTTTTTCAATTTTCGCGGGTTAAAATTTTGGGAAGCCCTTGACAAAAACACGCCCATTCAAAACAAAACAAAAACGATTACAACAACAAATGTTGGCGGCGGTGTAATTTTTTGGCAATCAAATTGCTTCTTTGTTTTTTTTTTATTATTAATCAATTTGTACTTCGAATTATTTATTTTAATAAGTTTATTATGGAAACAGACGCACATATGATGTCTCAACAGTACGCACAAGCTCAGCCACAACAAATACAGCATCCACCAGCTCCTCAACCAAGTATGATAAATTAATTCAAATAGATATTACAGTACAAACAACTATACTCACACGGTCAACTCAAGTAGAATTAGAAATTTGATTTGTGTTATGAGTTTTATGATTATTGTGTTAAGTATTAAAGTAGTTAGTCTGTGCGTTCAGTCAAACATGTTAACTGGCATTTAAAGTCAAAAATACCTAACCTATAAATATTCAAATTAAGATTTAAGTGGAGATTATAGGTATTTTGATTTCTGCCTCCTGTGAAGTAATTGCAAAGGGGACTCCTAAAATTACAATAAATTAACTCAAAAGTTGTATATTCATTCTTAATATTGTATTTATACCTTCCATTTGCCTCAAAATGTAATAATTTTATTTGAAATTTATTCTAATTATAAAATAATATAATATATTTGTTTAATGAAATATATTCGCTTATAGCCAGAGAAATGCAACAGACCAGTGCCCCAACCTCAGCTGATGCTTGCTTAAGTATTGTTCACAGTTTGATGTGCCACCGACAAGGATGGGAAAGTGAAGGCTTTGCTAAACGAGCTATAGAATCTTTAGTTAAGAAGCTTAAGGTATGTAATTTTTACATTTAGTTAGATTTTTATGATAGTGTTTACCAGTAGTTGTTTTTAATGGGTTTATCAATACAGAAATGTGTTTCTTTAGGAAAAAAGAGATGAATTAGATAGCCTTATTTTGGCTATAACCACAAATGGTTCTCACCCAAGTAAATGTGTTACTATACAAAGAACATTAGATGGGAGATTACAGGTATATTTTATATTACATATAGTTTTTGTGTGTTTTAATTATTTTTATTTGTGGCTGAATAACTTTTATATATTTTTCTTGATTAATACGTCTTTCATTTTACTTACAGGTAGCTGGACGTAAAGGTTTCCCACATGTTATTTATGCAAGGATATGGCGATGGCCAGATTTGCATAAAAATGAGCTCAAACATTTAAAATACTGCCAGTATGCTTTTGATTTAAAATGTGATTCAGTATGTGTAAATCCGTATCATTATGAAAGAGTTGTATCACCCGGTATAGGTAAATTAATATTTTAATTTAATTTAAAAAAAAACATTTTATCACATTTAAAAATATTCATACATTTTTTACATTTAAGATTTAAGTGGCCTTACACTTCAAAGTGGTACATCGACTAATGGTTCTGGGAGAATAATAGGTCTGAGAGATGAGTATACGGCTGGGGGAGGAGGAATGTCTCCATCACCACCTGGTTCTAGTCAGGTTAGTAGTTCCAATATGGATAGTGACGTGTCTGGGAATAGCCCAGCCGTAACTGTGCAGCATCACTTACCACCCATATACCATCAACAAAATCCAGTCACCGACGTATCTCAATCAACTGTATCCCAACCACCCGGTAAATAGAATAAATACATTAATACATATATATACAGGGTGGTAATTTTATCGTGAACCACTCAATATCCCATAGGGTTTACTAGGTATAATATTTTTTCTTTATAATATTTTTATACAAAGTTATCTCAATTTTTCACATTTTTATTTTATTTTTACTCCCTCCCAACTTAGTTTTTTTGATAGCAAATTTTGAAACTTAAACGGTAACACAAAATTTTATTAACTTTTTAAATTGATGATAATGTACTTAAAATTTTGAATGGTTGATAACCAGTTTTGGACAACTATTTTTAAAGTTATAAGATTTTAAAAATTAGGACAGGAGGGAAAGTGCACATAGATAAAAATAATACTACACTCCACCTTTCCTCTTGCCCTAAACTTAAAACTTCAATAACTTTAAAAATGGTTATCCAAAACTGGTTATCAACTAGTCAAAATTTTAAGTACCTTATTATCAATTTAAAAAGTTAATAAAATGTATGCGATACCATTTAAGTTTAAAAAGTTACTATCAAAAAAACTTAGTTGGGAGGGGATAAAAACTAAAAACAAAATGTAAAAAATTGAGATTACCTTGTATAATAACATTGTTAAAAAAAAAAATGTAATACCTAGTTAACCCTATGAGATATTGTGTGGTTCACGATAAAATGATTACCTGTTTATGTAATTAACATATATTTAATTTTTAAATTGATGCATGTTTTTTAACATAGTTGTAATGAAGTTTAGAATGATATTTATATTCTTTAATTCTGATATAGTGCATGTGTAGTTATTAGTAGTACGTCGTTATTTGTAGGAGATATTGGTATGTTTCGATCTTCACAACCACAACCACAGCAACAACGACCTAGTCATCAAATCGGTATAAGCTCTCAAGTGCAAATTAAGACCGAATCGTGTAACAATTGGATGCCTGGTACTCCTTCACATATATCCCCAAATAGTAAGTTCTGTTCAGTATGATAATTGAAATCTTGAACATAAATTTAAAAAATATAATCTATGGATCTACGAGGACCCTAAACTTGTGTTTTACAAAGTGCCTATCCTACATTTAAAAGGCTTCGAAACTACCAATTTCCCGCTTTGCACTTGTCCAATTGCTATTTTATTTCAAAATAAATTAAAACAATAACAAGCGTTTTTTTTTTTTAATAAAAAATAAAATATTAAATCAACTATATCTTTTGTGCCTAAAAATAATTGTTTTAATTTATAAATATAAATAAAGTATAGTGCTTAAAACTAAAATGTTATTACATAACATATATAATGGACATACTTAAGAATATTGAAATATAATGTCATTCTATTGTACACCTCTTTTTCAAGATGTTAGTTATTTCTTTTATGTGCTTTTAAACTTAAATAATTTTTCGGCAGTTATCTTTCTATTATAGAGGAAGAAAAACTATATTAAAATTTGACCCCTTCAAATAACCAACAAGATCTGATCATCGTAGAGATTTATCTTAACATCATTGGGTAAAACGACAAAATACACAGTTATAAAATAAAATAATAATAAAAACCCTTAACCATAAAAATTATATACTCTCCGCGAAAGTTAAACAAGTTTGACAGTACTCTGTAAAAAGTTTCATCAAAATGGTGATCCTATTGATGTGGCCCCCCCTCCCTATTAGTTACAATGTTGTTGTACAATATATCTATTATATTGATTATAGTCTATGCCTATTTAGTAGATCTTTATGCTGCATTTTATCATATTTATTTCATAAATGTCATACTATTTAGGACGGTGTTTGTGCGAAATGACATAAGTAAAAAATCATAGTTTTTTAGTCAATACAAAAAATATTATTTCATCATTTTAATCTATAAATTTATATAATTTTTTACTTGAATTGGTTTATTTAACCACTTTTATATTTTTAATAAACAATTTCAAGTAAAACAAATATTAATTTATAGACTAAAATGATAAAATGATAATGTTTTTTGTGGTTACTGGAAAACTATGATTTTTGACTTGTGTCATTTTGCACAAACACCATTTTGGCATTAAATGTCCTGTAACTAATATTTGTAATTATAACTATTAGTTCTAATATCACTAATCAATCATGGAATTGAATGTGAACAACTTTTAAAGTATTTTTTCTATGATGTCAAATTGCTAACGAAGAATAACACTTAAGCTTGGATAGAAAAAGACTTTTTTGTTTGGCTACTGAAACATGTTATATTTCATAAGAAGTGTCCATTTGATCTTGCAATAATCTTTTATGAGATTTTTATATCTTAATTTAACTTAAATAATAGCAATTTTATCGATGTACATAAACGCTGACAATTAAAAACAGAACAATTATTGAGAAATTAATGAGTTGAAAAAAAACTAATTTGGACATTTTAATTAATTACCTAACAAAAATATTTAATCGAAAAACCCTAACGTTTCCAGATTTTTTTAAGAAAAATCCATGTTATTGCCTACTTTGGAAATTAAAGAAAAATGTAACTATAATTGTTGATAACTATTTTTTAAGCAAATTTTTTTACAGTAGAAGAAATACTTTCAAAATTATTACTATTCAATTCTATTGAAAACTTCGTTCTTTCTTGTAATTATTAGTGCACTATATTTCTTATTTTAATTAATAGCTTATTATTAGTATAAAATTGTATTTTAAAGTACTTAACGTTTCCAATTGAAATTTTATACATTTTATAATACTATTATTTACAAGTCGACTAATATTTAAATTTGTTACTGTAGGACCGCCTAATATGCCTTTGCAGAATTCAAGTATGTTTACTGGACAAGAAGATGAAAATTTGTGTAATTATATTACATTTGTATTTAAGTTTTAATTTCACTAAGACACAATGAATTCAATTTGATTTATAGTACCAAGCCAAACAATAACCCCTCATGACTATCAGGGACCGGCTGCCTCAATGCCTGGTACAACTACAGGTAACCGAACCGTTCAAAGCACTCTCACCTATACACATTCAATGCAACCTCCGCATCCCACTTTTTGTAAGTATAACAACTTTTTCAGAATTGTATTTTATTGATTTGTAGTAATGGTATTTTATTGTTATTTTAATATGACAGGGGGAGTATCTGAAATGGGTTTGAGTGGACTATTGTCATCACAACCAGCTCCTGAATATTGGTGTTCGATTGCTTATTTTGAACTAGATACACAAGTTGGTGAAACATTCAAAGTGTCGTCTACTTGTCCCCATGTCACAGTTGATGGTTATGTCGATCCATCCGGAAGTAATCGGTTTTGTTTAGGTGCTCTGAGTAATGTTCATAGGACTGAACAGAGTGAAAAAGCCAGGTAATATTTGCTTTTGACCATGAAAAATAATCAAAGTACAATTTTCTCAAAAATGAATCATTATTTATTACAGGCTCCACATTGGTAAAGGCATCCAGCTCGACTTGATAGGAGAAGGAGATGTTTGGCTTAAATGTCAAAGTGATCATTCTGTGTTTGTACAATCTTACTATTTAGACAGAGAAGCTGGCCGAGCCCCTGGTGACGCAGTGCATAAAATATACCCGCACGCATACATTAAGGTATCCTCATTTTATAGTATTACAACAATTTTTGCCTTTTTTTACCAAATATACACACTGTAGAGAACAATAGTTTTACATTTTCCTATATATTTATAGTTAAGATAAATTAAGGTTTAAAATATTTCACAATTATTTACATACTACATTTATTTCTTAGCTTTCATTGTAAATTTTGTAAGGTAAAAAGAGTTTTTGTATTTAATTCAATTAACGATAACTAACTCTTGGACTAATTTTGCCACGCAGTCTATTGTTAAGAAATTGTTTATTAAAGGTGCATTATAAATCCTAAAACTAAAAAATAGTATTAACATTTCCCATTAAAGTGGAGAAACATTCTCAAAACATACTTTTTATGGTAAAAAGCCAACTTTTAAAAGTATCTTTTTGGTACAATTTTTGATTTATACTTGTTACCAAAAAAAACCATTCTTAAACAAATGCTATATGTTAGCTGAACACCACCTAAATTGTAATAAAATGTATTTTTTTGCATTATGATTATTTGTTGATTAATAGGTGTTTGACTTAAGACAATGCTACAGACAAATGCACCAACAAGCTGAAACAGCTCAAAATGCAGCTGCGGCACAAGCTGCTGCTGTAGCAGGCCATTTGGCTGGACCTCATAGTGTAGGCGGTATTGCACCAGCTATAAGTATGTGGGTTATAAAATATATGATCTTCAAGTGTATTAAACAACAATATATAATTTTTATTAGGTTTTAATGCTGCTGCTGGTATTGGAGTAGACGATCTGAGAAGGTTGTGTATATTGAGACTTAGTTTTGTTAAAGGATGGGGTCCAGACTATCGACGAAGTAGCATAAAAGAAACCCCTTGTTGGATTGAAGTATGAACTATTTACAATTAATAAAAATATTGTATACATAAATTGTCCAATTTAAGACTACATCACAATATTTTAAGATTATCAAATTATCAATATCACTTCTTTTCTTCATGTTTATAAATTAAATATAACGTTATACAGACCAACGTTAAACAAAAATTTATTTGAAGTGGTTGTAGTTTTAAACTATAATGTTATTTTAATAAAATATTTAATTCACATGATTCTAACGTCTATATTTTAGGTACACTTACATAGAGCATTGCAACTTTTAGACGAAGTATTACACTCGATGCAAATTGACGGTCCATCAAGGGCTTAATTTTTAACTAGACTATGATATTCAAGTGTAGTAAGATATATTTTTTTTTTTAACAGGAGGTAATTTGTTTGAATTAAAAAAAAATTGACTCTTTAGCTACATTTACCTAATAATTTGGTATTATGTTCATTTACTGGAGGTCTGACAAATTAGCCGTTTAGTTTCAGCTGTTTTAATGATTAATAATGATTACTACAGCTTGTAGTTTTATCATCATTTTTTACCCAAGATGTCTAACAGTGACACTTAAAAAATATTAATTTATATCTTTGATATTTACCATTAGGTAGTACGAAGATTCCATTGAAATTATTTTATTTTTATACATTTATTTATTCATTTAAGTTGAATGAACTATTGTTTTATTTTTTATGTTTATTTTATTGTTTGAAAAGAATAAAGGTAGTTTTATACCCTCCTAAATCTTTTGTTGTGTGTAAATATTTGATTAAATTTTACTTGTTACTTTTTAATATACCAGTATTTTAATTTAACTTTATAACTGATAAAACATTTAAAAAAAGTAATTTTACTAGTAAAAATAGTATATAGACTTATTATTTAAATATGTACCCTACCTCCTCTTAATGGAATTATTACATAAGACTAATGTAATTTGGGCATTTTATTGAACCTCACTTTTTTAACTACCTCAGGCTCATATTAATTTTATATTTTGTAACAAAGAATATAATGTCCTATGAGCCTTTGAATTTAAGCTTCAAATAAAATAAAATTGTGCTGCTGTTTTTATAAGCAATTAATATGATTATTCTTTTGATATAAAATGTTAATATTTTAACTCAAAGCAAGAAATGAGATATCTTTATAGTCATATTTTGTACTTGCCACTATAATTTGTATTGTAAACTTGTGACAATTTTTCATTTTTTCTACTAATATGGTTACCTGACATTTTTTTGCAGAAACTATTTTTAAAACTAAATGTTTTTATAAATGCAAATATATATTTTTTGTTTATGCACTTTTTATTTTACAATTTTGTTAAGCCTGCAATAGACTATTAATTATTTAATAATAAAAAAATTGTGTATTAAAAAATATACCTTTCATATTATACATATTATAAACGTGATAACTATTAAATTATATATTTTTTTTTGTGATGAGTGATCCTAGTTTGAATTTTTACATGTATGTTGTAATCTGAGAAAAAATGGAAAGATTAATTTTTTGGAACTAAATAGTGTTATTTTTTTATTTTTTTATTTTAGTCTTATGATTTATAACAAAAATTATCCGTGGTTTCTTTTGGGATTAATTATTTTAAAGTCTTGTACATCAGCTATGCTATGTTATAATTAAATGGTGTAAACTAATAGAAAGGCCTACCACCTGACGATCGAATTTCGCCTATACAGGCCTTACTCCCAAGTCCCAGTTAGAAGCGCTATACAAAAATAAAATATTACAAGATTTATCTTATTTTAATTAATTTAAGAAACATTGGTAAACAGGTATTAATAATCTAAAATTCATTTTTTACTGTTACTTATGTAATATTTATGACTTGCAACAATACATTATGACTTCAAAAATAATGAATGTTTAAAGACATAAATATTCTTATCTTGGAACAAAATATCTTATTATCCAATTATTGTATACGATTTTAAATTAAATATAATTTATCTGTTTTTAATTGTAACTTGAAATCCTAATTGATTAAATTTTAATTGAAAAAAAATGTGCAACAAGTAAGCCTAGCCTAACCTTACCTAATTTTTGTTGACAAAATTATTCTAAACAGGGAATCAGAACATTACATTGTCTCGGAACGCTATATTGTTCCCGATCCCAGCACCCATGGTCTCTGACTTCTTTATAAATATTGAAACCAGCAACAAATACAAAACTATAGAGAGAATAACTTTTATTCATAAGACTAAGTGGACTGCCCGTCATACTCAATGACACAGTAATTTGATCAGACATAAATTACGTACATTTCAAGTATTAATTAGGTTAAAAAATAAATAAAATTGCTTGTACAAAGAAAGTAAAAATAATAATATGAATAGTTTAAGTAAATTATTTAATGTTATAATATATATTGTGTGTCTAATAGATAAATATTAGAAATGGGGAAAAAACACTAATAATTAAATAAATTATAAAGCATTTAAATGCCTATGCATTATGTTCAGTGTATTCATTATTTCTAAATATATGTTTTTGAATTTGTTTTTTGAAGAAACTGAGAATGAAGGGTGAGGCTGAACCATAGAACTTCCAAGTCGTTTACTCCGTAATTTTGTTTTAAATATGGGATGATTGGTAAAAAAAATACCCCTTTTCACCACATCTTGACTCGTATTGTTGTCTCGCAGCGAATAGTCATATCGAAAACACCTCAAATAATTCAAAAAATCCTATTAACTGGTGGATTGTCACTGTCCACCGATGAAAATGATCTTAATGTATAATATAAAATATTGGGCCGTTCAAGTCTCTTTACTTTCAAATAGTATATACACCATAGTAGATCAAATCATTCACAAATCGTTTTGTACATTTTTATCTCGGTGGTTAAATGGAGCTATTATTAATAACTTAGACATACAAAATACTTATAAAAATGTTTTAATGAATAATAATAAAAAATTGTATATTAGATAAAATATACACAGAAAAGTTAATAATTACTATTATTTAAGTTCTACATAAAATGTAACAACCAATAATTCAATTGTTTTTTTTACTTAAACCTTTGCCTGATCTTCTTTATACTCAAAACAGTAAGGCAATCTTAAATATTAATACATACAAATGATCATGAAATGTAAATCATTTATAATTTATTTATAAAAGGAAGAAGTCGGCAGTATTAAAGTCACAAGAACAGTAAACAATAATCAATCTTAGAATGAAAATGTTAATTTATATCTAACATAGGGTGATACGTAGTTGTTTTGCTGTAGCAATTAAGACTTCACGTCCTTTTTGTTTGAAGTCCATTATTCTGGAAGGTAAAATTAATTATTTATTTCAACATATTGAAACTAATTTGTTTATAAATAAAAAATCAGAGTAACTCTGTACGAAATATTATAATTTGTGTACTTACTCATTACTGAAGTCCGATGTTTCTAGAAAAGAAATCCCTTGATTTGTTTTTTTGTTACCAACAGTGCAATCAACACCCAGCGGCGTTGTTATATTGTGTTCTGTCAATGTTTTGTAAAGTAATTGTACAACCGGCTCAAGATCAACACTTTTTACTTGATTTAATTGAAATGACAAAGTGTAAATGAATGAAATTGCAGATAATAATAAAACACAATCCTACAAAAAATATTTAAATATATAGTTAATTATAGTTACAATAATATATAAGACAAATATATATAATTACTGTCTTGTAGATATTAGATGAAAAAATATCAACAGCATTTAATGAAAAATATTTCCTCAACATTGTATTGTTTAGAATAATTATAGCTAATTGATAGGCGGCAAATGGTAATTCAGTTAATCTTTCATTTAAGTCCAATTGATCGATCTAATAAAAAAATTATAAAGCATTATATTTAATTGTACGATATCCATAAAATTATAACTGACTTCTCGAATTTGAATGGCGATTATTTGGATTATTGTTTCAATGAGCAAAGTAAATATTCGCTTAAAATCAACAGTACTTGTTCTATGAATACTCAACATTAAAATGTTTAATTCGTGGCGGAAATGAGTTGGACTCTAAAAAAGTATAGTATAGTAGACAAGCATAATTTTATGCGGTGTTTATATTCTAGAAAAATGATTTAACATCAATTTGCTATACTTACTCCTATAATGCTAGTAAAACGTTCTTCTGTATACTTAGATTCGCCCAAAGCTGATATAACACTGCATATGCAATTAATAAAACTTTGAGTTTTTACAAATGAAGTGTCAATACATTTCAAATAGTTAAAATGTTTTGAAATACTTATTAATGCTCCCATTGTCGATATTAAAATGTGTGGTGCCAAATAACCTAAAAAAAAGGAACATAGTTAATGATAACTAATTGAAAATACATATCTATAGATTATTATTGTATATACTATATTACCGTTTAAAATAGTAGCACAAAATGTAAAATAATGATCTAAAAATTCATTATTTACTATAGCTATTAAACACAAGTTCAATACAGCATAGTTGACAATTTCGATTACTTTAACTGTAAATGTTATAGTGCTTTCATTCCTCTCATAAAAATTGTGAACAAGTAAATTTCTGTAAAACAAATATATACATATATATATATATTTATAATATAATGGGCTGTTGCTGACCTAATAATTTTTTTTTAAAATAACAGCTTTACTAACTCCATAACCCAATTATGTATTGAAGTTTGATATTGAAGAATTTCATTAATATTTTTTTCATTGTTTTGATAGATTACGTGCAAACGTAAATGCAATTGAAATAACTCAATTAATAATTCATCAGTTAACAAATGATTATCCAGTTTTTTGTTTGACACTATTCTTTTTTCAATGGCCAACTGTGAATAAAAATAAAACATAATATAACAATAAAATAGTTACAGACAGGACTTAGTGGCTCAACTAGACGCTTGTGGATCCTATGGTTATATATATTTTAAATGGGGGCATTTCCCACACCCTGAAAAAGAAAATCCTAAACAAGCTGAGGCACATTATTTACCAGTTACCACATATATTTTATCAAATTAAAAATGGTTGTTTATTGCAAAATAATGTTGGTACTTTCCTATTAATGCAACTACCAATAAGTAAGGACGGACTGTATAATGCTTTTATTATGACGATATTTGTTGGCAACAGTAAATATGCGACTGATCACATTTTTACATTATAATTAGTATTATGCTTTTTAAAATGTTGTTGATGACAAATTTAAGTAAAGCCATTACTGATCATACCCAAGTTTCTACTTTACAACTAAAAATTAAACTTTACCTTGGATCGTTGCAAATATAGAAAAAGATCATAAGTATTTTTTTTATTGACATCTGAATCAATGAGCAATTTTTGAGTTTGTAAATTGTTCAGCATTGAATTTATTAAAAGTAAACCAGTCTTTGGCTTACATTCTTCAATATCCATTTTAAATCTCACCCTTCTACTTTCTTTTGGTTTTGGTTCCTATAAATTTATTAAAAAATTATCAAACAAATTATTGAATTATCTACTTTAATAGATATTTTTTATTTTGATCATACTGGGTATTGTGTTTCATTGAGATCCAACATCTTAAATGCTTCATCAAACCAAATAGTAACAAACTGCAATATTTCATAACCTCGCTTCCACATACACAATGTATGCACTAGACAATTGACTTTACGCATGTCAATCTCTTCTTCACTGTTGTTCATGTCGTTAGGTAATTGTTTTAATGTAGATAATGCAGCGCTTGCCACAGATACATGAGCAGCTAATTTGGAAACTGGTACTAAACTGGATAAATGAACTGCACTATAATATGCATCACCATCCTGGAAAAGTAATAAATAATTTAATGATATGTTCTATTTTTTTTCCTAGATCCACAATAACTTTTAAACCACTTAACCATTTTCTTAGTGTAGGAAGTTTACAGATCAGAAATCGTACCTGATACAAAGATATAAGGCCAAAAATTAAGAAAGTTTATTGCTTCCCTTTCAAAAACAAGATAACACCTAAAAATTTTACACATTTTTCAACATAATATTATGGGCTCCCTATAACTTTTTGAAAATAGTCTTAATTAGTTTTTAACTTCAGTGGTATAATCCTTAGAAATACATTGAAGAACGAAGAACACATAACCCTTTCTTATAGAATAGATAGTAACTTTTAATTTGTTTTTTGTAGCCATTGTTTTTGAACTTTCAAGTCTGAAAAATAGACTAAAGGTAGAACTAAAACTTAATGGGTTTTAGGTGTATGTATAATATAGCTTTTGTAGAATTATATGTGCTGTATATTTTAGAATTTTTTTTAAAATAAATTAATTCTTTCAATTTCCAAAATATTTGTAAATGTGTTGAAACTGTCAAATTAAAATATGATACGTCCTTGCCTACTATGCGGCCTCTTAATAGTTTTTACCATCTAAAGTTTCATAATTAAATTAAAGTTGAATATTTTAATACTGTAAGTATAATAATACCTTATACGTTTTCAAGACTTTAATTAAACACGATGTACAGGCATCTTGGATTTCATTCATTTGTTTATGATTGGTTTCTTCCATAAAAGTATTACGATGCAGCATCATCAAACAGCTTACACAATCCAATATGCAACATACTTTGATTTGTTCGACTTGTTCAAATTCTGAAGAATTACTCGTCGAAGAGCTAGATGAAGAATTATGCGAATCATTTGCACTACTGTCACCTGCAAAATAAAAATAAAATTATGACATTGATAATAAATCTCAAAACCTAACATGAATATTACTATAAGACAACATTATACATAATATTTCATACAGTTTTGACAATTTTACATAATATTAAAATGTATCGACACAATAATGTGAGACATTTTATATATTATGTACAATTTTTTTTATATTCTATTTAATATATTAAGTACAACACTTTTACATACCAGATTCATTATTTGTTTTTCGTTTCTTTGCCGGGAGATTATTTTCCTTGTCTATATCTTTTAATTGTTCTTCTTTTTTCTTAAGCGCCACGTACACAGTTTTAAGTAATGACAAAATAAGTTTGCACGCACTACTAAATTCGAGTTTTTTCTTAGAATAAATCATAAGTTTTCGACAAGCGTTCGGATTGATTTTGTAAAAAGTGGTAATTCGAGTAAGTGTCGCATTACGATCAGGGACTTTATCCCCAATAAAATTGTCAAAAATTAAATCAACTAATAAAATTCCATTTTGCCTATCTTCACACTGTAAAATGTATATAAAAATAGTTTACAAAACATCAAATTCTGTCAAAATAAATAATATTCAATAGACTTACTGCAAGTGCCTTAGCAATATCGTTTAAATTGACAATATGAGCAAAGTTTATTTTGTTTTTATTTTCAGGAATAGAATCAATTTTTTTTATCTTCAATAAGAAATATATAAAAGCGCGTCTAACTTTCTCATTTATGTCATATAGCACTTTCTTTAGTTTAGCCATAAATGTAGGTGTTTTGAAATAGTCGTAACATTTACTCTCTTCTAATATCTGACAGAATCCATAAAACATGACTTGTCGTACTTCATAAACACTTTCTTCGATTAATCGGGCAAACAAGCTAAAGCATTTATTTAGTCTATCATCTTCAAAGGTATCCCAAAAATATCGTAGACAACTACATATTCCCTGCAATCATTTTTTAATTAAAAATTGGAAGTAAACGTTAAGCAAAATTTTTTTTTTTTGGTGACGATAATACAGAGTACACAATGTTGGGTAAATATTTAAATTGAATAATAAACAATTTGTCATATAACTTTTAATGCTATAAAATTATTTTTAAAAAAATAGGCAATCTGTTTATTTATAATTCATTAAAAAAACAACATATATTATCTAGGTTAATTTTAAAGTGATTTACTTAAAGTTAAATATTTTACTATTTTGTTTATTAAAAATAGTTTAAAATTGATTAATTATTTATAAATGTACGAATTTGAAATCACCTTTTTTAATTAAAAAAATTAAATCACGATATACAGTAAAATTGGGGTTGATTTTGACCCAAAATTATATTTTTACAAGCTGCATAATGATATTTCCGGAGTAATAAAAGAATTTTTTTTAAATAATTAGACATCCAAATAAATAATTATAGTAAAAATAATTTTTTACTTATAGCTTCATAGGATAAAAAAGTATTCAAAATGAATAATGCCCATCTCTAATTATTTTACAAAGAGAAATTCATTTACATGAAACAAAACTTGTAACATATGATACATCTATACATAACATACTTTTATGGCTGCAATTCGAACTTGAGGACAAGGATCTTCTAATGCCTCGAAAAATGCATCTTGTTGTTTAATTAAATATCTCGATGAATTCTCGCGGCCTTCACCTCTTTTTTCTAGCGGATAAGCTCTGGCTAATATTTCTATAGCATTACATCTAACCACATTAAACTCACTCTGGTTTTAAAACAAAAACAAAATATTACGCTTAGAAATACATTAAATGTTAAAAATGTTAATTATTGAGAATTTTGAATTACCCTCAAATGACTCCAAAGTATAGGCGCATATAATTTTGTAACGACTTTGCTAAATAATAAATGCTTCCTATGACTTTGCATGCTTTGTAACAATAATAAAGCATTATGGTATGTACGGAATGATTTTCCAACTCGTTTTAATGTAATTGTTTTAGATATCAAATCAAATATTCCTTGTTGTTCAATGATCTAACCAAAAAATGAAATGATCAAATGTGTACCTGGTTCTATAATATTCTATTTCAAGAATAAGAGTACGCCAAACGATACACAGTAAGAAGATAAATGAATAATAAATAAGGATTGGACTGACATTTAGATTTAACCAATATAAGATAGTAGGAACATATAAACACCGTAATTCTTGGATTTTTAGATATTCTAGAGATATTTGTGTAATATTAAAACGTTTAACTACGTAGTATTTTTATTTATAATAACTATTTCAATTTAAATATCAATGAGAAATTATGTACATAAATATTATTGTTTATAATTTGCATATAATTTTTGTTCAATTTTTAAGTTTAATGCAAAGCTGAATAACAATAATAAAGGTTTTTCTAATACTTGGTTTTTGACAGGACCTATGATATTTTTTTTAACCCCTTGAAATGTAGCATCTCTGAAATTATATTATACAAAAGGTTCTTTATAAGGTCAAGTTGAAAAGTTTACCTTTTCAAAATGGAAATAAAATACAAAAAACACTTAAAAATGTATACATTTTTTTGATTTAATATGACTATTATGAATTTGAAATACAGTTACTTCCGAAAATTGTATGAAGTAAAATCTATAGTGACTTTATTTTTGAAAAACCAAAAAACATACGACACAATTTTCTTGTGACCAAGATTCTTATTGAAGTGCATTTTTCTTAAGTAATTTAATAACTAGTAAACTATTTCCTAAAGGTAGGTGAACTCTCTGATCTCAATGGGTTAGCATTTTATTTTGATTATCTATTTATATAAATAGTTTCTTTTTGATAAATGAATGTTACTTATGAAAGTTTGGTGTACAATTTTTTTTGATACGACTTTAATTACTTACATCTTTCATTGATGAATTCGAGTTAATCCATGCCATAAAATATATTTCTCCATAAGCTTCTGCTTCTAACTTTTTTGCTTGAGGTAAATTTCTTTTAATAGTTTGATGATACTTCTAAAAAAATTTTTAAAAAATAATCAATAAGTATGCTATTTTTGTTATTACATCGGTGACAGTGACTCATTCTCCTTTTAAATATAAAGGTATTTCATTTCACATGTTAGTGGTCTGTATATTTAACCAAAGATATGAAAAAAATAAATAAATGTGTTCATACAAATGGATTATAATTATAATGTTTTGTTATTTTACCTGAAATAGTTGTGAATTTATTGTAAATATATCACCAATAATCAATTTCCCAGTTTCAGTTTCCAAAAATAGTGAATTTTTCAACAATTTTTCAAGATTTATAACAATTAAACTTAAAATTTCTTTATTAAAAGATAACGCTGATACACCTTTACAGAATTCATACAGCAATGTTGACATTGTTTTCTGTAAACAAATTAATATTACTCAGCAGTTATTATTGTAATTCTAAAACTTACCAAGTCATTTTTCTTTGTTGTTTTCATAATAGTTTCAAATAAATAACACAGCGTAGGAGTACAATATTTTGTCATAATTGTTTCAAAATCTAATACATCATTGCATTTTGTTGTATTTGTGTCATTTTGAGTATAAGATGTGGCCAATTTCCAGAAACTTAAGCACATTTTTACTATTTCCAGTTTAAACTTAAAAAAAAAAATAGTTTTAGAAACGTAAATAAATTTAAAAAAGAATAATAAATTTAAAATTCAAAATTCAATTATTTTAAAACACATTAAGTAATACATATTACACTCCAAATAATTTATAAAGGAATGAAAAATAATTTTAACTTCTGTGCTGTGAAAATAAATTATATTTTACAAGGTCTGATCCAAATCATATAAATAAATAATAAATACTATTCACCTTATATTTATAATTTTTTGAGTATAAATTTTGAAATATGAATATGGTCTTTAGGAAGTCTTTATTTTCATAAATATCGACTGCGTCTTCCGAATTGTTGATGACATGTTGAGTAAGGTTTAAAATAAAATGGTAACAATTTACCATATCATTGTCATTAAATGTTTCATCTAAAACTGATGTTTCTTGAAGAAAGTTATTTAGTATCGTCCATATTTGTTTTGAATCATTTTCATTTAGATCTTTCAATGAATCATTCTGAAAAAAAATGTTATTTGTAAATTAATACGAATATCAATATAAATTATATAAAATGACTACCTATACCTGCCAGCTCCGGGAGCCGACTCGAGCACGTTGGGGACTCTTCATCAAGATGGGGGCTCACGCCTCCAAACCCCCAGAGAAAAAAAAACTTGCCTAAATGACTAAACTAACCTGATACTGCACTGGAAGCGTCAGCTGTCTAATGAGACCAAACTTAACCTACCCTTTAAAAAAACAAAAAATAATAGGGTCTTACCTAACCTAACTAAAGGAGTCCTCCAATTTATGACTACAGATTCGTAATCAGTTTTCAATATAAAAACACTACAAAACGACAAAATAAGAACCACAAAAAAAGTGTCCAGTAAGGTAAATTTTAGTCTTGATTTCAAACCGGTGATTTCCGTTTTATAAATACGAGCAAAGATATTAAATTTACTAGTAGGGTGATAGAAGCATTTGCACTTTATTACAGCAAGAACTACAGTTTTATTTTTAATAGATATTAAAAATTTGTTTAAAAAAAAAAAAGACTACGGAGAGTGAATGAATGCAAATTTTGATTACAAAACAACATGATAAAAACTAGAAACCCCAGCAGCACGATGTGAAAGGAAGGTTGATTCTGGGCGCCTAGGCCATCTTATGTATGTTATACTCGCTTAATGCTACCGATCATGAGATGGTTTCTTGACAAGTTCTCTAACCAAGACAGGTCATCAGACTGTTACCAGAGAGGTAGATGGAGACTCATTTTTATTAGATAATTTCTAGCCAAGCAAACAGAACGCACATTCTGAGTTTCAAACCGACGATAGTCAGTGCAAAACACACTGATGCCTCGCTCACAGGCATCAGTAACAGTGTATTACTATAAAATAAAACTATACTTTACAGTATAGTTTAGGTAAATATAATTTTCTTAAAAAATCAGGTAATTTTTAACATTAAACAAAAATACATTATACTTATATTAATTATTTACATTTAATTAAAATTATATTACACTATTAACTTACTGAAGTATTTAAGATTTCTTTCACTAATTCGGGCAGTTTATTGCAATCCAATAAACCTAACTTGATGACTCTGAATGACTTGGTAGTCATCTTGATGGATTAAGTTTAGAAAAAATAGATGAATTTTTTGTTAATCAAACAAACTATTACTAACAATTACTCAAACAAATATATAATATATACATGGTGCAATTAACAATGTTAAATATAAATTTAAAACATTTTAAAATTCAAAATCAAATTAAATTTTTTAAAAATATGTTCCAAGTTATCAATTTTCTAAGATACGTGGGTAGCCGCGGCGCCTACAAATTACAATGTAAATGTTGAGAATGTTTTGACTTTTGTTATTTAACCGCCATATTAAATTTGAAAAAAATAACGGGGTGTAATGTCATAAGGTAATTCCACTTGATAAAGTGGTAAGGTTAGGTCTGTGATTGGGTTATTTCAATGATTGAAATATACAAGGTTATTGCACAAATACCCCTTCTTTATGCAATATTCGATGATAAAAACAAATGTGTCATAGTACACATAGTAAAATCATAGACTATGAGTAAAATATAACAAGGTATAAAATAGTAAAATTAATATCCTTTCTGCAATTATTCGATCTCGAATAATTGTTATGATGTGCAGTAACCTGTATAATATTTCAACCACGGACTATTATAGTCCGTGATTTCAACCAATGTCATCTCATAATTTATCTACCTTATCTATAGCCGATAATCAATCTTAAAAACCTTAAAAAATAATTATGACGGATCAAGATAATATTATACATTAATCATAAAAAGAAGGAAGGTAACAATTAATGTTATTGTTCACATTAAAAAATAAACTTTTTATTTAATTAATTAATGTGTCATTGCGGTTATTTGCTAAGAAGGCAATGTTTACACTATTATATATATATATGTCATCCGCTATCTAGTGTGTTTATATATTATCTGTGGTTGAAACAGCTGCTCAGTATTGAAGAAACAAATTTTCGTTTGATTATTTATGATAACACATCATCTTAAATTTCTGATAGAAGCACAGATTTTAATAATATAATCTGTGATAGGAGCTCAGAGTAATAATAATAGGAGTTAGAACTTAGAGCTTAGAACTAAACTGTTTTAATACCCAACACTCAACAGTCTAGACTGGATTCGGAACGGAGTACGGAGAGTTACCTCAGTTCATAATACTTAACCAGAATTATTAGTCGTGCTTAAAATTTAGATCGTCGTTCGTTAAATTAACTTTTGTTTTGTAATTTATATTTTAGTAATTTTATGGAAAAGTATTCCATTTTTAATGTAAATTTTATTAGTTGTATCATTTGTTTAAGTCGTTTAAAACTACGTTTAGTTTTAACATTAACTTATGTGTATAAAGTATAAGCTACCTACCTGCCATATAATTTATTTTTAAAAGTATAATTATAACTACATTTTAAAATTGTTTTTAAAGATCTTAAATTATGGTAATTAATTAAAATATTATTACATGTGCCAGTATATCACTTAACATGTTTAAAAGAAACTTTTATTAATTTAGTGTGAAGACGAGTGGTCTGATATTGAGAAACGATTTGAAAAAGAAGGTATGGTTTTCAATCGACTTAAAGCCGATGAAAAATTGATTCATGTTTGGAGGTGGCTAGTAGATGCTGACATTAATTTGCAGAATGCTAGGAAAATGATTGATAAACTTCGACAAAAGCAAAATGAAGAGCTTGAAGTGAATATTCAATATTTTTTAATGCTCAGTAGTCAGTACTATATATTATTAATAATTATATTCAGGATATGGAAAATTATATGGTTCATATAAGAGTAATTGCCGATAAACGCATTGATGATATGGAAAAAACAATGGCAGTATTGGCAGAGCAAGTTGCAAGACTTGAATGTGAACTAAGTCAGCTAGAATCGTTAGATGGTGATAATGTTTGTGATAAAGTTAGTTAAATATATATTGCATCATATCAATAAATTAAGATAACTATTAATTACTAAACTTATTTACAGGTTTCAAATTTAATTTTTTATTATAAGACACTTACGAATGAAGTTTGTATACTAAAAAAGTTTAAATGTGTAGAGGATAATGGAGAAGGTATAGAAAAAAATGAAAAATTATTAGAAGAAATTATTAAAGTAAGCATTTTTTAAAAGTACATGAACTAATAAGAAGTAAAAAAATCAAATTTTTATTTAAGGTATCTGCTGAAAAAGAGTTATTAGAAGAACAAGTGAAAGAACTTGAGAATCGCTTAAACGCATATAGCAGCTGTGACATAGATAAAACAGAAGATAATACACACTTATTATCAAAAGAGGTAACTATAGTACTTACTGTAATATAATTTATTAAATTATTTAAAAATAAGTTTTTTTTTGTTGAAAATTATACAAATATTTAGGTTTGTTATATAAATATGATCTAAATAAAATAAGTTTATAGAATTTAAAAAAAACTTATTACAGTTTGTATTTAACCTTTGACTAACATTAATATTACTTCCATTATTTTAATATAATCATAGTTATCAGATGTGTTGAACAAACCTGATGGAAAAGATTCATTATTAGGTAAACATGTATAGTTGTTTTTTCTTCTGTTAAGTGTATTTGGCTATTGCTGTTTATTTTTTATTTACTAAAAACTAAAATAAATTACTGGCGGCATTTTTAGGTTTATTAATGTAATATGTATCTTTTATAGTTGTGTGTTTTATATATTTTATGACTACAAATTGTAATATTAGTTAAATAAAATTAGTGTAGTATAAATGATAATAATTAAGGGGCCATATAAACTGTTTTTCCATGTAAAAACAAGGATACGTATAAATAGAAATATTTCAACTTGTACTATGTTCTCTCTCAAAGCAATTTTAAAAACTTCATGTTTATTTAATTTTTTTACAATAAATTAAAAAAATACTAGAGAATCATTTTTTTAAATATAAATCTTGGCTTTATAATTTTTTATATCTAAAAATAATTTGTTTTCAAAAAACTTTAAATCTTAAAATAAAAAAAAATCTGATAAAAAGTACCCAATAAATTTACAAATAATTTTAAGCTCTAAATAGAGAAGTTGCATGAAACATTATATTTTTTTTGTTAATAGAGTATTAGGTAAAAATCAATTTTGTGCATATTAGCTTTAAAAGCATTTAACAAACATTTTATGCAATTAAAAATAAATTTAGCCTAAGAGTATATGTTTTGTTTTAATGTGCCAATTTTAAGATATAAATACACTATTATTATGTATAAAATTGTTTGAACTGGAACAGGTATACTAAAAATATACTGAAATAGATATACTATTTATTATTTTTTTATGTTCAATTTAGAAATTAAAAATTAGTTTTTATAATTCTATAATATATTTAACATATGATATTTATTATTTCAAATTAGTTTTAAAAGTTTTGCATGAATGTGCTTGTTTGTTTTTAACCTATTTGTTACTCATTAAGTAGTAATACTGGTTTTTTATTTTATGTTAAAACTATTTAGCATGCTAAAATATAAATGTAAAAAAACATAAAATAAAGTATTCCTACTAAGTTGTATTTTTGCCTATTAATTTAAATTGTTTATTATTTAGATAACTCAACATCGTGGAATAAAAATGTTACCAATGATGATACATCAAGTATGAGCATACAGCTATTCAGGTACTATTTTATTTAATACTGTTTGTTTTCATATATATTAATATAAATCGAATAATACCATAATTTTTTATTGCAGACTATCTTTAATTATTTAGAATGTATGTATATTTCTGAATATATACACATATATTTTAAAAGTAACTAAAAATAAATGACTGTCTCCTGTCCCTTTTTTAAAATCCGCTGCTTCTCATAAATATATGTATAAATGTAACCTTATTTTCAATTACATACAATTTTTAGTGAAAAAACTATATCGATAAGTAATTTTGGAATTGATGTACATAACAGATCTCAAGATATAAAAAATAATCAATACCAAAGTACCATTGATGCGTTTAGAGTATTTGAGTAAGTATATACATTTTGCGTATTGTACAATAGAATTAAAATTGCTTTAAATTTCTTATATTCAAAGTCCGCCACTGGATACAACTAAATTTCACCTTGTTGAAAAAATTGAACTTGACGCATCTGTTATTGTTTTATTGAATTTTTAAACTGATCTAGTAAAATTTGTTATAAAATAAAATTATTTTTAAGTACAATACCAATAGAATGAAATATTTTACAAAAAAATTAAGATTTTATTTTTGAATTCATGTTAGGTTGCACAAAACTTTATTAGTTCTATAAACTGTATTTAGACCAATCGTAGAACTAATACATTTTTGTACAACCCGGCATTAAGGTGTTTAAAGTGGCTAGGGCTTCACTTTAGGCGTTATAATAACTCGCTGAAAATTGTATAACCTAATTTCTACTAGCACTACTACTGTTTAGTAGTAGTACTGTGACTTTGAATAAATTATTATTTTTATAAAGTAATTTTGAAATGATAAATAACAATAATTTACTTTAAAAAAGTTAGTTGATTTGAAAAATGTTTGTTAATAGTCCAGAATCAACACCACCGAGTCTCATGTCTAGTAATATAGCTACTCCTCGAAAATTGTCTACTGTACTTATTGATGCAACTTCAAAAAATAAATCAGAAGAACTGAAACAATTACAAGTAATTACATAAATAGTATTTATTGATAGATTATTTGATACATTTTCCATTTTTCTTAAAAATATAAAAATAACACATGATAAACAAAACCTACTTATTCATTTTATTTATAAGAAAAAATAAATGTTTGATATAAAAACTAGAAAAGAATAATAATATAGTTTTTTCTTGTAATATAAAGTAATAAAACATTTTTAAACAAACAGTAATAATTATGTTACAATTTACATGTTAATACAATGGGAAACTATAAAGCCAATTTAATTCATCTGTTTAAAATTAAATTTGCCTTTATAGGCCGATTACGAAATGCAAAAAGCATTAATGTCTTCTCTTGGAGAAAAATATAATAATCTCGCACTCAAACATTTACATTATAAATCCAAAAGAAAAATGCAAATAGAAGCTTTAAGGTAAATATACTAAAATTGAATATTAATTACATTTGGTATTCATGTAAATTAAAATGAATAAAGTTGCCACCTATGGACCCACATTGACCACCAATAATAAATTATTTGTTCTAAAAAATGTGCAAAGTCAGTCGAAAGGATAGATTGGGCCCGTTGATTTTGTTTATATTAGGCTGGTAAACAGGCTTAACATTTTAGACTATTTTTAAGTTGTAATTACCTAAATACATATTTTATTAAGGTCTTGGGAGCCCCAGATGGCAACTGTCTTATAAATTCAAAACATTTTTACTTAAAATTGTTTTATATTAGTTTTTGATTTAATTGCAATAGAGGTAATTTGGAAGCTAGTCAATGTCAAATGTCATCTCTTAAAACACAAATAAACATACAGAACCATAGGCTTAAAACTGAAGAAGAATTTCGCAAGCAAGTGGAAACAGATTACAGACTACTGCAAGATGAAAAGCGTAATATTGATTTCCGGTAAAATATATTGCATATAAAATACTTAAAAAATTTGTATTTAATTACCAACTATTTTGTACAGATTTGCGATGGCAGAAAAAGAATTACGTAATATGGCAAGACATCTTAGTGTGTTACAAAAGAAAGTGATTATGTTGGAAAGTGCCAATGCTGATTTACTGTCAAAGCATTTACGCTTAGTATACAAAGAACCTCGTCTGTCTAAAAGTTCTACTTGTGATTGCATTACTGATATTTCTAAGAGTACATAAGAATATAAATTCAATTTTGTTTTTAAATGCCTTGTCAATGAAAATTTAAATACCTATCAAAATTTATATTTATATACATTTGTTTATATTATGTTAAAGTACAGGAAACCACTAATATTAATTTTTAATATAGATCAAATTTAACTTTGTACAAATAAAAATATAGTCATGCACAATGTGAACCTTAAGCTTACATTTAAGTTAATTTTACTACCAATTTATATATTATATAATTTGTTTTTTTTTATGATGTGTGCCAAATATTGTAACGAATATATTCCTTCCATTATATCTGCCAAATATTACATAAATATTTGTAATTAAAAAATAAAATAAAATAATTTAATTTAAACATTAAGTTTGTTGTTGTCTGTTGTTGCTTCTGCTACACTGTATACTCCTTTAAGTAATTTTCCAACTTTTTGTGAAGGATCTTTAGGTGGAACATATGGTCCACGGTCACCAGCATAAATGTAACTGTTTATTATATAGTTAAGTTAGCTGTATAAATAGAAATGCTACAACTATGAATAAACCCTAACCACAATAAAAATATAATTATTAGTGAAAATAAATTTAAATTGACAATAGAAATGCTATCTATGTTATATAATCATAATAGAACTTTTTTTTTATGCTCCAACGATAGCAAATACACCAGTACTTATGAATTCTCATTCTAAAACTTATTTACTAATTTTAACAAAAACAAAAAGTTTTAATATCGGTTCAGTTTGTATAAAATGGTCCTTTCTGTTCCCTTCAAGTTTAACTAAGGACAAGATACTAACCCAACCATATAGCATTCCAAATAAACTCTCGGTGTTAAAAAAATATTAACTAGTATTCATCCAACTTAATACAAATTGTACCGTTTAAGCAAATTTAAATTTGTAAAATTGAGTCGTCAATTGAAATTGTTAGACAATAATATTCATATAGTTGGTATAAATAAAAGGATACGGCAATCGGAGAACCCAGTAAGTGCTTTGTGTAAGCTCAACTGGCTTGTCAAATCCTGTAACAAATATCGGCCCATTCTCGTCTGGTTGTACCATAGGATTTAAAGTCACGTGCACTGGAGCTTTAGGAGTAACTATGTGAATTCTCATGAGTTGAGCCATTAAGGGAGCCGAACTACTTCAATAAATAAAATTTTTATGTTTAATAGTTTGTTTATAAACTGTAATCATTATAGAAAAAAAAATATATTTTACGGATATAGAATTTATACCTGCACGGACATGGAAAGTATAATGGCATGTCTGAATTTGATACTTTATTTCCATTTTCTTTAACTATACCATTACTGGCTGTAGTCAATATTTTATCAGGAGCTGAGCACATAAACCGATGACCTCTTGGGCATTCATATTCTACCCCAATGAATATTTTAACAGAAAATTCTGTAGAAATATAAGTATTTTTTTAGTAATAGACAATAAATTTAAATGAGATCTGGCGAAAATAGCAACATAAAAACATTTTAAAAACATAACTTTAAGAATCGTCTTCTAAAAAAAAATATTGATCAGTAACTGGTTTGACAAACTCTTTCAAATGCTAACAGCTCCAAGTATAATGATTCAAAACTTGATTATCAAACTAAAATATTAGTAACTATTTGATTTTTAAAAGTTGATTAAGTTAAAAATTTAACTAAATAGTTAAAATTTTAAAAGTTATAAGAAATTGCCAATTAAGTTTTATCTTTCACTGTCAATAATTTTGTTATTAATATTTTGCCATTTTTGTCTATAAAAATAAATATATTTATGATCAAATAATTAGGTACCTCTTGAACCTTTGACTTTACGACCTCGTTGAATAGGCGATGAATTAATTTTATTTTTATCAGTATTCCAATAACGATCTCTGGGATGGTGTTCTAGTCTAACAGTTACATCCCAAGGTAGAAGATAAGCTGTCGAGTTTAAAAATCCAGGGTGTTGTGTTTCTTGAAGCCCAATATTATGAGAGTACAAACACGATGAGCCTAAACAAACTAGTGACCAAGATGGATATTGTGGTAAAAGACTGTTAGGCGACTCGGTGTGCAACATCCCAGGGAGGTATTCTGTAGTGCTTGGTTGTCGAACCAATGACTTTTCTATACAATTAAAAATAATCTGTATAAGTAAAATCTATAATTAATAAATATAATACAACATTATAATAAATATAATTTATAAAATATTTTTGCATTATTTATACTAAAATGTTAATCTATTACAAACGTATGTCTCTTCAAACTTTTTATGGAAAACCCCATATTTACAATTCTTTTTAAAACAATTTCAAGTTTTTTTACCAATTCTACTTTTAAATTTAATATATTTTTAGTCAATTATTTTTTAGTAACTTAAAAAATGTACTAAGCATATTTTTCAGTCTTAATGACTTAGTTATTAAAATGATTTCAATTTAAAATTTATTTATAAAAAAATGATGCATTAAAAAAAAAATTTGTTAGGTTTTTATCATCGTATGAAGTATAAAGATTATATGATTTTTCGTTCAAGACATATTTATGATGAAAAACATACGCACCTCTTGTATCGCTGTCTGTGTCAGTGACTCGGATAACTATCTGATTACTGGTTACAGCTTCTTCGTTTTTTGGTCTACTAGTCAATTCCGTTGGAACAAGACTTTGTCTATCAGAAATATCCCTATTTCGTGACACTTCGCCCAAAATATCGTTGATTGGGTCCACAGAATGACAACTAGTAAAAACTCCTAAACGTATAAGCGGTGATGTAGTCAGCGGGTATACATTGTGTGTACTATTCTTCATATTTTTTATGAGTACACGCAAACATAAAAGAGTAAAAGATTATACACATAGCGTATACTCTTAAGACTACACCAGTGCATAAAATGCGATATCATATTTTCCAGACAAAAACAATGTTGTTCAGTTTTTTTTTACCTCCTAAGCTGAGCCCTTCTGTATGACCCAGTTGGGTAGGTGTATGTAACAACCCTGCGCTGTTTTTTCTGCCAGCAATTACAGGAGGTTTTGCAAATAATTGTGCCGCTCTGAATAATATTGATTTATAATTAAATTCCTTCTTAGATTAAAATTAACTTATTATTAGCTTTACCTATAATCTTGGGTGCTGGGTTGAAATACAGGGAAATTGATTTGATCCAAACAGCCACAAACACAGTCATTAGCCATTAACTGATAAAAATCGTAGTTGGCTGCTCTAATTGTGAATGGATCTTCACGCGTGCCTTGTTTATGACCACAGTTACATGCTGACAAATACACGACGCTGCTCGAGTGTTCCATAGTGAATAACTCGTCTCGATTAATTGGGCTGTAATCCCATTAAAAGTTGATATTTGCTGCTAGAAACTATTTAAACTACTCTGAACAAGAATTTAGTTTTTTTCTCTTTAATTAAAGCAAAATGTAAATGTGATCACTTTTTAAACTAATTAAAATATAAATACATTGTGATACATTATAAGAAAATGCAAATATAATTTTTAAAGAAAAGCATACAAAAACAAGAAAAGTAGTTGTAACTATACGTAATTTTATATATTAGCAATTGTTTTTTTTTTTTAATTTAAACTACTTTTCATGCAAATCAATAATCAAGTATTTAATTAAGTATTTATAAAAAAATTACTATACGCAAATTTATATTAAACATTATGTTTTTTTTCGTTATAAATAGGTATTATAACATGTTAATACAATGTTGTGATTTTTCAATGGTACTTTTATTTTATTATACTCAAAATATATCAAATAATAAAGGTATGTAATGAAAAAATGTAGTGAAGTATTTTGTAAATTAGTAATCCCTGGTTACCAGAAAAGTAAAGATACATATTTTAATTTCATCCCGAAAAAAATTTTAATGAAAAATATTTTTTATATACAAAAAACAATAAACAAATAATGTATTAATCGATACGATCAAGCGAGTATGGTAACATTAAAGAGTAAAAACTATAGCATGCATTCAGTCATCCAGGTTTAAATTATAAATCTACTTGTCATCTTGTTCTGGTTCCTTATTTGGTCCATCAACAGTACCACCTTTATGTAAAGGTTGTGTACAAGGGTTTCCTGTTAAGGACAATGTTTCACACATCTGACGACCCGATTGCCATATTTTATCACAATCTTGGACTAGAATTTGTATATAGTCATCAAGCAGTGGTCCTCTAGCGTGAAGAGCAAACACAGAAAGTGCTTGGGCTACCTGCAAACATAAAACATACAAAACATATAAAAGTCTTAGAAAAAACTGATTAGATTTTATAGCTGAAAGTGATAAAATCGCTTTGAAAGAAAATCTTAGATGCAAAACAGTAGAACTTACCTTCATAGCTATGCATCAAAGCTAGTAATTAAAAACAAAAACTTCACTCATTATTTGTAATATTACGTACTTTGGTATCGTGATAATTTCTGTTGTAATGTGACGGTAAATTGTCTTGATAAGCTGCCATAGCAATAGGTTGGACCTTTTGACATCGTCTTTCGCTAAAATTAGTATCAATATCTAACAATGATTTCATGGACTCAAATGCTATATTAGCATCCTCATCAAGATCCTCGCCCAAAACAAATAAATTGTACATCTTATTTGCTACTTCACACCACATACCAATAGCAGGTGCCTAAAGTAATTAAATACATATTGCATTATAAGTCGACAGCTTTGTTATAGCTATTAACTAACAAACAAACATCAAGTTCGAAAGATGTTCAAATACATTTTTTACATTTTTGGTTATACTCATAAGTTTTAACAAATATTTAAATATGCAAATTATTTCTAATCATGGTTAATTTGAAGTATTCGTACACATAAAGATAAGAAGTACTACTATTTACCTCAAAATAATTGTTTGTCGTTGTAGCATGCCTGCCAATGTTATCATCAAATCCTTTTTTAAATGCTACTTCAATATGATCATACAAAAACTTTTTAAAAGTGTGTGCTACAAAATTACAGTAAAATTGAATTAATTATGACTTATGGAATATTTTATAGCCTAGTTATAATTGTTTACAAACATTTGATAAAAAAATCTGGTTCCATTACTTCATCAATTTCACAGTCTTGAAATTTATCTTTAATTACTATAATAAAAAGAAATATATTGTAATTAATAACTTTACAGTACTGTGGTATAACTTTTAATTTTGATATTTTAATTAATATCTTTAATATTATATTTGCTGAACAGTTTATAACAAAATAAGCTATAATAATAGCTTTCATTACATCTAATTTTTTTTTTGTGAACACCATATAAAATCTATTTAAATATTTAACTAATATAAATAAATCCTTAGAAATAATTACATAACTACCAAGTTATCTTGACAAAATATTATGTTTAAGCACAGAATCCCGAGTCAGATTCTATCGTTTTAAAAACTAACAAATCAGAAAAATATAAATATAAATACAATTTTAAATGATCCCACTGAATTTAATAACTTATTCAACAAGAAATCAATTATTATAAACATAAAATATTATACTATAAAATAAAACAATAATTTCTTAAAGTGGTTATTATTATCATTGCAAGGCTAAAGATTAATCGTTAATATAAACTTACCAACAGATGAACTATTACAAATAGTTATCAATGAATTAGTAAAAAATTCATTCCAATCTAAAACACTATCAGGCGAATCATTCATAAACACATATTCTTGGTTAGCAGGAATGGCAAACAATGAATTGGTGCTAGAAAAAAAATAAAAAATGTAATATTTAAATATACAAAATGTGTATACATAAATACACACACATCTATTAGCATATATTTATTAATACAGTAATAAGGATTCTTTATTAGTAATACATTATTGTCAGTAATTTAAACTTCAGATAATTTGAAAATTATTTAGATTTCTAAGCTATGTAAAGGGGTTTTTATTTTAAAAATATTGATTTAAATAAAACAAATTCAAATATCACCTTATATTTGAAATGATCCTTTTTTTTCGAAGAATACTATATATTTGGTCTTCTAAGGAATGTTCAGCTTTTTTTAAACCTGGATGGCATGGTCCTGTATCTTGTCTGTTTAACATAGTTAATTAATTGACAAATTTTATAAACATTAATATGTACTATATACTTGTTTTTTTTAAATTCTGCTGGACATGTTTCATAATAAAACAGTAGTCTTGGTGAACAAAATCTAGTATTCTCAATCCAATTAGGTGATACATTTTGTACTTTTAATAGAACAGATTTAATAATGCTGAGAAACTTCAATCTAAAAAATTATATTTTTAAAGGAATATTAAAAGAAACACACACATATATATATATATATATATTTACAAATATAAATACAATACAAATCATACCTGGAACAATCAAGAGCTTTAAAATAACTTAAGTAACTAGTGTCGAATATAGGAACTGGATGTGTAAGTATAAGAATGTGAGATATACTGAATAAAAATAATAATGAACACGCATAATTGTATTTAAGTGTAGACCATACTCTTAAAAAACCCTAAAACATTACAATAAATATTAACTATTAACAACACTACAAATAATGAGGTTTATACTTAGTTACAGTTTTATATACAATAAAATACAAAATAAATGAAAAATTCATGTTACCTTTTCTTCAATTTCCGTTGATAACTCTTCGATATTCTGAACAAGTACATGGGTATCAAATATACCAATTAGATGAAGGTAAACGACTTTGCCAGGTTCGTCATAAAAACATTCAATAGTTGTCTTAAAAAAAAATGCATATTAAAATCAATTAATTCAATTACCTTATAATTTTTATCAACAATGATTATATAAATTATCATAATACACATGATTGCTAATTTATATTAATACAGCCATATATAATTAATTACCTGATTTTTGACATTTACTGTAGGGCTTTTTACTAAAGATGAATTAAATAAAGCACGGTCGTAGATATTGTTAACAAATTGAGCTTTACACGATTTTGAAATAACTGAAGATTTTCCAAATATAGAAACGACTACAGTAGGTTTGTTAGGGTCTTGAATTGAACTGTGAAATGTAAGATTAATTAATAGTATGTTTAGAATACAAATCACCAGTTTTTTTAACTTTTAATTTTTACCTTATAAAATCTTCGTCAAAAGGAAGGGATACCTTTTTATACTTCATTTTTTCAAAGGAATACTCTGAAGCTTTCTAAAAACAGTTGCATGTAAAATCGAGTATTTTATTAAACATATTTTTTAAAAGTCAACGTCAATAACCAAAACTGACACAAATAATGATTACATAATTTTATTTTTAACAAACAACCAGTCCATTTAAGTTAACTTATTACAATTAATTTACATGTACAATAATAATTTACTGTTAAATATTAAATTGGCTATAATCACCGGGTTGACAGAATCTAAGCGGTTTTTTATCAGTATCCTCTCCAAACTATTTGATAACCGACTGAAAATAATACTTGTGTAGAGTTAGCCCATAAAACAGGCAACAATTTTCGATAACAGAATGTGTCATGGCGTTGGTGTATGTGGTTTTGCCAATATTAAATTATTCTAAGGAGCTACACGTGTACGCCAAACACAAACGATCATTATTATACAAAATAAAAAATCTTATTATTATAAAATCATTATTGAGTTTTAGGAGCTCCCATTATCATCATAATAATAAAAGCTGTGAAAAATAAATAGCAATAACTAAATATTTAGCAATAGATATAAAAGTTTAATCGAAAAAGCGTGTTATAATAATTATGTGTAATATAGAAAATTATACTTACAGAAAACGTATTGTGCATTCTATAAAAATCATTTTCACTTTTTTCCTCCTAAAATAAATTGATTTATAACTATGAAAATTATTTAATCACGGTATCATCAAAATACAAATAGTTAACTTTACTCATTATAAACACTTAAGTAAAAGGTATACATCGATTTAGTAATAGTTATTTTATTAAAATATTATTTAACTACTACGAAACAAAATGTTGTGCATTGACCTACATTATTTTTAATAACACGGTCGCTTCGTACAATGTTTGAATTAACGTGCGTCATTTTAAATGAAAACTAAAACATTAAGTCATTTTGATTTTTGAGCAAATAAGAACAAATGCCAGCCTAGCCGACCGTAGTTTTAAAAAAATATTGAACTGGGTAAAATATATTAATTCTTGTTTGATATTTTTGGGAACCTTTATGTGTCAGAAATACTGCTCGTCGTTCGTTAAATGTACCAGTTGAACGTCAGTTTCTAAGGACACTATAGGAAAGATTCATCTAAAATACAAGAATACTTTAAATTCATAAATTCAAAATAAATACAAAATTACAGCGCAGTTGCAAGTCAGTGAAATTTAAAAACACTTGGCATAAGCATCATAAGCAAAATAAAATGTCGTCCAGTAGCGATGAATCAACTTTTTTCGTAAGTATAACAACTTAACTAGTAAATTAATATACAAATAAGAGTATTCACAGTAAAATTATGAAAAATTAAAACACTTTTTAGCTTCGGTGCAGAGCTAAGAAGGTATTGGTTTTACTATGATGTGTTTTTTTTGTGTCTGAACCCACGATATCTCGTAAACCACTGAACCGATTTCTTTGTGTAATAACTTTATAGATCAGAAATCATACCTGGAAGGTACTTCAGGTACTACACTGGGCCAAAAATTAAAAAAAGTCACCCCTTCCCCATCAAAATCGAGAAAAACACCCAAAAAATGTACGAATTTTTCAACTTAAAATTACGATTCTCTATAACTTTTTTAAAAATAGTCGAAAAAATTCCAAACTTATATGAATTGTTCTTCAAGTATAGTACTATCGATTAACAATAACGAACCAAAATAATATCATAAACCCTTTCCCCTAGAAGGGATAGAATTATTTTCTTTATTTCACTTTTTCAAGCAAAGTTTTAGAGATTTAGATCTGGAAATTAGACCGAAGGTAGATCGATCTAAAATAGAACTATAACATACAATTTTCTCAAAAATCTGTATTCAAACTTTTATTTTATTAAGGAAAAACGCCAAACATAGGGTAAATTTACACTTTGGCCGTAGTCAGTTTCTAGTGTGAGTGAGTGAGTTTCTTGCTATGTGTGAGTGAATCAACAGTCAACAGGTAATGAAAGTATTTTCATTATATTGTTAATTACGATACATGGGTAACAATGACAGTACCTACATTTTTATAGACAGACGATCAACCCTTATCGTATCCACCCTGCACAAGACTAAATATTAAATTTTAAGTACATTATTGCTGTTCCCACGATATCTTCTAAATCGCTATAACTGGTTTGAACATACTATCCGCAGATTCGCATCGAAGCGTTTATTTAAAAGTGATTTTATCACTTTCAATTATAATAAAATCCGTAGACCTGTGACCTCTCCGTCCCCACTGTACTGGCTTTTTTTCTTTCTAGTTTTAAACCAAATAATTTTAAAAATTCTAAAAAAATGTTGAAGTACCTAATAATAAAATAATAATTTAATATATTTTTTTAAGAATCACCGACGAAAAAAAATAAAAATAAGTTAAGACTAACTCGCTACACTTACTGTAAGTTCTATGTTGAAAACAAAAATTAAAATTATACTTTTAATCAGGATTCTCCAACATACAAAGAAACTAAGCGGATGGCAACCACAAGAAAACATTGTGCATTTTGGAAATGTTTTTTATATTTTAGATGAATCTCTGAATGAAAAGTTTATTCTTCGCTGCTGAACGACATTTTATTTGGCGTTTGATGCTTATGACAAACGTTTTTAAACTTAACTGACTTGCAACTGCGATGTAATGTAACTTATTCTTTAATTTACAAGTTATTTTGAATTTATGAATTGGAAATATTCTTATATTTTAGCTGAATCTCTTCCAAAGAGCGTCGTTAGAAGTTGACGTTCAGCTGGGTGATTTAGTGTATGACGAGTCAGTATTCTTGACACATGAAGGTTTCCAAAAGAATCAAATGAGAATTGATACACCTAACTCGATTAAATTCTTTATGAAGTGGCGGATCGTCTCATGGATGACCAGAGCTGTTAAGTCAAACGTTTTAAAGATTGATGCAATTAAACTAATTTTTTTTTGTAAATAAAATAAAACATGTGGAATTTAAAAACATTTACCGTTTAACAAAATATAAAATAGTTATTTAATAATTTAACAGTAAATTATTGTTAATAGTTTTAGTATGGATTTTATAATATAGGTGCTGTATAAAATCAGAGAAATCAATTTGAGCAAGCTGCAGAGGTACTCTCGTCATATTTTACAGATGAACTGATGTTAGACTTATCTCTATACTTTAAAATCAACGGTTTCACCCTAAAAATTATTTCTGGACAGCAATAGCAAAATTATACAATGCAAAATCTTTTTAATGTTTGTATATTTTATAGAGCTTTTATATATCAAATGTATTATGTATATTATCTGTTTTTTTTCTGATTTTGAAGGGTTTGATTAAGCTGTACATCATTTAGTAGGTATTGTTAGAAATAAATGGTTTGCAATACCTTAGTAACTATCATAATAATGGATATTATACGCAAATAAGGTTCATATAGTTTACTGAAAGAATTTTCGTTAGATATAAGTTTCAACAGATTCATTAATTACTACTAAGCCACCAGTCATCTTAAAAATGTATCTTTACTGCTAGTTTATTACTGCTGAAGCACCTTTTCAATGAAGATAATTTCAATTTTATATAAAAAATTTATTAAAAAAGCTTATTTAGGTATAATATAATTGAAATAATAATAATCTCAGTCTGCAATCAATATAGGTTGATTTTACTCTTGTATATCTTCATCGCTTTGCTTTACTCTTAATTGGTACGAACCAGTTTTTAAACCCTATCAAAAAAATAAGAATGATTAAAAACTGAAAGTTTAATGTTATTTTACTAACTTACAAGTTTCCACGATAGCATGTGTATATTAGAAACATCTTCTTCGTTGGCATTAATCATATAAAGTGAAAGTGCTTGCGAGTGATCAATAAATGGAGCGCGATCAGCTGCCATACGTACTAATGATGTCTGATCGACTTGCCATTTTGTTTTGTATATTTTTTTCAAATCCTCTGGAATGTCTTTAATATCCTAAACAAATTATATCTTATTAGCCACAAGTAGTGGTGATGTCATAAGGGTACACGCTGTGTGTGCTCACAACTTCATTATAGAAATTTGAAATTTTCATCAATAATAAAAATATAAGACATGTATGGTTAACACACCTGAACAGAACCCATGTTATTTACTAGTTCTGATATAATATTTTCATTCCAAAGATTGCGGTCATATAGATCTTTTAGTAGGAACGGGTTTACAACCTAAAGTTTAAGATTATAATTAGTATTATATTCAAAATATAGGTTACACAGATATTTAGAATTGCAATTGTGAATAAAAGATTACAGGCACCTGGAACTCTTTGGGTTTGTTTTCTCCAAATGAAATATATCTACATTTTACGTTAGTGTCCAAGGGTTCAACAGAATTAACATTCCCAAGTAACTGAGACTCAATTTCAGTAATAGAAGAAAGAGTTAAAAGAGAATTTCTCAGTCCATGTTCAGCAATTTTCTTCTTCAAACTGTTCCAATCCCATAAATTGGTAGGTGTAACTTTCCATAAGTCAAATTGTAATAACTGTATACAATGCATCAATTTAGGAATAATAATTGTCAACGATTATTTAATGATTTACCCCTTTACTCGCAGGACTGTTAGCATAAGTCTTGTATGGACCTTTCTTTACAGCTAATTCACAGCTAGCTTCTAAAGCCCCATAATAAACGGTTTCATGGATTTTTTTATTTAGCTCGATTGCTTCTTGGTCGTCAAAAGCATACCTCAATTTTATAAATAAATCAGCAAGTCCTTGAATGCCAATACCGATTGACAACTGATTTTCTTTGATTCCTAGAAGATTTTTTTTTTCCTGAAATAAAATACGGAAAGTCAATAAATGAACACTAAGAATACAATTTATTTTTACTTTAAATACCTACTTCATTGATTAATTTTCCGTTATTTTCAATAATTTGATTTAAATCATAAGAGACTTTTTTTGCAACATATTTGAGTTTATTAAAGTCATAAGTATTTTCTGATGTCAAAAATCTATCAACAGAAATTGAAGCTGTTGTAGCTGTAGCCACCTGTTAACAAACCCTTTTATTATTACTACGCAACATATATTTGTCAAGAGAGGAAATAATGATTTTTAAAAATTAATTATGTTATTAGAACACCACACTACTTTTACTTGATTAATATTAAGAAGTTATTGTTATTTATTGGGCAAACCTGTACATATTCAAAAAACCCTAAAAGGGGATAAACCTATATCTATTAAACAAAATTAAAATATCAGTAACACTGAAATTTCCTTTTCAAAATTGTATACATCCATTAAATTTATGAATTAAAAAAAAAAAAATTTTCTATTTGGGGGGAAGGGATTGAGATTAGAATAATAATGTAATTATAATTATTGTTATTAATATGTAATTATAATAATGTATTCGATTAAAAAGTAGTAAATAAAATTATTTTTAGACACATTTGTGTTAGTTGACATGATGTGCATTTAGGTGCTTGTACCTAAAAGGATTCTTCATGTAGTCAAACAAACTTCATTAAGTACAATCATCCCACAAAAGATTTAAAAATGCTATAATTTTATATTAATTACTTCTTGAGGTGCAGTAAATTGCACAGTGTCACCATTACGACCAGCACACTGAATTGTGCCTAAATGTTGTTCATTGCTTTTTAAATTGCACGCGTCTTTATAGACAATTAATGGAAAACCAGTTTCAATCTGAGACTGTATGATAATTGACCATAGTTTTTTCGCTTCAATTTGCTTTAATACATAACTATTTCCTTTGGCTTCGTATCTACAAATATTAATTATGGAATATATTATTATTATTATTATTATAATACCATTCAGTAGCGAGTCGTAAGGGTATTCATTGCTGTGTGTAATCATGTTCATGCATGTTCTCGCAATGAAAATCGTACACTATTCGCGAGTATATGATTTTTATTACACACAGTCAATACTTCATACTTTACGAATACGCCACTTATTTTAAATAATGAACTAGTATAATACTCTTGATATAATTTGTCAAATTCTTCTCCATAAACGTCTATGAGACCAGGACAATGATCAGGACTCATGAAACTCCACACTTGATCACTTATTACTCTTTTCATAAACAGATCTGGTACCCATAGAGCTATATAACTATCTTTAAGTTTTAAATCAGCAATAGCAGTTTTTCTTGTTTGATCCAAAACTTTCATTATATCGGCGTGCCACAATTCACAATACACTGTTAACCCTTTCATGCTCTTGGGTCTTTCAAGTGTTTCGCACTTATGAACAACAGTATCGTATTGTTTCAGCATCAAAGGTAGGCCACTAGACTTGCCGTTACTACCACGAATGTATGTTCCTGCAGCACGTATTTTGTGAACATGGACAGCTGTAGTTGAATAAGGTAAAACAAACTTGGAGAAACGATTCAGCGTGTTGTAAATACCATCAATGCTGTCATGTAGCATTGCCACAGAATAATGACTATAAACAAATTTGAGAAATTAACAACAAACAAGTTGCATAAAATGTAATAGGGTAAAGTATGTTTGTAATTTAAGCAATTCACAATACATTTAAACACATTTTTATAATTTTATACAAATTGTATAGACCTTATTTTTTTGTTTAATGTTGATCTGTAAATTTTTTTTTTTATGGAACTTCTCAATAATAATTTTTTATACCTTATGACGGGAGTATTCATTTTTTTAGCAGCAGCTTGCAACTGTAATACCACTGGAGAAAATATGAACAATTTATTCGATAGCATCTGATAAGTTTCAATTGCAGAATCAATATTATCCCCATGAATGCCAACAGCTATTTTCATAAGCAAATGTTGAGGGCGTTCGATTGTTTGATTGTTAGCTTTAGCTAAAAAATATTTCATAAAATTCTAGGAAAATAAAATATAAACATTAATTAATCAAATGATGTTCTAAAGACAATTTAAAGCTGTATAATTACTTTAAACCCAAAATAATCTAAATTATAATCATATTCATTGTTAATAGCCAAGTCTAAACGATCCTTATGTTTCATAATTATTTCATACACATCATCTGATATTCCAATGTTCCAATATTCATTATTATGATAAATATCACTCATAACATCTAGGGAAATTTAAAACACAGTCAACTGAGATATACAAAGATATTAGTTATTACTTTACATATAAGTTTTTAACATTTACCGCTAAATTTGTCTTTGGTTTGTTTATGTAAATTGGAAATTGCAATACGAGCTGCTAGTTTTCCATAATCAGGATGAATAGTTGTCATTGTAATTGCCATTTCTGCAGCAGCATCATCAAGTTGCGATGTGGTTATACCAGGGTATAGGCATTTTTTTATAACATGAATAGCCATGGCTGCCTAGTAATAATTTAAAAGTTGATATTAGTCAAGTAAAAAATTAATAATTAAAAAAACTTACTGGATCAATGTTTTCTGAATCTAGACCATAACATAACTGTTTGATACGTGCTATAATTGCATCATAATGAACACTTTCAACGCTACCATCTATAAAAACCAATTATTGTTTATAAAAAATGCTAAAAAATGATTAATAAGATTTAAGTGTTGTAATCTTTTCTATATTCCATAAGATATTGTTATTTTTGATTGAAAATTTATTGCCAATTATCAATATTTCTTAATGTTTGAAGCTATCCAAACAGTTGATTATCAAGATTATCGATATTATTTAGATGTCAGATTATTCAGAAAAACCTAAACACGTCACAACATCTTTGTAAAACCGATACTTTCTCAGCTTTGTATTTAAGTTAGTTTGTCAGGAATCAAATTTTCAAATTCAATTTTAATATCGTTAAAGATAAGTTTAACCGCATTCGTATTGTATTAATTGTAATAACATTTTCAGATAATACATTCGTTCATTAAAACTCAATAGAATGTATTATTTATGCTGTATAAGTGATTTCTTACCTCGTTTCTTAACGTACAAATGTTTCTTGATGTCGGCCATTTCTTATACTTCGATTGTTGAAATTATGTGTATTTTATTTTACAACATGTAAAGTAGGTTGTTCGTTACTAGCGTAAATATAATAGCGTAGCCATATAAATCACAATGAAAGTTAGTATTGGCGGGAAAGCACAGCACATGAACTAATGCCTATAATGTTGTTTCCTGTACTGGTACAACAGTTTAAGCTCCAGCTGGCATGTTTCAACGAGTAAACGGTAATAAATAAAACTATAAAAGTCGCAAATGTTAAAATGTATGACACAATGTTTATTTCCCGCCAAATATCAAGTACAACAATCAGCAACATCTGCTGCGTTTCAAGTTTTCAACTGTTCGGCAATCATAGCAGGTTTAGCCATTATCGGCACCACCGCGTGTTGGCGATCTACTATCTGGTTTCACCTGTATCAGCTGCAGCTGTGCCCCTGTAAACACGAATTATATCATAATTCATAGATGTATAATATTTATCTATAATCGTGCCTGTAAATCATAGACTTATTATTACATCTATGCTGTGAATAACCAGGGTTTCTAGATATTATTATCCACAAACATCGGCCGCGACTGCCTTATCATGATTCTGATCACGATCGTAGGAAGGACGTCTGGTACTACTTATACCGAAAAGCGTAGCCGTTTTGTTTCAATATTGTGGTCACAAAAGTAATGTTTGACGCTCGAATAGTCAAAAACGGGTCGGCAGATTGATATACTTTTGTACCCGACACAGGAGTAAAACGGCTACGCTTTTCGGTGTATGTGTTACCAGACCTAGACCCAGTTACAAGATCGTATCCGTCTCCCACTTACGGCCTTTGATAACAAGTGTCACACGGATGACGGAGTTCCTACTTGGTTCCAAGTATTTAAGCCAAGTTCGCATTATACCAGTTATTGTAGGGTAAAGGGTTACCCTAAAATTCCCAACCGATAAAATAATTAAACGGTGGCCAAACTTAAAAAAATCAGGACAGTTGTAAACTTTGGGGAAAAGTCTATAATAGTTTTCCTTGATGAATCTTATTTAAGGCGCTTAACATTGATCAACTATAAGCCTTAAGCGCATTCGAGAGTTGTATTTATATTATTCCGGCCTACCATACTTCATAATATGATCATAGATCAAATGTATATACGTTGATAATCTACGGTAATAATATAAAATATGATCGCAAAATGGACGCAATGAATACCTTGATGATTGATCACTTCTCACATGACCAAAAATAATAGGTAGGTCAGCAACTTATGGTAACCGCAAATGGCTGCCGGTGTTCTCGGGCGGCCGTGTATTCCTTACGAGAGAACGCCAGCAGACATGTTGTGATTACTTGATAACACACTTGTTTTAGTAATCTGTGGTATAACATGAAATATATATATATATAGGAGTATAGGTATATATGGTATATAGAGTCTTATATATTGCTTGCTATAGGCTATAGCGGTTAGGTTTATATACTTATCTATAGCCTATACAGTCAGCGGCAGCTGGCATAGGGTCGGTGTATTATAAATTTTATAACTCAAATATTATACTACTCGTTATGTGAAAAAGGCGGGAAACTCATAATACGCATTGTGTTTAATGTTTTATTTACGGTTTATGATATGTGGGGATTGACTTAACCGTACTTTGCAACATTTCTTGTCCATTCCATCATATTTTGTTGGACAGTGTACCTTCTGTATTGAAATAACGTTTATTTTGTTTTTTATTTCACAGATTTAACAAAACAATTTTCTTATTGATATTACAATTAATTTTAATAACATGGAAGCGATGACAAACGGTTCAAGTAAACCGAAAACTAAGCTTTTCGTCCAAAAACGTGGTATGTACTTGTATATTTTGGATATTTGAAATACATATTAATTTATTAATGTTTTAATTACTTTTAGACGGTCAGCTGGAAGAGGTGTTGATGGATAAGATAACCTCGAGAATAGAAAAACTTTGTGATGGACTTGATATGAACTTTATTGATCCGGTTATTATTTTTTTTTTTAACGGCTTTGAATTGGCTTATATATTTAAATATTTCTATTTTAAAAAGTTACTTTTTTAAAGTGATAAAAAACATAACTTAGGGTAACAGTTATTCCTTGTTTGATTGGGTACAGTTTATTAATAGGCACCTTTGAAATTGAGATACAAATCAAGGGTTAGAATTTTCTCTTAAAAACATTATCAATTTCTATTTTAAAATTATTAATTTATTTACCAACAGTACATAATATAACTTAATCTGTCTTTAAGTAACTATTTAAGATCATTGGTAAATTATATAAAGTAATTATTATTTTATTGTGGTATATTAATTAAATTATAAGGAGTTTTTCCCTAAAATTTGATGCCACATTTTCTTCTTGCGTATGGCTTTGTTAGTGGCAAATATGCCAACATAATATGTCTTAATGTCAATAAGGCCAGAAGATCCACAGCCGTTAGACTGTCACTTTTAAGTATAGTAAAATAATCTACTGTTTACTCTGTGTACATTAAATGTATATTATTACACTTATGATGATGAACATCAAACAATCGACGAAAGGGTAGAACCACCGATTTGCCAAACTGTAAATCAAAATTAAAATTAAAACAAATACCTAGTTTGTTTTTTAATATTTCTAATATTTAGATTTATGCCAAGAAGGTCCACAAGGATTACCACTAAAGCCTATATTTTTTTAAGAAATTAATTGACACATGTAGAGAGAAATGAAAAATTGAAGTATAGGTTTTGATAGACTTGGAAAAATGTGGCCGAGTGCCAAAAGAGGTATTGTGGACAGGTTTTGAAAATAATGCGTCTTAAGAACGCATGTAACAATTATGGAGCATATTATATATCATTTGATTTATTTATGTTACTTTCTAAATAATTTTTTTTTTTTTTTTAATTTTAGGCTGAGATAACACTTAACGTCATCAGTGATTTATGTCCAGGAATTAGCACTGTACAGATTGATAATTTGGCAGCTGAAACGGCTGCTTATTTAACTACTAAACATCCAGATTATGCATTACTTGCAGCTCGTATTGCTATTTCTAACCTTTATAAAGAAACAAAGGAAAAATTTAGTGGTATATATCATGTGTAATGCAACTTAGTGCTTTTTTTTATTTTGTGTAATTATTATTTTAGATGTTATTTACGATTTACACAACATGACCAACGAACGTAATCAGAGCCGTATGCCTATTATTTCCGAATATCATTATAACATAGTCATGAAAAATGCTGATCGATTAAATAATGCTATAAACCACGATAGAGATTCCACCTATAGTTACTTTGGTTTTAAAGTAGGTAAAAATCAATTCTGTGCTTGAGTTAAGTATTACATTTTTGATTAAAACATTTTAGACACTCGAAAAATCATATTTGCTTAAAATAAATAATAAAGTTGCTGAACGACCACAACATTTGTTGATGAGGGTTTCAATTGGTATTCACGGTGAAGATATTGACTCAGCTATAGAAACTTACGACTTGATGTCGTTAAAATATTTTACTCATGCTTCTCCAACAATGTTTAACGCAGCGACACCTAAACCCCAGCTTTCAAGGTAACCGTTTTTGTTGAAACTCTAAGTAAATAACAAGTACCAATAGCTAATACCATATAGTTTAGTTGTTTTTTGGTAGCCAACAAATCGGATTCTCTGGATGATTTGGCAAAAACAATAACGACTTGTGCCAAAATTTCAAAATCTGCTGGTGGAATTGGTATACACGTTCATAATACAAGCGCAGCTGGCACAACATGGGAAACATACCCTAAACGAGAATCACCCGGACTCGTTGAACAGCTTAAGTGTTTAAATGATTTGGCTCAGTATGTTGATCAAGGCGGTAGAGTAAGTTATAATTATTCATAATAATATTGATTTGTATTAATATGTAAAATAAATAATTTTGGATTCTGTTTAAAATAATTAGAGAGCTGGTGCTGTTGCTGTTTACGTCGAACCTTGGCATGCAGATATTTACACATACACAGAATTACGAAAAAATACTGGTGACAAGGAAGAGAAGACGAGAGATTTGTTCTTGGCTCTATGGATACCCGATGAATTTATGAGACGCGTAGAAGCAGATGAAACATGGAGTTTGATGTGCCCTCGTAAATGTCCAGGCCTTGCAGATGTCTGGGGTGAAGAATTTGTAAAACTTTACAAAAAGTAAGATACAAATCCAATTTTGAAAAATGTAGCGTTATTATGTAATACAGTCTACACTAAAACTAACGGCCTACGATGGTCACCTTCCACTGCTGATTGATTTTAGATAGGTGACCAATGAGTTTCGAATAAACAAAAATCCTAATGGCATCTATTGCCAAAGCTTTAAAAGAAAAAAAGCCAACAATTTTATTATTGATTTCAGATACGAGGATGAAAAACTTTATAATCGGCAGGTTTCAGCTAGAGAATTATGGTTTCGTATAATAACTTCACAGATTGAAACTGGAATGCCATATGTCTTGTATAAAGATGCCTGTAATGCTAAAAGCAATCAAAAAAATCTTGGCACGATTAAGTGTAGCAATCTTTGTACTGAAGTTATTCAGTATACTTCACCAGAAGAGGTATTTTTTATTAAAATATGTTCTTTGGTTAGGGTAGGTCAACTGGGCTTCATTAAAGTAATTTCTCTTAATAACTGATAATAATAATTTAAATTAAAGATCTGTTCCAAATAAAGTGATATTGACCAATTTTGGCTTTCGTTTTCTTTTTATAGAATATGAATATTAATATAATTAATTTATGATTAACAAAAGAAAAATGTATAAATAAAAACCAGAGTAACATTGTGGAAATATTAAAAAAAAATTAATAAAAAATGAAAATTGTTCATTAAATTATTGGCTTACATTAATATTATGTAATTTATACAATTTATATAAAAGTAGTTTGTTATTGGCCAGTTAGCTCTTAGTTTTTTTTTTTACAGTTGATATAAATTAATTAATTTTTAAAGAGCAAATTAGGAATTTATATTTTTTTTTTTTCTTAGGTAGCCGTATGCAATCTTGCTTCAATTGCTGTAAATATGTTTGTGAAACCTAATGGTGAATATGATTTTGAAAAGCTATTAAAAATTACTAAAATAGTCACTAAAAATTTGAACAAAGTAATCGATGTTAATTTTTATCCAGTGGTAGAAGTAAGTATTAATTGTGTATTTTGTTTTTATCTAATGACTTTATAAATAGCATTTTTATGTATATGTAGGCTGAAGTTTCAAACAAACGTCATCGTCCTATTGGCATAGGTGTTCAAGGATTGGCTGACTTGTTTTTGTTAATGCGCTACCCGTTTGGATCACCTGAGTCCCGAAAACTCAATATTCAGATATTTGAAACTTTGTATTATGGCGCTTTGGAAGCTAGTTGTGAATTAGCTGAAGTCCAAGGAACTTACACTTCTTATGAAGGTTCACCTATAAGTAAAGGAGTATGTAGTTCCTTATATATATATCTCGTATTATTTAATATTTGTTATCATTGATTGTTGACATTGATTATCAACATTTTGAAGTTTCAATTTTTTTTAAAAACCCTAACTCCTTAAATAATGAACCTAAATCAGAGAAATTGTTTTCTCTTGTCAGACTGACTAACAGTTTTAGGTGTTAAAAAACCCAAGTTAAGGAGGAGGAGTAGGGTGGAAAAATATGTTTAAAGCCTTATTTATTATAGAAAAAAATGTAATCAAATTTTCTAGTGTAAAAAAATTACAATTGTATGTTTATGTTTTGTATTAGATTCTCCAGTATGATATGTGGGATGTTGAACCAACTGATCTATGGAATTGGGATACATTAAAAACAAAAATTGCTAAATGTGGAGTAAGAAATTCATTGTTGTTAGCTCCAATGCCAACTGCCTCTACAGCTCAGATTCTTGGTAACAACGAATCTATAGAACCATACACCACAAATTTATACTATAGACGTACCCTTTGTGGAGAATTCAGTGTAAGTATTTTAAGCTTAATTTTATCTAATGGTCTTATGAATATATAAGGTGTAGGTTATTTATATCTCCATCAATGTGTAGGTGGTTAATCGCCATTTATTGAATGACCTAATCAAATTAAATCTTTGGAATGAAGATATGAGAAACGAATTGATATATTACAAAGGATCCGTTCAGGTATGAATAATTGTCATTCAAATGTTTTTATGCGAGAACAACATAAAATTGTGTGTAACAGTTAATATCATAAATGTAATTTTTAAACAATTAACAGAAAATAGAAAGTATACCAAATAAAATAAAAGACCTTTACAAGACCAATTGGGAGTTATCTCAAAAAATAATTTTGGATATGGCAGCTGACAGAGCCGCATATATAGATCAATCACAATCGTTAAATATTCACATCGAACAGCCATCCATTGGTAAAATATCATCGGTGCACTTTTATGGATGGAAAAAGGTATTGTTGTGTTTTCTTATCTAGCGAAAATAGTGTTATTTAATATTTTTAATACTATTTTAGGGACTTAAGACAGGCATGTATTATTTACGAACCAGACCGGCAGCCGATCCAATTCAATTTACAGTAAACAAAAGTACTTTATCTAACAATGTCGCCAGTCAAACTGAAAAAGATGAAGCTTTGAGTATGAAGCAGTTGATATGTTCATTGGAAAATAGAGATGCTTGTACGATGTGTGGTGCTTAAATAGCTTTAGAGTGTACTGAATTATTCTTTTATTAGTTATAACCAATCATTTGTTACAAAAACTATCAAAATCTCAAGTTCCATTATCAATTTAATTATCTACTAAAAATAATATTTAAGGTTTAAATAAATTGATAAAACCACCTCATGTGGTTTAATATATATCTAGGGTTTAATTTATTGTGTTCATTGTATTTTAATTTTATTACATTTTACCATCAATTAAATTGTATTATGTATTTTTTACTGGGAAATAAACTATATTTTAATACAAAACTTACATCTCTTTGTTTGTTGATCTAATACTCAAAAAACAAAATTCAGAACGAAAATAAAGTTTTTATTTTAAACAAATACTACATTCAGGGGAGGGGGCTATCTATTTAAATGGATTAAGTTTTGTTAACCAAGTCTTGTTCTCTTCTCCGGAAGTGTCAATATTATTTTTCAGCTCTTCTATCAACTCCATTCTAAATTTTTCTTTTAAAGGTTGTCTGTTCTGAAGAGTGATTTCTTCTCTTTCCAGTTGCTTGAGTAAAGCTTGGCTGAATGTAAGTCCATACCACTCGATTTCTTCGTGTGAATAATCATTTAAATAATGTTTGTATTTATCGTATATGATTTGTTGCTTGGCAGGATCATCAGGATACAATGTTTTATCTCTTAGAGCTATTAAAATACGCCTTTTTAATTTTAAACTCAACGTAGATTTCAGATCACATGCTGCTGTTTTCAAAAGGTAATTATCGAATCCATAGTTCTTATTAATTAAATCAATAGCATGTTCAGTAACTGTTGCTGACATATATGTATCTAATACCTCACTATAAACTACAGTTTTTTTGAGAGACGGTATCCAAAAATACGGGACACGGCTTTTATACTTGCCGTTTTGCTTGAAGCCTTGAACAATAGCTTCTCCACCCCAAATACCTTTGTGCATGGATGGCGGATATTTTAAGGGAATTGGTACATTTTGGACAGGAATGACTTGTCCAGATTTTTCATCTCTTGTCCATTTTCCTGTTTTTGGCTGGTAGTAAACAGGAGCAGGAGTACGATGGCGCCATTCTTTATAAAACTTTTTATATGCTTCTGGAAGACGGTCACCGATACCAGAATTAATTTTTGTTTTGTTTGGTATATACAGCATTTTAAGTCCATTGGCTAATTTGGATTCCATTTTTACAACCTTAAACAAATAACACTCTAGTTTGATACTGTTTGCAGTCTTAAGAAGTATATTTATTTTAAAAATCATTTGTAACAGTTTTTATACAGCACAAACTAGTGTTGTACAAGAGCATATTGTATAGACATTTAATTTTTGTAAATTAAAACAATTTTGTAAGTGATATAAGTAAATTGAAAACAAAGTAATATTTTATTTTTGTTTTGTTTTAAGCCCTTATTGATGTGATCTACTAGCGTAAATGCTGAAATTACATTTAAAAAAATGTATGCTATATAATATAAAGTAGTAGTTTGATATTATAGCTTTCTTTTTATATTTGAACATAATTACACACCCTAAAAATTAAAATTAAGAGAAGTAATAAGCAATGGTTTAATCATATATCTACTTACTAATGCTAGCTAAAAGCTATTATTATTAAATATAATAGCTACAAATAGTTTATGACTACAGTGAAATTCATCGAAGTCGAAATTTGTGTATAGTTTAGCTAAACCGCTTTGAATGTATAATGAAACATTAACACGTAATTTTTTTCGTATTTTCTCCTCAAAAAGTATGTTTATTTTATTACACGTTTTATTAAGTGAGACACGCTATTCATTGTGAGCAGAGTCAATATATAAATGCAGTTATGCTGTGCTAAAACATCAGTAATTAGGAAATTAAATACAACAACAATATTTTACTTACTATGTATTAGGTTTTGAGTATACTAAAACACTCACAACTATATAAATTTACGATAAACCACTATTAATTTTTCAAATTTATTTATTTCCTTCACTAATAAGTAATAATATACACTGACATTACCGAATTCCGGTTTCCGAATATCATATCAGACTTCATGTTATCGCTTATCATTTAATGTTCAATCATGGTTGTAGTTTATCAACGATTATAGTTACCACTTACCACATGGGTATCTATATTCTATTACTCTGTGTTATTTGTATTTAGCTGTTAAGTGCTGCTGTTCGCACGTAGACGATGTACCTATAAAGGTCTTATTATTTATAGGTCTATGATTTTGCATTGTTATTGTTATTAATAGCGGAAGGTTTTAAAACTGGTGTTTTTTCTTTTACATAAAAATCGTTTGCCATAGCTGCCATTCAATGCATAGATAATAATAAATACAACTATATATTTATTATAAATGGATTCAACGGTAATTAATCAAACGCGATTTTATTTAAATTTTAGTATCTACTATCTATTTTTCCAATATCAGTTAGTACTTAAAAGGACAATATTATCACAGGCGGATGAAACAATTTGCAAATTTTGATAAAATATTGTAGAACAATAATAATTATTATGAATAGTATATTTTGCCGTAATACCTAGTATGTCTGGACCACACAAAAATATATTTATGTACATTTATACGCCATTTTAAAAAGGTAATACATATTACATAAAAAATAATTTAGTAGAATAATCGGAGTAAAATATTTCTAAAATGAACGTGTTGTGAATAACGATTATTATAAGTAGAAAAATAATTTATTGTCGTTGAAAAAAATAATTTATTGTCGTTGAAAAAAATAATTAAAGATGAAAATATCTAAATAATTATAATAGTTTATTCTAAGCAATTTAAACATGTTTAAAAAAAACTAAAAAGTTGGTTTGTCAGGTGTGGGGTTCGAACCCACGCTCCCGTTTGGGAACCAGAGCTTAAATCTGGCGCCTTAGACCGCTCGGCCAACCTGACTGATGGAATCCAATTGCAATATGTTTGCCATTTAAAGCACAGTCTCTAAAAGCAAAAATATAATATGTACATCAAATATGTATTATAATTTAATGTAAAATTATTTTCAAATCAAATTTTAACAGAAAATCAAATACACTATTTGTGTACCATATAGTTCCTATATATTTATATTGTTTAATGATAATGTTGAGGAAATATTTTTAAAACATTACGTTAGGTATTAAATTAATTATAAAAATAAATAAATTAACGAAACGTGCCTTATACAATTAATTAAAACATTTTCAATTCTTCGTCACTCAACCGAAACAGTATCTTTGGAAAAGGAATTCATACAATGAAATCCCAAATTTAACATTTTAAACAATGCTTAAAAATGTAACCTCTATAATACATGGAACAGAAAAGCGACCCAACAGCGTTGAATAATCTCAGAGCACTGCAATTTTTTTTGTTTTTTTTTGGGGTTCTTTGAATAGAGATAAGATAAGGAAGTGAATCATAATTAATATCTTGATACTAAAACGTAGATCACAAGTCACAACCTTGTAGTGCATTGAATAGTGATCTGTATTATTATTTATCATACATCATTACGATTTACGATATGATCTGAGGACCTCGAATTTCTTCCAAATGTGGGTTTAGCAAAGTATTGCAATTTAATTTTTTACTTTTATTTCTATTTCCACGATAAAGTACCTTGATTTTTTTTTCTCTTAGTTTTTCTCACATAAATTAAAAATTTTCTTATAGTTCTTACACGCTTTTATGAAAAATCCATTTTTAGACATTACAAAGTACAATAATTGTGGCAGAGCCTGATTTAGAATTTTTGAGGTCCCGGACAAAAGAAAAAAATGGACCAGTTTTATAGCAATTAATCATTTTTGCCTTTTACATACCCAAACCGGAACTTAGCGATTTTATTAAACTGATGATGTTAGGCGCCTACTTAAATGTATTCAAGTAGATACGTACTGCGACAAACGAAGGCAAAGAATAACCAAATCACTAATCTGTAATATTATAATATAATGTTAATTTACAAAAATTATTATTTATATTGTTTAAATTGTTTAGTAAAAAAAAAAATGTTGATAAAAATAGATTAAATACATAGGGTCCGGATAAACTTTCGGGTAAAATTTACATTTTTCCTAATTAGAAAATCATTTTACTTATTAAAAAAAAAACAATTTTTTTGAACTGATTTATTCTCCTGGGGACAAATAGATTGTATTTATATCTATATATATGTGCAAACTTGTATGCATTCGATTTACTTAAAGGTACATGAACTTTTATTATAAAAAGTACTTGTACTTTTAAGTATGTATGTAATTGACATGAGAATAGCAAGCTGTCAGGTTGGCCGAGCGGTCTAAGGCGCCAGATTTAAGCTCTGGTTCCCAAACGGGAGCGTGGGTTCGAACCCCACACCTGACAACTTTTTTTTATTTATTAATTTGTCAAAGTAAATTTTTCGTTTTTATTTTGAATCATATAACATAATAAGTTACGGTATGTTGTTTAAAATATCAATATTCCATATTATCTAGTCAATACAAATTAAATATTGTCAGTAAAAAAAATAACAGAATTTTAAATAACAACAATAGATTTTAGAATTTGTAAGAATGTTGGTAAATGATAACACATTATTAGTAAATAGTAATAATCAAAAACAATAATTTTATATCATGAAGTAAAATATAATATCATACATTTTTTTTAATGAAGAACAAAGCCTTGATAGTTATGGTAAATTGTATTCACACTACTAGTTTTAAATTTATACAAATGTTATCACCAGGTAAAACAAAATAATAATAATAAAATAAAAAAATGAGCTTATGGGTACTGAAGAAGTCACACGTCTAATAATTACAAATAATTAAATAACGCACATTTAAAATCGGTAGTTCGAATTTCATATTTTTTATTCTGGTTCCTCTTGTTCACCCTTCAGTAATGTTTTTGAACAAATGTTGTTCGTATGTACTATATATTTCTACTTAGACATTGTTTATTAATTATTAGTATAGCATTTTTTCAAGACTTAAACATAGAAACATTTATTATTTTTTGTATCCGGAATTACCAATTACAATTACTACTCATAATCAGTTATCTGGTACCTAGTACATACTTTTCTTTGAATGATACATCAAATTCTATTCCACTAATAATGAATATGTATGAAAAAGCACAAAATTATATTACTTCGAAGACCGAAAACACCGGTTTTTAATTTGATTGAAACCTAGATTTAGATATCAGTATTAGAGATGGGATTTATAAATGAAATTATCTGAATTTGTCAGTTGACGGCCGATTATATATTAATTTTTATTATGTCTTACCATTAATTTGACAAATATATAACACGTTAACAAAATTTTAATAAATAATACGTCGTCGGTAGGTATGTATCGTGTTGAGAAATAAATTATGTTTCATGTTCTGATCAAGCAAAAACTTAACAGATTAATAGATTTTTTTTAAATATATATTTTTTTTTTTAGAACAAAATGATTTACGGTAAAATGAAAAAAAAAATTAACATTTGTACGTTGAGTATATTATGAGGTACAATATATATATATATTTAACTTTTGTACATTGGAAAAAAATCATTTGAACGAGCATAATAATAATATTATAGTGATATCACCAATTTATTGCAATAAAAAAAATACATATTTTTGTCAGGTGTGGGGTTCGAACCCACGCTCCCGTTTGGGAACCAGAGCTTAAATCTGGCGCCTTAGACCGCTCGGCCAACCTGACAGTTGAAGTCATCTGAATATTATGTACAAAATTAACCTGTCAGTAGTGCTATAGAGTATAAAATATGTTGTATGTACTAACAATATTATAGTAACTACATTCTAAAATTAGAGCTAAATTTTCCTATTTGATGGACCTAGACTATTAACAAAAGAGCACATTATAATAGAAAATAATTTACTGATATAGAAAAAAATCACATTGAAATAAATAAAACTACCTAAGTTTTAATAATTATAATTTTTTAAATGAAATATAATAGGAACAAAATTCGTCATTCAAAATCATTAACAATAAAATGAAAAGTATTTATGTTTCAAGTTTTGTGTTTTCTTTATTTATTTGCAGCAAACATATCCATTAGCTCAAATCGAGATTCCTGAGAATTTGCGCTAAAACATGCTAAATTTGGCACCTATTTATCTGCAATAGGATTGCTCGAGTAATTCTTTACTTTTCATAAAACACTATAGGATCAATCACGAAAGTTTTTTTGAGTAATTTATTAATTAATTTCTCTTATTCGTATATTTTCATAAAATTTACAGTTCCTCATAAACTCCACAATGGAAAAATAAATGTTTTAACTTTTATTACTTGTAAAACCTACATAAACATGTATTTTGGTAAAAAATATAAATTTATTTGTATTTTGTTTGCCAAAATATATATTGGAGTGATGACATTCATATCATATCATAATGAATCATCCGTGCCTTATCCGTGACCTTATACAACTTCCGGTTACACCACATTGGTTTTTTATTTATATAAAATTGTAATGCGTCCATGGGATTACGTATAAAATAAATTATTATAATATAAAAATAAACATACATGCATTCTGAATTCAATTAAATTCAATTAATTACTTTAATTTTCGTTACTGAGTACGTTATACGTGAAGTGTGAACAATATGTATTTTTAATAAAACTATTTTACAGCACTGTTATATAAGTACATCAAAGTCCATAAATAATTATTTGATTAAAAATATAGCAGATTTGGTAAGCCTATTAATTCTATGTATTAATTTATAGTTATCTGTTATTTATTTTTTATAAGTCATATCTATGACGAGTGGCATGAAACGTAGAAGGTAGACAACGAGATTATACTTAAGTAACCCTTGATACATTGTTAAAAAAATAAACGACAAGAACAAACCTTTCACGCAGATTATTATAGATTATCAAAATTGTACTACTATTAGTATAAGAGCTGGTTGGTCATAGGTGTAAATAGATAATAATAAATACATAAATATAATATGTAAGTAGATAATAATTATTTTAATTAAAAAAAGTCCTTTGGCATGTTTCCAAGGTAAATTTTATAATACAAGAAGATTTTTTTGAAATACATTAGTTATTACTAAGCTAGTTTCTCCTTATTTTTTGTTTTTTTCAGTGTTAGTATTTTATAATTTATTACAAATACATTTTTACCATACATGTGAGTTTATTTTTGCCATTAGTGTTTCAGTAGTAATTTAATATTTGTATGTTTAGGCAGTTTAGGAGTTTGCGGAAGAAACATATTCAACGCTTTTTCAAGTTTACCTACTTAAAGTAAACGTAGTTACAAATAAACGGTTATACGAGGATGGTGTTTTAGGAAAATCGCTATCTTATGTTTTGGGTGTAACAGGGCAAAGTCATTAAGACAAAACAAAGCCTCATCTTCGCCATGTGTAACTCTACGCCGAATTAATACGAAGAGAATAGGTACGCTATTTAAAGTTTAAGTGCAGTATATTAGTTTGATGGGTAGCCTCTTATACCGCATGATGGTGTGGTTTTCGGCGTTGCTATAGTGAAAATACCACTCTTCCCTTTCTCTTATTAATGCTCTTTCAGAAAATAAGGGACGAAGTTGATATGGCATTTACTTTAATGTAGGAAAGTTCGAAAATCAATTCTAAATGTTGTGTTGGCGTAAACATACTCAAAACATTGTAAAATATTAGTTCCATTGAAATTTATAATAAATGCTTATCTTATGTTCTATAGAACACTTGTGACAATAAAATGGTACTTAATAACTGTAGATATTTTAAGCACTTCATCACTGGTCCGATTAGTAATATTACTATTTTGCTGGAAAACATATTGTATTCTTTTTTTTAATTGTTGTTGTGATTTATAAGAAATATGTTAATGCTTTTTTTTTTTTTTAATTTATAATATTACTATATTTTTTACATTCCAGTGGGCAGTAAAGGTTTTATGTATCATTTTTAATAATATTTAATTTGACAATACTTATAAAAATGATGTGCGAGCAGAATTGTTTTAACATTTAATTATTTCTTAATTTTTATAATGTTACTGTGTCACTATAGCTAATTCCCATGTATGACGATTGTCTAGACATCGACTAATATCTATTCCGTTTTCGTAAAATTGTTCCTATTGTTCTGTGTGTTGAAATTGAATTTTTACCAATAAACCTTGTTGAATCATAATCGCACTTGCTTATGTGTAAGGACACGTCGGTACGGGTAATTTGTAGGGATTTAGCGTCGCTGTTTGTTTAACAAAATAACAATACAACCGGAAACTATTAAGTAATACGTTTATGTTGGTTAATCGCTTAAATTTAAGCCGATGTCGGAATAATGCCTTTTAATTTCTGCGCGTTTTTAGAATAATAGAAACAATAGTCATTGATAAACTATTGATTAGCAATTCGACTGCAAAAAAAATTGTCCTTCTAGAAAAGTAAAAATGTTTCTCGATTTGTTTGTAGACCCTGAAATGATTTTCGAATTAATGAACTGTCCTATTGGCTGAATCCGACGCTCTGTGATATCCGCAAACTACGATTGGTTGAACTAGTTTTGGGGTTGGGCAATAGTTTAGACCTTTTAAAAACTCCCTCAGAATTTCCAATAAAAATTGAAAACTTTACTTAGATGCTGTATGCACGATTAGTTGTTGACATTTTTCGAGAGCCTAAGGAAATTTAGAAAGATTTTGAACTTCCTTAGCTCCTTTACCCCCGTCTTGTTGCACGAATTCTAACTCCTAAGTTGTCAATCAAAGATTAACTGTTTTCGTGGTTGCAAGTATTATACGCCAAGCCTAGGGTGTACGTATAATACTGATGGTATCCTCCCCGTCTCTATTCATTTTATACACCTTCATGCACTCCAAACTATGACGTGTTGCGCTATTTTTATACTTACTACTTTTCCCCATAAAAATGTATTGATTAGAAAAATAGTGGAGACATTTTCGTTTAGGCTTCAAGGTCCTCATATCTCCAGCGTTCGAGATACGGCGGTTTTAGTGTCTTTATGACTATTTGGCACGCGACCAAAGGAAAAAAAAAAGTATCAAATTCTTTGTAAAAATATATGTATCCTAATAACTAGAATAGCGCTTCATAGAAAAATATTATACTTGAAAGTGTTCTTTATAATTTATAGAATATTATATCTACTATATTGTTATTATTTTGATGGTGTGTATTAATCGATTGCGATAATCGCCGTTTATATTTGTCCGTCTCGTCGTGTATTGAAATTTAAATGTTATAACTTATTAAAAATGAAATATATCCAACTTAGTTTTGTGATAATGCCGACTAATTATTCATTTAAAATCACTGTTTCCGTTGCGGTTTTCAAATACTGTAGTTGTAATACAATCAATGTTTAAAATGTATTTAAATATAAATTGCCTTATTAAAGTACTCTTGGGAAAAACAACTTGTTGGTAAATTGTTTAAAATTTTAGCTTGGATTCAAGGTTGAGACTTCATTTATCTATTCATTTTTTTGTATTTTCACGAAACTTAAAAATAAAGATAAGTTCAAAGAGTTATTTTAAAGGTTTAAGCTATTTATTTCTTCTTAATCTTAATGATGTTGTGATCAATAAAGATAAAATATTTAGAAACACAATTGTGTAAAATATTTTCTACATTAGAGGTAATATAATTTACAATGATTTGTTGAAAACGGAAAAACCTTATTCCGATTTCAGTGGGTGTTCATTGGTTGAATTTACGAATTAAGTCATCAATTATGTGGACCTATATGTAAGGAGAACATAATAGTACATAAGTTATTATTAGTAATAGAATCAACTGAAGACTGTATTTGACGGATTGTCCAGATTTTTAATTTTAATTTAAGTTTTAAAGACTTTTTTTGTATCAGTAGATTTATTATTTAACTTGGATTTAAAAAAAACGAAATCCGGATTTGAACCAAACATTTTTGCAATCAATAATTATTTGTAAATATATATTTTATAGAAGTATTTATTAAAAGAAAACTGTAACTAGCCTAACTCACCACTAGAAATAATTACCGGTTGGTATAGAAATTATTTTTCTTTACTTTAAAAGGCTCGGCCGCCGCCGCCCGTTTTTTGCTCAAAATTATGCCTTAATGGAAATACGATGACAAATCGTACATTATTTTATTAAGATGTTTGCCATCTTTTTGCTGTCGTTTAAAAGACTTCCTACAGTCCTAATAGATCTTAATTATTGATTTCATTACCCAAAATAACAAAAACACATGGTTGAAAAAGCTGTAACACGAAATGTGTTATAACCCGGGTCAGCCTGGCACCTAAAGGGCCTAGGATTCTAAAAACCTAAAGGGCCTCCCAAAAACAAGTTTACTTGTACGTTTTATCTATTTTAACCAATTACACAGTTGTTTTACCCTAGAAAATCCCACATATTGTCACAAATACCCGGGCCCCGGCAGCGTTCGCGGGCCTTGGCCGACTCGACCCTGATTATAACCAATTTTTTTTTAATTTAAGTGTCTATATTTTGTCTGTCAATAAATAGCCACGAACATAATTATTCAATGCCTTTCCGATTAATAGCCAAGTAAAATATACCATGATAGTTTTGGTGATATAATACAGGGTGATCATTTTATCGTGAACCACTCAATATCTTATAGGGTTTAATGCAATGTATGCGTTACCGTTTGGATTTTAAAATTTGCCATAAAAAAACTAAGTTGTGAGAGGGTAAAAACAAAATAAAAATTTTCAAAAATTGAGATCACATTGTAAAAAAAACAATATGAAAAAAACAATTTTATTTCTTATTGTGCCCTATGAAATATAGAGTGGTTAACGATAAAATTATCACTCTGTATAATTTAAAAGTATGGGTATAATGTTATTATTTGAATTTTGTTACACAACCAATGCTGGCCGCTTGACACCTATAGGCTATATCGTATGGCTTTGCCGCCGAAAACCACAATAATTGCTGATGAACGAAAACATTGTCCTCGGGTTCTTGTGACGGACGCTATTTTGAGCTGTTGTCCGCGACTAGAAGGAAACGCGTTTTGATTGGCCGCCGTCGTGGTGCACCTGGACAGCTGCATTCGGCTTGTGAGACGAAGAGGGGTAGGTTTTAAAATCAACACGTTGGAAGCGTTATCACGGCGGCGCGGTGGCGACGGGCCATCCCGCGGTACCGCCGGCGACGGTTAGTAAACTTTTGCCCGCGGTCCGAACGGCACGCCGCCCGTTATCGTCCGTCCACGAAAAATACGTGATCGCCGTCGTCGTCGTCGCAGCAGCCGCAGCCGCCGCCACCGTTATGCAGTCCACCCGCCGGTTGTTGTTGGTGTGCATTTTGGCCGTCGCGGCCGCCGTGTGCCGGTGTTCCGGCGCAACGCCGTCCTGCTCGCCCGACAAACTGGCCAGGTACCGGGTGTCCGTGCGCACCTTCTGGACCCGGGACCGATTCCCCAAGCACTTCCCGGAATGGAGACCCCAAGCGCAGTGGAGTAAAGTCATAGGTAACACTATTAGGCTAAGCATTATATATAGGCTAAGCATTATTGCCGTTACTGGGGATTTCCGGGATTACGGCCCAATTCAGGGCACAGAACATCCCAAGTAACTCTTCCGTGTTGGCCATCCATAAACTACTCTTACACGCTCGTTAATAACCTAAACTAATATGTGTGAACGATGAAACTTCGATACGCGTTGAACGATGATACGTTAGGTTAACGTATCATAGCTGTCTTACAGCGCTTGTACTTTAGTTTTTACGCAATAAAATATGATTCTGTAACGTAATTAGTAACTGAAACATTGAAATTTTATAATTTTTTTTTTTTGGAATTTTAACATTTAACAAATGCACTAATTTGTAGTTAAGAGTACTGTATTACCAATAAGCAAAATTATGCGGACATGTAAAAGCTTTAAATTTATTTGAATAAAAGGTATTGCCGTTATGTATACATCTCTTCCAAATAGTCGGAAATTAGAACTTTTAGATAAAAACAACTTGAAGTGATCAAGAAATATAAATGATACGACGTGCACTTTAAATTAATTGGATAACTAAAAAACGACTTTTGCGTAACCTTTTATTTTTACTGCTCACACATGTTGCGTTTTATTTATCACACGTTTTATTTACTTGGGAGTCTCCGAGCAATAATAATTAACTTACCGCTGTTTCATGTTAACGAACAGATTACGCCCTTTGGTGTGTCGCGTGCGGTGTTGTGTCATAATGCACAGGGCAACAGTAGTTCTTTCAAAACAAGACCTTTTTCTCCCTTGGGCCATTCCGATGTTTCTGAGAAGCACGAAAACTCAATTTCAAAAACCGTCACATCTTCCCTTTGTAAAGGTACTTTAATTTGCACACACCATACATCGTATACCAGACATGCCTGTGTACTACATAGATACTAACGATTAGGGTTACAGTTGTTTATAAGAAATATATTTAAATATTTTCGAGTCCGCATTGAAATTATCTAAAATAAAATTGAATGGAATTGAGTTTTTCAGCTATTTGTTGCACGCGCACAATAATAATTAAGTTTATTGTTCATTCGAAATTGTATATATTTTTTTCCTAATTAAAAACTAATATTGTCCAAACACATAATACAGCAGTAACTATTACAATATACATTATATTTATTATTGTTATATATTGTCACATTAAGATTTCACGTTTTAAAAAAGTCTAGTTTTAACATAAACCATCGTCATTTACAACTATGTCAATATGTACCTTTGACATATACTTTGTGCCTACGACAAGTTCAAATATACCAAAAATTAATTAATACTATTTATTTACACTATTTACAACGTTGGTGAACTAGTCAAGACATCCAAGTGGGAGTAACCTCAAGTAAATAGTGTAAATATAATACCCTACTCAAGTTTCAATAATTTTTTAATACTATTTATTTATTTTTTAATCTAATTTTCAAACAACGAGTTCGACATATGTCATATTGTGCTAACTATAAAAAAAAAACACTTAAGTATTTTTGTTAATAACAAATGTTTTTAAGAAGATTTCTGTAATTCCGTTGAAGAAGTACATTAAAAACGACAAATTGACCGGTAAAAATTTGTGAGAACAATATTTGCTGTAAGCAATACTTGTCGAACACAACTGAACCGATTGATCTATATGTAATATGTATTCAGCGTTTGAACGGCGGCGTTTCGAATCTTGTTGGAATAATGTACATAACATAAGATTGGAGTTTGTACAGCGTGCAACGGAGAAGGTGCGTTTTAATTAACGTCTGATAGCTCAAAAATGTTTCGAACCTTTTGCCTCTCCCGTCCTTTGCCGCAGTGTACCGTCGCACGTATGCCGCACAGGGACGAGGTCAATCAAATGCCACAAGTGACAGTGGGGAGAGGGGCAGGGGATCTGGAAGATAAGGGGTTTTTCGACGGACCAGCGGGGACGGGCATTATTATAACGTGGAATGTGCGAGGGAGTAAGTTTTGAAAAGCTTGCACGCGACCCGTCGAAATTGCCTTGGCGTTTGAAATCCATCGACGGACAAAGACGGGATGAACAGGATACAAGCGTTGCAATATGAACGAAATAAAAGAAAAGCCACTGTTTTCATATCGGTAGTACCTTTTTTTTACAATTTTCTTCTATTTCGTCATACCTAGATATATATGTATCACATATATATACACATATATACACGTTTGTTCTGACAAAATCAGTAAAAAGCGTACTAAACAAATTTGAAAATTAATAATAATATTGTCTTTGTACTACGGACATTGGAAATGGCCCATTTTGTCGATTCTAGTTGCACACTCCGTACTCGCATATAAAAACGGTTTATTTTAATAATGATTTTTTAAATTCGAAAACGCAACATATGTTTGGTCAACCTATACCGCCGCCAGCAGCTCAACTCGACGCAGTGATAAAAGTGGGTACATTATCTGGGTTCTCTTGCAATCGGGTGTACATCTTAAAAGTATACGCTGAAAGTAGTATGTAAGTAATACAGATGCGAATGGTTTAAACTTCGGTGGGACTCTACAGCTATGCTAGAATACTTAATTATATTGGCCGGGAAATACAATATTGGATAGCAATTATCGTTACGCTAACGGAAAAGTCACATAACGTTATGCTAAGTACACGCTAGAATGTCTACGGTAAGTTCCAGTACTATGTTTAAAACGGGTTTTCCACTTTGTACTTTACCGCTCGTCGAGATGTTTGCTTCGGCTTACTTAATGAACGCGGTAACTTCGATTTAATTAATAGTCGACGCTGCATTATAGGTCTACTAACTACAACATAAATAATTCAATCTGATGTACACTATTATTGCGATATTACACGGTAAACGGCCATTAATTATTACACAATTACAATATGATTTTCGCGTCAAGCCACTTATAATATGTTTTGTATTATAAGTGTAAACCAAAAAAAAAAAATATATTAATTCCAAATAAATTTCAGTCATTTTTTTGTTTTTTACGATTGTCGGATTTTTTTTTATCTAGGAAATCATTGGAATATGGTCGTTTTTTTTTTTCTATTAACGGCGTCTTGTTAAAATTCAACCAAGTAACGCTCTATTGAAATTCTTTTGTGTTAAATTAAAAAAAAAAATTATTATATCTATTCGTTTGAAACGTGTTCCGACTTTGAGAAAATAAAAACCTCGTTTGTATTATAAATTTAGTCTTAACCGGATTTCTTCTGCGACTACGCGGAAACGCCGTAGTAATGTTCTTATGGTGTTATATTATCATCGCGGCACTTACATACCTACACACAATAATGTGTTCCTAGAGTGGTCTGCGATTCCAAGGGCGGACAAAAGGAACCGGAAATCCCTTATTCCATCCGTCCGTAGTTAAAGCATAAATGCAATTAAGCGCCACGCCGGAGGTCTATACATATACCAGCATAGCACCGCCAAGTGTAGTTTAATGCATTGTAATTTTTTTGCCAGTACAGCTGAGTTTCTAAAAAGTAAACCGATTTACTGAGTTTTATTAGTTTTAAATAATCATTTTTTAACCAAGTAAAATTGAATTTTAGCTACATTTTTCTAACCAAATTTATCAGCACGTTTCTCCCTCTCTCTTTCTCTCTATTAACATTAAAAATGTATTCTCTTTTTGAACATAATGTCAAAACTGAACCGTGAAGGATACGCCCTCCACATCCCTATTTACTTTTTTAAGTTAGGTACATGATTAATTAAACCATATCTATATGATCTAAATATTTCGACGTTTTTATGCCAATACATTAAAATAGTCATATTTATTATATTTTATTAACACACAATGGTTATTTTGACCATAATTTCAAATAAATAATTTAAAAAACATATTGTATAAATAATGCTATATTTTTATCTTACTTCTAAAGAAGGGTTTTGTAATTGAGTTTTAATTTTTTTAGAGAAGAAAAGTTACGTCAGCAATTCGGGGAAGTTTATAGTTGTGCTTAGGAGCATAATATACCTACGTATAATGTATAAGCTTAGATAGTAGTTTTTGTCACACGTTGTGCAAGAACTCTGAAACAATAGTTCAACGTTTGATCAGTTTCGACCGTGGCCTACCTATATATATATTTACAGATGCTCCGTGGAAGTTATGTACTATTATTATTTTATGTATAATCAGTCTTACAAGAAAAATAAAAAAGATTCTGGGGAAAAAAGTACCAACAATAGCACGCCGCGTATAATACACATAACGTGATATTACACACACGGCTGTTGTGAATCGAACGGCAATATAAAGCGGCAATAAGTTAACCACCGCAGAGGTGTTTGAGGCAGAAGAGAGAAAAATGTTTGTGTTGAGAAATTTACGATCAAGAGGCTCCTCTATTGTCGTCGTTTTCTGGCCAACGTTTTCACCGCAACTTGCAATGTTCCCCTCTCACCTGCGCAGGCAGATACGCCGTGTGCGTTGTCTGGTGCACGTTTCCCCCACAACAAATCACTATGCCCCGTCGCCCTCGCGGCCGGGCCAAAGCCGTTCGGAGATCCCGCAGCTTTTGTTATCTTTTCGGCTCAATTAACCTATGCCATGCCGCCCTCATCCGATGCACACACACACGCCGAGGAGGCGGCCCTCTGTTTCCGCCCCTCCGTCGTCTGCAAAGGGACTTGCGGTTCATTTGTCAAACGCATAAGCCGGATTGACGGTCGGCGCGGTGTAGGTGAACAACGGCGGTGGCAATAATAATAATATGAGAGTGAGAGACGATAAGATAACATGATTTTGGCGAGACGCCGCAAATATCGTCTTGGGCGAAGGAATTTAATTTGATAATGGCCGGTCGCACCGAACAAGACGACCGACGAGGAGTGGCGCAGGCACGATGATTACCCGTTGTTGTTGTTGTTATTATTGCCGACATTTTTGTCAAATTAGCATAATAAAAGTGAAATAACCGGAATTTATTTGCCACGCCGACGCCGAAACGCTAATGAAAATGATTCTTGTAAACATTTTG